AATGAATATTCGGTGCAGTTATAGCATTTATGTCCATGCTTAGTTAAGACTTCACTTCAGTTCTACTTTCTAGCTGAACCTCCTAAACGTTCAAATTCCTTACAACTTTGTATGCAGGGATCAAACGGGAAGAGTCACTTTGTGTTTGTAACTAATCTTGCTCCATGTTCTGGGGCGAGACTTCACCTGTGGCCTGAAAAAGGCAAGTCAAATTCAGACTCGCCTTCAGACAAAAGGGTTATCGAGATTACATCCAAGTTGGTGCAGATTCCATCAGGACCAGCTCCAGTACAGGTACCAATTGTCTTGAGTTCGAATTCTCACAGCCTCCCCACCCCTACCCAGCACCCCACTCACTATATGATTGTAACAATGTGTTTGAAGCTGCATGACATATATACTAAATCGTCTGTATGTGTCTCAGATGGAGCCCGGTAGTCAGACTGAACAAGCACCTCCATCTTCTGTACTTCGTCTAACTCCTGAAGATATGCAAGGCTTCAGATTCTTGACAATTTCAATTGCTCCTCGTCCGGTATGGTTGACTCTGTTATCTGTCTTTACTGTTAAACTTATGTGTAGTGTATTCAGGAGTTGGTTGCACTTGGTATTGATGGTTAGTTACCTCTTAGGTACAGTAACACAGTTTAAGTAGCAACTCTGACTAATGAGCTCCCGTCCCGGGAATGTGGAACCATTGATTTTGTCTCTGAGGCTGCTGAGCAATCAACCAAGCCACCTTGTTGAAGTAGTATTATTGTCTGTCTAAGAGTTCCCTGGATTTGCTAAATAATTTGAAGCTGCTCCAATTATCACACGTTGGAGTATACTGTATACTTCTTCTTTCGGTACTTTCATTTTTAGATGTGCTGTCATCTTGTTGACTAATATAGTCAAAAGAATTGACATTAGTGATTGACATTTGATGAATTCCTGATGTTCAGATTGTTTCAGGCCGACCTCCACCAGGAGCTTCTATGGCAGTTGGCCAATTCTTTGATGCGAAGGATGGAGAAAGAGTGTTATCTGCTCCAGCACTTCTTCTATCTGCTTATTCTTCAAAGGTTAATATTGGAAATTCTACCCACTTTCTCAGCTTTGTGAAACTCCAGATCTGAAAAGCATTCAGTTTAGTTCATGAACTGGACGACTGACTTGGTCTAGTTGATTGCATCATGTGTTTCTAGGATGTACTGCTGGAAGAGGATCATCCTATTGCTCTTAATTTATCCTTTGATATCAACTTAGGGCTTTTGCCAACTTCACTGTCTCTGAAAGCTACTGGTTGCGGAATACAAAGGTCCGGGCTTCCTGATGAAGAGGCTGGAGACATGGATAACAGTAGTAAGGAAGCTAATTTGGTCACGGAAACACTTACTTCCCTTCACTTTTCCCCCTCCTGAACTGGCTTTACTCTTATTTCAGAGCTTTGCAAATTGCGTTGCTTTCCACCTGTTGCTTTGGCATGGGATTCAACATCCGGGCTTCATGTATTTCCAAATGCGTACAGTGAAACAATTACAGTTGACTCATCACCAGCACTTCTGAGTTCCTCTCCAGGATCAGGAAAAACCTCCGTGCTGTTACTCGTAAGTGGTAAACATTTGCTGGATAAGTCCTTGTCCTGTTTGCTTTTGTTATTTGGAATGTAGTGTTTCTTTTATCATTGAAGGTTCCTTTTTTTCTGCTTCTCTTTGCAGGTTGATCCTCATTGTTCTTATGAATTGACCTTTGCTGCTTCTCTAACAGCAGCTGCTGGCAAATTTTTGCTTCTTTATAGTTCACAGGTAAAAAGTTTGATACCATTCCTATATTAGTTATTATTATCAGTTACAAGTTCTATAGAGCCTGAATATCCAAAATGCGTTAAGCTCTTACACTGGGCTTTTTCTTCTTTTCAGATAGTGGGTTCCTTCTTTGCAGTGATATTTTTTGCTCTAATGCAGCAAGTGCGGGCATGGGATCTTGATTTGCCTATACCATCAGTACTTACAGCCATGGAGTCCAATTTGAAGATGCCTTTGCCTTTTGCGCCTTTAGGCTTCAGCCCCCTCCTGCTTTCATTGTTTGTTAGTGTGCTAAATTCACAGCCTCTTCCTCCGCTTGTAAGCTTCATTGCTGTCTCCATAATTTGCTATTTATTAGCAAATGGGGTTGGAGCCATACTGGTCTGGGTGTCCCAATTCCTCTTTTATGCAGCCGCTCTCACGCATGTGTTCATCAAGTCAAGGTCGGTTTTATATGTTTCTTGCCAGCACTGTGTTAAGGATGATGTCTATCATTAATTGTGATTGACGTTTAACTAAGAGAAAAGCTTTGGAAAGGATAATACTGTAGCCTGTTCAATTTACCAATGTTTATACTTTCATATTGCCTGATATTCACAAACTAGACTGACAAAGATTTATACTTCACAGGTGGCAACAATGGGAAACAAAGTTTTGCTTTGCATATCTTCGTTGGTTTATTACTCTTTCATCTGGTTTCTTCTCACTGAAGGTCAGCTTCTTATCTGTCATTTAAACCTTGTGTAAATTAGTCAGCATTGTTGGTAGTTTGATGAGGCTTGTGTGCTTATTTATTTTAATGGGCAAAGCAGGCCATGAGGGTAATAAGAGGCAGCCCGTCAGTACTCACTGCGCTAATGGCAGTTACATTTGGGTCTTTCATCCACCCGGCATTGGGTTTACTCACCCTCCTGTTAGCTCATGCTATATGCTGTCATAATGCGTTATGCAGGTAGTTTCAGCTTCATATTCCATTAACTCCGCTTGCCTTTCTCTTGTTGAAATCCAATATTAGATCTTATTTTTTTTTCTTCTATTTAATATATCTAGAGGTTACAATTTACTCGTACCTGGTAATTAATGTATTAAATCTTATGATATCCATAATGTGGGTACCTATTATCGTACATATTGACCCATTTGATAAAAATCGTTCATTTACTCTACATTTCGAACATGCTATATCACTATTGCTATTTTGTTACTGTGTGATTACTCAATATACATGGTTCGATCTGATGATCACGATTTCATTCTGCTTTATGATTTTACGTAATCTCTTGATTTGTTAAATCATTGACTTCTTTTTTAACTACGATCTCTCTTTTTTGTCCTCAAATATGAAGTATAAACTCTCTATTCTAAGAGCTCGTGTTCTGTAGCAGTTTTTTGACAGCTTCATTTCGCAGCCACACACGAAAGAAGGAATTCCTTGGTCACGAGGACAAAGATAAAGAAATATCTTGGCAGCAACCTTTGTCGAAGCATGAAGTTGCCGGGGTCAACCAGAGCGTCCTATTAGAAGAGAACAGCAGCTCTGACAGCCCAAACAGTTCGAAGAGCTTCAGCGACACACAATTGGAGATCTTTCATCACCGGCATGGTTTGCTGATACTACATCTCATGGCAGCCCTGATGTTTGCCCCTTCTTTCGTGGCTTGGTTGCAGGTACGAGTTTTACAACTATCTCACTAGTATATGGGGGGGGATTAATAAGGCAGTCACTAACTTTAGGATCACTACCAAATTGGGCACTACAATTTGTAGTAACTAACAAGATAGTCAGCTTTTGTCCATTCCTGTCAAGTTCTTGGTCCAAATTATATGTCCAGATTAGTATGCCAAGTAAACCAAATTATTAACGGGAACACATAAAATTCATCCTCTAATTAGCTATCAGGTAGGGGAGGAATGGATTAGGGTGATATTAATTAGGAAATGTGATGCTAGAATAGGATCTCGAAAAATCGGTTTGGTTTAGATTGGGTAAGAGCCAAAAACGAGTCTCTTTAGCTTAGCTGTTCTGGTTTATGTGGTCCTTTTAATTTTTTGGGAGTAGGAAGACTAATCTTGGATAATACAGACTAAGAATCTGATGGAGATGGATGGAGTAACTATTATGTATATACTTATTCCAAACTTTAGTAACAGAACTGATAAAATTCAAAGTTCAGTTACTGATTTCTAGGTGACCGTTAGTTTGGTGATCAATTATGCAAATTGAATGTAGCAGTTGACCACTGTATGATTGGTAGCATGAAGTAGTTTTTAATTGTCGATGTGGTGTGGTTGTTGCAGAGAATAGGCATGGGTGGCCATAGCTTCCCGTGGTTCCTTGATTCGACATTATGCATCGGCGTCATTCTCCACGGCGTATTATGCTCGAATCCAGAGTTCAGCTCCTTGTTCTCCTTCCCCAGGATGATATGGAAGGAACTTCGATTAGATTTTGTGTATCTCATCGCCGGCATCTATTCGTATATGGCGGGGCTAGGGTCGGCCCCCTACAAAGTCTTCTACCCGATTGCATCCATAGGGTTCTTGGCATTCGCTCTGAAGATGTCGCAGCTAAGGAACAAGGATAATGGAGAGTCTCGTCTTGGCCGACGCAAAAAGCATTCCCATCGACACTGAACAATGCAGTTGTGAACTTGGTGGTGCACAAAGGAGCTTGAGAGTCCATTTTTCGTGTATACTGCTAGCTAGCGTGGCTTGTTGTGTTGTTTGTATTTCGTAATATACTAAAGTAGAGACCCGTTTGGCTTTCTGGTCGATTGCTGCAGGGAGCAGCAGTGTTTAGTAGTGCGGAAGTTCCGCTGATCTTTGCTTTAGACCATGATTTGTAATACTGTACGGTAGGTGGTACCAAACATGTTAGCGGTATGACATTTTAGTGGTTCAATCAGTAACATATTTGTGTGATATCGTTGTTAAAATAAATTAAAATAATAAATATATTCAACTACTAATACACATGTGAAATATGATCAAAACTGAATGATATCATCGGAGATTGCCATTGTTATCGTATAAATTGCGAATAAAATCATCTGACTTAATGTTTTCATAATATCTATACCTTGTTAGCTTGGATAAATTATTCGGCTATGTAACTTACTTTGTATGTATCCTATAGTTGAAAAGTGATCTTCCGATATCTAGGTAGAATACACATAACTTCACAAGTATATAAACTAAAACATACCATCATACTATAAAATGCATTTGATGACCAATTTGTTATTTCAATAAAATGAATGTGTAGGGTTAAAATGTATGCCTAGTTATAGCATATATATATTCCTTCTATTTTTTCCATATTGAACACGGTATCTACACATATATAATCATTTTATTCATCCAAGTAGGACCTCATTGTTCTTCACATCGAATAAGATAACTTGGAAGATTCAGATTGTATATTGTGATATTAATCCATCAATAGTAGGAATATAATTTATGATGAAGGCCAACGAATAATGAAAGCGGCAGCCACAAATTATAGAGCAAAAAGAAAACTTCATTATCGTTTGGAGAAAATATAATCGTTACTTTAATTTTTTTGTATCCAAACCTCCAAAAAATATCTATCTAATATAAACTCTTGAAAAAAAAGGAATTATATTTGAATATGATGATTCATCCACTAGTTTAGTAAAAATAAATGATAATATTAACCACTTCATGAGCCGTTAAAGCAACCACTTTCCTTTTTCCCGTCACATTATAACCAACAATTCAATAATAATATTGCAGTTTCACCTTTTGTGTGCACATTTGTAGAACTAATAGGTCTCCTTAATTGTAAATCCACCATACAAAATACAACTTTCTAAAATGAAGGTTCAAACTCGAATCATGTAAAAAATAAAAAGTTCATCGAAACCACAAAAACAAATTTATAATATTTGAAAACAAGTAAATCTTGAAAGTAAAGTTGATAGAATTATGAACATGGAAGAAGATCAACGACCATGGGATAATATATGTCCATATCTCTTGGATTCCATCTACAACAGACTCTCGTCTCATGTCGACGGTACTCACTTCGGCGACGTATGTAAGAACTGACACCAAGTTCACTCTCACATCACCCTTTCCAATCCCCGACCTGTGTTGATCAGCCCTGCAAAATTGTCCAGCTCTATGTCATCCAAGTGCGAGAGGGTAATCGGCTTGTCCTCCAACGTCGTAAATCTCAAATTCCATATGAGCTTGCAGGTAAAGACATAACAATCCTCGGGATGGCAGGTGCGTGTTTTTTTTTTTTATAAAAGTGCATGATGCTTTTTTGGACTGGTACAATCCTCTACTCCGAAGTCCTGCAAACTACATACGTCTTCCGAACCCGAGTTGGCGTTTTTCTTCCTAGGACAACCATTACAGACCTGACACAATACTCAAATTTGCTTTCTCGGCGCTACCCACTGCTCAGGACTCAGCGGTCCTCGTGGTGCATGGTGACCGCTACCTCTGCATGTTTCGTCGTGAAAACAATGGCGAATTTGAGCAAAAAACATACGATTTCTCCTTGGGTGGGAAAAAAAGACAAATATGTCTTGGCGTGGGCTATAAAGACGGTAGATTCTTATATTTATTTGAAATGGGGGATATATTGATTTTCAGCATCAACAATAATGAGACCAGGATGTTGCTGGCGGCGACTAAGCCTCTGCTTCCTGAACAACTCCATCGATGGGACAATTTGCGTGTAGTGGGGGTGGTGGTGGCAAAAAAAGTCACGAATGCAAATGATCAATACCAGGAGGTAGAAGAGGTGTTAGGGTTTAGGCTGGTCACTCATTGGAAGCGAGATTGTGAGGGGAGCTTTCGGCTTGTAGCAGTGGAGGAAAATGTTATGATGGTCGCCGATCTGTTACTGGAGAATAAGGACGGTGATGACGTATGGCAACAGTAGAACAACAGGAGTGATTTTAGTGAAAGATCGGTTGTCATTGAAGAGGACTTTCGACATATATTACAGTTACATACTATTTGTTCTTTTACACATACTTGTCTTTTTTTGTTTGGATAATCTCTTTGTTTAGAACTTAAAGTAATGGAGGGTACACATGATATAATCTGTGTTATTATTATTACTTATTATTATCTATCTATCAATCTATATCTTCTATCTATTTATCTACCTATCTATTTATATCTATCTATCTATAAATCTACACATAATATAATACACCGAAGGGAAAAACGGGGGCCCCATTTCAAATTTCCTGCAACGAGAGTGAAAGTAGGAAGGACATTTTGGTCTTCACACTTACTTTTTTTAATTCATTAAAAAAACACGTAGTGGGATTTGAACCATGACCATTTTAAGGAAAAGTAAGGATCATAACCAATCACACTAAATACATTTGTTGTATCTTTTTAAATTAAAAAGATATAATAGCAGAGAGGAAAAAACCCTTCCCCCATTTCAAATTTCCTGCTCCAGGAGCGTTTGTAGGAATGATAGAATAGGGAGTGTCAATTTTTTCCTCTTTCCTCTGTAGAACGGGCCAACTTACCGTACACATGCGGATTTAAACGGGTTCAAGAGTGTCAATTTTTTCATTAAGCCCTTTTATTTCTCCGTGGTGATAAAATATATATGAAGAGGCAAAAACAATACTTCTTTTTATTGCTAAAAATAAAAAATTTAACAATAAACTAATGCATGGTATCTAATGGGCTAACCGCTAAACATAAAATAAAAGAGGTGAATTGGTTTGACCTACACGGGATTTGGCCATCAAGTAAAACAAATGAACATCATTGGTTTGACATTCTAAAACAAGCTATTTTCTCTGGCATAATATATTATGCTATTATTTTATATCTTAGTGGCTAAAATATAATGTATTTTAAAGTTATTCAATGGTTCAACCTCGACCAACCCAATTAGTCCAATTTTTATCATTTCAAATATATATTATATAATTATTTGATATCATAATGATCAAATCATAGTGTATTTTATAGGGAATCGTTTGGTATTTGTTAGTAAAAAACTAAACAGAAAGATCTATTTGGTTATTTTAAACATTAAAACGATCCTAACATTTTCAGTTCCTTTTGAATTTCTATGGTTTTATTCCCGAATAAGTGATGTGCAAATGGCAGTCATCTCTTTTCTTTCACTATTTTTTATTTTCAAATAAAAAGTTTAAAAGTAAAGAATAATTAGAATTTGGCATGGGTCGGTCAAACAGGCTGCATTTCAAGTTTTGGCCCCTTTTGATCAAGTCTAATTTATAATCACATGGTTCCCTGATACCCGATAAAAATCTCAATCCAAACCAGTTTGGCAGGTGAGTCCGTGTTTACCACCATTTTCTAGGGATATGACAACGACGGTTCCTATCCCAAATCGTGTTGTTCGTTCTTGATTTCCTTAGATTTTATCATAGCCTGAAAAAAACCAGAAAGCACAATGACGACAAGATGAAAGTTTTATAAACCAAATTAATCGGCCAACGGGCCGAGTAAAAGCTAGCAACGATTGTGAGATGCTCATTTCCCGAAAACCGACGGGATAGGCGATTTTTTATTCGATTTTCTGGAATTCAGTTTCTATAAAACTTACTCCACCTCATCATATTACCAGAAACAATATTGTTTCACAAGGTAACAGGTACTTGATTTTGGTTCATAAGGCCGATTTTTGATTTGTTGCATCATTAATGTCTCTTTCCTGCTAAAATTCACTATTTTTATCACGTGTTTCCCAAAAAAACTATACAACAATAAGTTATACACCCTATTACATTATCAAATTTCATACCTCACCTTCCTCTAGGGATGGAAACAAAACCCGAACCCACGGGTACCCACCCGACCCAACTTGGTCAACGCGGGTAAAATCCGTGTTGACGGGTTTTGGGACGGGTTTGGGTTTAAACCCGTTCAATATTCATCGGATTGGGTTGGGTTTGGGTTTAGGTAAACCCGACCCATGGGTACCCGCCCACACCCATATAATTAATTTTCTCGATATATTTAATATTCTAAACAACTTATCTTATTTATGTTTGTGGAGACATGTCTAATTTTTTCTTTCTAATTGTGTAGAATGAAGTTGATGTCATCGAGTGGAGAGTGAAGAAACTTAATTGAAAGGAAGAAGCTTTCAATTAATCATGTTATTTATGGATAATTTGTTATTTGCTTGAATTTTCTAGAATGGTATTTTATATATGGATAATTTGTATTGAGAGATTGATATTTGACTTTAATTTTGATAGGAACTTGTTATTGTAAAATTTTTAAGACAAAAACCTGTGGGTACCCATGAACCCGCAGATACCCAGTGGGTTGAGTTGGGTTTGAGTTTTTCAAACCCAGTGGATTTTACCCCGAATTTTTTTCACGGATAAACCCATGAATTTGGATTTGAATTTGGCAAAACCCGACCCAACCCGACCCATTGCCATCCTACCTTCCTCCGGCCAACTGGCCGGGGCCCACACTAGTATATAAAAGGGTTTATAAAAATGCCCTCCTCCACGAGGTGAGACACCATCACTTCCCCCAAGGGGTTGTGAGTTTCACAACCAAGGGCAACTTGGATAGTAAAAAAAAAATTAATTAATTACTTTCACTACCACTAGAGACTAACACAAAAAAAACAATATGTAATTCGAAAATCACATATCTGGAGAAAAAAAAAAGGATGATGAAAAGAGGAGATTGTGATCTTGCGACGGAGACCTCGTGGCGGTGGTGATGGGAGGCAGAGGAATGAGGGACGGAGGGCGCGACAGGGGGTGAAGTGACCTTCCGATATCTAAGTAGATATGCATTAACTTCACAAGTAAATAAACTAACACATACCATCATATTATAAAATGCATTTAATGACAAATTTTTTATTTTAATAAAATGAATGTGTAGGGTTAAAAGGTATGCCTAGTTATAGCATATATATTCCTTTTATTTTTCCGTATTGAACAAGTATCTACACATATATAATCTTTTTATTTTTCCGAGTAGGACCCCATTCTTCTCCACATCGAATAAGATAATTTAGACTGCTCGAGAATAAGATAACTTAGAAGATTCAGATTGTATATTGTGATATTAATCCATCAATAGTAGGAATATAATTTATGATGCAAGGCCAACGAATAATGAAAGCAGCCGCCACAAAATTATTGAGCAAAACAAGACTTCATTCTCGTTTGGAGAGATTAAATTTTTTGTATCCAACCTCCAAAAAAAATCTATCTAATATAAAATCTTGCAAAAAAAATTGTTTTTGAATATGATGATTCATTTCCTAGGTTAGTAAGAATAAATAATAATATTGACCACTTCATGAGCCGTTAAAACATGCACTTTCCTTTCTTCCCGTCACATTATAACCAACAACTCAATAATAATATTGTAGTTCCACCTTTTGTGTGCATATTTGTAGAACTAACAAATCTCCTTGATTATAAATCCACCATACACCATACAACCTTTTAAAATGAAGGCTCAAACTCGAATCATGTACAAAAATGAAAATTTCATCGAAACCACACAAAAGAATCTATAATATTTGGAAACAAAAAATCCTGAAAGTAAAGTTGATAAAATTATGAACATGGAAGATGATCAACGACCATGGGCTGATATATGCCCATATCTCTTGGATTCCATCTATAACAGACTCTCATCTCACATCGACGGTACTCACTTCGGCGACGTATGCAAGAACTGGCACCAAGTTCACTCTCACATCGCCCTTTCCAATCCTCGGCCTGTGTTGATCAACCATGCGAAATTGTCCAGCTCGGACGTCATCCAAGTGCGGGAGGGGAAACGACTTGTCCTCAAACGACGTCGTGAATCTCAAATCCCATATGAGCTTACAGGTAAAGACATAACAATCCTTGGGATGGCGGGTGCGTGGTATTTTATAAAAGTGTGTGATGCTTCTTTGGGCTGGTACAATCCTCTACTCCGAAGTCCTGCAAACTACATCAGGCTTCCCAATCCGAGTAGGTGTTTTTCTACCTACGACGACCATTACAAACCTGACACAGTACTCAAATTTGCTTTCTCAGCGCTGCCCACTGCGCAGGACTCGACGATCTTCGTGGTGTATGGCGACCGCTATCTCTGCATGTTTCGTCGTGGAAACTATGATGGATTTGTGCAAAAAACATACGATTTCTCCTTGGGTGGCAAAAAAGGACAAACATGTCTTGGCGTGGGCTACAAAGACGGTAGATTCTTTTGTTTATTTGAAATGGGTGATATGTTGATTTTCAGCATCAACGAAAATGAGACCAGAATGTTGTTGGCGGCAACTAAACCTTTGCTTCCAGAACAACTCCAACGATGGGATAGTTTGAGTGTAGAGGCGTTGGTGTTGGCAAAAAAAGCCACATCTGTAAATGATCGATACCATGACCATGAGGTAGAAGAGGTGATGGGGTTTAGGCTGATCACTCATTGGGAGCGAGATCGTGAGGAGAGCTTCCTACTTGTAGCAGTGGAGGAAAATGTTTTGATGGCCACCGATCTGTTACTGGAGAGTAATAACAGTGATGACATAAAGGGCAACAGTAGAACAACAAGAGTGATTTTAGTGAAAGAACGGTTACCATTGAAAAGGATTGTCGACGAACATTATATTGATACACTGTTTTTTAATTTTTCCATATTAATCTGGTTTTTTTCTTTTCTTTATCTTTTTGATAAATTGGTCTTTTGCTTTTCGGATTATCTTTTTGCACCAAACTTAGAGTAATGAAGGGTGCATATGATGTAATACGTGTTGTTATTATTATTTTATTTTTTTGCTGATAAAATAAGAGCTAATGATGAGGTGGATGTTTTAATTTCTAAAAGTGGAAAAGATAGCAAATCCTTTGATATAATACGTGTATATGTTTTGTGCTTTATAGAACTAAGACCTAGATTTTAATCCTTAAGGGTTTGGGAATAATATCATACGCCAAACTATGCTTAATTAGAGGTCTATATATCATTTTCTTACTCAATGTATGTCGTACCATTGATTTTACCCAAGGTACGATAGAACCACCCATATATATATATAGGTGACTACTTCGGTGCACCCACAAAAATGAGTGCGTTCAATGCACCCAATTCAAAAACTAGTCTTAAGGTGTCGGATTTTGAATTTTAATTTGTAGAATTAGTGTAATATGATGATATAACATATGATAACAACTAATTAGCGGATTACCCTAAGCTATAGACCTCCAATTTTGAGTTATATCCCTAAATCCCAAATTATAAACCCTAACCCTAACCCCAAATCTCTAAACTATAAATCCTTCAAATTAAAGTAAATCTTTAATGGTTTTTGTGCAAATTCATGTGCGTTATTGTTCATCACATCATAAGTGATGATTGACATCATTTTGACATAAATCGCATGTTTAAAATAACGATTATGAAGCGAGTGCACTGAATGCACCCAAAAAAGTGAGTGCACTGAAAACGCCACTATATATATATATATTGTCAAATTCTTTCATCTTCCCCTATATATGGCCTCGTACTAAAAATCATAGTTAGTAAATACTCCGTTTAATACACATATAAGTATCCATACGTATATTATATGTTTAAACCTTTCGTGCTCGTATTATTGTCAAGACATTTTAATTTTTTCGTTCATATGATGGTTCCCGTACTAAACACGTACAAAAACCATATAACATGTTTAATATCCGTATCTAATGAATTAAATTGCTAAATTTACTATTATTAATATTTTAATTTATTTTTAAAATAAATAATTTTGTATATATATGAATATTACCATACTATTAAACATAATATTAGCTTAGAAATAGAGTAAAATACTCGTATTTATTTTATAGCGTATCATATTTTACTAACTATGCTAAAAATATATACAAATCATACAACATATGTACTTAATAACCTAAACAGAACATATAGACATTTATTATTTTGAAAATAATTAATTATATATATATATATTTTACTAATGACATACTATTAAATATATAAATATTTTAGAGATGTAAAGAGATAATTTATTTATTTAATTATTTATTTCTTCTATCTATTCAACCAAATCATGCCACATGGTACTCTTTCTTCAAGTCCCCTATTATCTTTGATTGGTTTATACATTTTTTCATTTGAATTTGCACAAAAACAAATAGATTCTTGGGATATGATGTTTGTTTTGATTTTAAATAATTCATTTTTTTCATCAGGGAAACATGGGCACGATCGCGTATCACATCCATGTACAACACTGCTATACAATTATACTAACATAGTATATATTTTGTATCACCTCAATAACTAACTTGATATGATGGTGGTATAATTATGAAGCACCATAGTACGCGATGTAGTTCTCAATGAGTGAGAACATCATTAATGAACGTAAGGTATGTTTAGTTGCTAATGGGTCTAGTAAGTCACGACAAGATCAAACATTAATAGTGGAGACTTAGATTATCCGTTGATAATCATAGATCGAGGGAAAACATAATAATTTTGAATTATTAAATTGTGGAAAAACAAAGTTCATATGCTTAGAATTTACGTAACACAAGTATTGAAGATTAGAAAATTCGATAAGTAGGCTAAGCTGGCCTTAGCTTACCCTTTAGCCCAGAACCTTTCTAACCAATCTACGGATTTGCCACTCTCGCCGCCACACCATGGCGACGCCAATCAAGCCTACTAGTCACACTCTACTCTGCTTCTGCTACTTCCTCCTCTTGTTCACAATTCCACCGCCGTCGGCGGCGGCCGGAGACTCCTCCTCCTCGCCCTCCCAAGTCATCTCCCGGTTCCAGCAATACCTCCAGATCAACACCGCCCAGCCCACTCCCGACTACCACCTCGCCGCCGAGTTCCTCATCTCTCAAGCCGATTCCATCTCCCTCCCATCCCGCTCCATCGAATTCGTCCATGGCAAACCCTTGGTCCTCATCCACTGGCCGGGCTCCGATCCCGACCTCCCTTCCATCCTCCTCTACTCCCACACCGACGTCGTCCCCGCCGAACCCCACAAGTGGGACCACCCTCCTTTCTCCGCCCACCTCGATCCCTCCTCCGGCCGCATCTTCGCCAGAGGCTCCCAGGACATGAAGTGCGTCGGGATGCAGTACCTCGAGGCCGCCCGCCGCCTCAAGGCCTCTGGATTCCGACCCCGCCGATCCGTCTACCTCGCCTTCTCCCCCGATGAAGAAATCGGCGGCCACGATGGCGCCGAAAAGTTCGCCTATTCCGATGTCTTCGACGCCTTGAACGTCGGCGTCGTCCTCGACGAAGGTAAACTAATTAACTAACTTACTTACCGATTGCTAGGGCGGAGTGTTGTTATTTTTCTCGTTATGCTGATCGGAGAAGAGAAAACCAGGGCTGGCTTCGCCCGGTGACAGTTACAGACCGTTCTACGCTGAAAGGAGCCCCTGGTGGCTGGTGATTAAGGCCGTCGGAGCTCCCGGCCATGGAGCTAAGCTTTATGACAACAGCGCCGTGGAGAATCTGTTCAAGAGCATCGAGTCAATCAGGAGGTTTAGGGCGTCTCAGTTTGATTTGGTGAAAGCTGGATTGAGAGCTGAAGGGGAGGTCATTTCTGTTAACATGGCCTTCCTTAAGGCTGGCACTCCTTCTCCAACTGTAACTCTCCTTGCCTTCCATTTTTTTCTCTTTTGCGTCAATTTTCACAATGCTTATAGAGGATGTTTCTACAAATGGCTTTCCTCAACGGTCCGCTGTTCTACTGTCTTCCCCAGGGGTTTGTCATGAATCTGCAACCATCTGAAGCAGAAGCAGGTTTTGATATCCGAATCCCGCCAACTGCTGATCCTGAATCGTTGGAGAGACGGATCAACGAAGAGTGGGCGCCAGTTTCACGCAATATGACATTCCAGGTGATGATGCTCTCCTTGTTAGCTCCAATGAATGGTGATAGCTAAAAGAGTCAAGAGAAGAAAACAGTGATAATGAATCATAGTATTTGGTTGAGTGCTTTCTGTTTGTGTTATTCTCTAATTTTCTTTTAGCTTGGACAGTTCAAGCAAAAGGCTTCTGTGTATGACAAGGAAGGGAAACCCATGCTTACAAAAACAGGGAGCTCAAACCCGTGGTGGATGCTGCTCGAGGAAGCTGTAGGGAAAGCCAATGGAAAGCTTGGTAAGCCAGAAATCTTCCCTGCAGCAACAGACTCTCGCTACTTCCGAGAACGGGGTCTGCCAGCCATCGGCTTCTCTCCTATGGCCAATACACCTGTTCTTTTGCATGATCACAATGAGGTACTGTTACTAGCTGCCAGCTCTTTCTTTGGTTACCTGGTCCATAAATGAATAGGTTTTCTTCAGACTAGGAAGTCTATTGAGATTGCTTTGCAGTCATGACATTTGTCTTTGCCGATAGGAGAACCATGCTTGATTTGAGGTTTTTGGTTGTGATGCATACTCTTAAATTGTAGAGTCTTTGAAGCTATTCGAGACTTGTTGAACATTACCAACCAGCACTGCTATTGCTTTATGTTTCCCCAGCATTCGTAACGTGGCATTGTTACTTGCTGCAGTTCTTGAGCCAAGCCGAGTATCTGAAAGGCATTGAGGTGTACGAATCCATAATTAGAGCTTTCACATCTTCGGAGCATACTGGTGCTTCCAAGGACCACAAAGATGAGCTGTAGGTTGTTTTTAAGCCCTTGTGGTAACATTGACCACTTTTATCATTTTAATCAATAAGTTGGAGAAGAAGAATAGTAAGCAGGACTAGATTTTACCTTCTACTTGTCGAACTTGGCATTGTGAATATATCCTTTGCTCTTAGCTTACAATCTCAATTTGTGATGTGTATAATCCCTTCGTTTCTTGTTAAAGTGAACTCAGAATTATTCAGATTGCATGATTGGATGTGTTAATAGATTCTGGTGTTGCAAGCAAATGGTGGCTCATCTGATATGCAGTAATGAACTGATAATCATAGAAAAATTTCCTATGGCGTTTGAAAGGATAGGTAATATTGTGATGTACCAAAATCAATCAAAGTAGGTGTCCTCTCTGCAGCTTAGCATAGGAACAATAGATCATTGAAATTCAATAGTGAATTAGAGTAAAGTACAGAGAGTTTTTACACAAATAAAGCGTGTTCCTCCTAACACTATGGTCATTCAGGAAAAAGAACTCTACACTAAATATATTCTTCAAAATATAAGCACCTAAGTGATATGACAGTTGGGTAACTGAATCCTATGAAAAGGAAGAGTATTTGCTAATTGTATTAAAGATACTACCATAAAGCTATCAGTCTCTTCTAAAGTTGTATAGTCTTGCTGTCTTGGAATTCTCAACCCTGCAAAACCTAAAGATTGCATTCAACCCCAAGAAAATCAAGAGGGACTTCTGAAATCAACATGCAAATGGAGTAAAGATAACAGATGTAAAGTGTAAGGAAAAACTCCCTTCTAAAGCACAACAATCAAATTGAAAGTACCTCAAACTGGTGCTTAAATCTGTAGACTGCTTGATAATCACTCCACTACTGACTTCACCTACATGTCTAATTTGGGCTGGTATCAAGTTCATCTCTTGAACTCCTTGAAGCTTCCTTTTATTCTTTGCTGCATCTGGGGATTCTCCAGGATTCGGAGCGAACTCACTCTGTAAAGCTTCTCTGTGATGCATTCACTCGGCTACCCATAAGTTGGGTTTTTCCTTTTTCGTCCGTTCTCTTTCTTCTTATCAAAACCAACAATCAGAGGGCTACCCATAAGATGTTATAAATGAAGATGGCAACACTTAGTGTTATATTTCCAAAGAAGACAAATAACCCAAAATAAGAGCATAAGCTGAAAGCTATATGGATCATGTCAAGGGTTCTGATTCAGCAACACAATCTGGTTCTGCCTTTGGTCATTGCAATCTTTAACTAGGAAACCCACTGCATACTCACTCTTTTATATATACTAACTAATATCCAGACCAAGGGACTAAATCAGCACAGCATGAGTATATCAGGGAAATGACTCAACAGGAACTTCATATATATGAGTCCATGGACCTAAAACCAGTAGTCAAATTTTCTTAACTAATTGAATCCCAATCGACTAAAAAGAAATCCACATGCAAATGCCAAATTTTCCTTGCCATTTGCCAATCATTACCAGATGGATGCAAGCTAACTGCAACACAATGAAAGCAATCTAGGGATCGAATAGAATACTCCAACTAAGAGATAATAGGATCTACGATGCACTGCAATGAAGAACAGACAGCATAAACTTTTTTTTGATACCCCACATGAACCAATGCAAGCAAGTACTGAGAAATGAGAACAAATAATACAGACATACCTGGTTAACTACAATTCAGTTTAATAACCTGCATCAACGAAGAACCTAGAATTTACTGGCTCCTTTGCCTTGTCTTTCCCAAGACTTCGTTACCAGTCTCTACGTCAGGCTGATTTCCAAAGCCTGGAAATATAGCAGAAGTAATAGAAGTTGTATAAGCAATAACTATTTTTTAGCCATTGAATTGAAACCAAGGACTGCCTTAATCCAACATTTGATGTTTTAAAATGAGAAATTCATTAACAAAAAAGTATTAACTAATAACACCATGCATTGCCTGAAAACACATTAACTAATAACATCAAATTCACTAACTTAACCAAAGTCTGAGGAGAACCCATCACAATAAATTCACCAGCAAAGGAGAAAACTAAAAGAGTGACACTGGAAAGCTTTTGACTCCCATCCAAGGTATGCTAAGGGAGGAGCTTTTCATTGACAGGTTAGAACATCAGTAAAGATCGATCAATGCTGTACCTTCTAACTCTAGAACCAACTTGAGTCATTATCGCAATCTAACTGGAAGACTTGGAAATACAGAGTGGAATAACTGCTTTCTCTACAAAATTGAAGTAAGCTCCATTGATCTCGGTGAATCAAAGTAACCTAAAGGTAATCAAGAAAGAAAAGAAAGGAAATCCAAGTTTTCATAAGCTAAAATAGGATTAGACAACTTACAGTTTCATATGAATCGGGCACTAACCTTAAATCTATGTCTTTCCTAAAATTCAGAGAAGGGACAAGGGGAATTAGAAAATTCATGAACTTACTTTCCAAACAACTGTTGTATTTCCAAACCTTTCCATGAATTTATCGTAGAACCCATCTACTTAGAAGAGAATAATATCAATTCAATGCCAAATAAATGTCCAAAGCAGAAATCTTTTCAAAAGCGATAGAAAGGGGGCTTGGACAACTGCAGAATGACAGTTATTGTCAGATAAGACTGTAAAGTAGTAACCGAGAACAGTGTAACATATGAAAAATGAGAATGGAAAAGTCATGAAGCTCTCTATCTGTCTAGCTCTAGGTTGATCAATCAGTTTAGTCTGGCTAACTATATTTCTGAGATTGGCACAATGGAAAAAAACTTACAATCGGCAGTGAGTTGTTTTAGCTCTTGTTTGACTCCCCAACGACAGGTTATTTGATCTGCGGTAAAAAAAAATGAAGGGGCATTGCAGTCCATATATGCAGTTTGTGAGTCTTTGGTAGAGACCATGGCAATCCATTGATCGTACAGTGAATGAATATGTTAAACTCTCTTCTTTCTTGTTATCACAAAATGGATATACAGATGAGCATAAATACATGTTTCTGTATGTCCCATTGCAACTACCTCTGACCCTGCATCAGCATCTTAACAACCCCAACGATTCCCCTGCACATATACACAACTTTTTTTCAATACCCCACATGAACCAATGCAAGCAAGTACTGAGAAATGAGAACAAAAAAACACATAACTGGTTACCTATAAGGGCAATTCAGTTGGCTAATCTACATCAACAAAGAACCTAAGTTTTACTGATTCCTTTGCCTTATCTTTCCCACAACTTCGTTACCAGTAATCTCCACAAGAGCAAGCTCCATCATGGAAATGATGGTACCGTATGGGATCCCTAATCACAATTGTCCTCTTCTCCAACTTCGATGCAAGTTTCACAAATAGGTGACAGTCGCCGCATATCCTGAGGTTCTTCCTGATCCGGACAGTTTGTCCCTTGGGCAAATTCATTATACCAAACACCACCGCCAGCTTTTCGCTGTGGTACCTCAGACAATCTCCCCTTTGTTCCTCTCCTTCCAAATCCTTCATCACAAAGTTCAAATCAGGGACATAACCAGCTCTCACGAGTCGCTGAATCAGCGACTCCAGCTGGATCTTAATCTCATTGATCTGCGGATGAGACTCATCTCCAAGAACGAAAGTATGAATCTGTTTACCCACTTCAATCCAGCTGCATCCAGGTTGTTTCTTGATCCCTTTCTCGTTCATCACCTTCCGAATTCCTGCCGCATCATCCCACCTTCCAGCGTTTGCATAGATGTTCGACAGGAGTATGTAGCTTCCCGCATCTTGTGGATTCAGCTTCAGAATTTGCTCAGCAGCATGCATTGCTAGATCCACATTCTTGTGAACCCTGCAACCATCAAGCAAAGTTCTCCACATCGCTCCATCAGGTTCGAATCCCATCTCGTTAATCAGCTCAACCGCTTTGTTGAGCTTCCCTGCTCTTGCTAGAAGATCGAGCATGCAAGCATAATGTTCTCTGCCAGGTTCAATCCCGTAAAGCTTCTTCATTGATCGGAAATGGCACCAGCCATCTTCCACGAGCCCAGCATGGCTGCAGGCGAAAAGAACACCAAGAAGTGTGATGTAGTTCGGTTGTGTTGATGAATCTTTCATGGAGTCGAACAACTTGAGTGCCTCTCTGCTGTAACCATTTTGGGCCAGCCCGGCAATCATGGTGCTCCAAGAGACTACGTCCTTGTCTGCCATCCGGGTGAAAATGGTGTTGGCATCTTCCACGCCGCCACACTTGCAGTACATATCGAGGAGGGCGTTGTTGAGGATCAAGTCCTGATGGTACTTGAATACGTGGACATGAGCTTGTCTCCCCAGCTCCAAGAGTGCTAAGCTAGTGCATGCACTGAGAACGCTGGTCAGTGAAGATTGCTCGGGGTCAAAACCAGCTCTCTTCATCCTTTTGAAAAGATGGAGCGCTTCGTGGCCATTGCTGTTTTGAGCAAAAGCAGCAATGACGGAATTCCAAACTACTAAATCACCGGTAGGCATTTCGTCGAACACGCGGAGTGCTTCTTGTGGGAGCCCCCATTTGGAATAAGCGTCGATAAGAGCACTCCTGACGAAGACATCGGATTCCAGTCCGTGTTTGTAAATGCTAGAATGGAGCTGGACGAGATGGGAGACGCAGCCGCAGGCTCTCAAGACGGAAGAGTAGGTGAACATGTTGGGCGTGACGCCGTGGCGGAGCATGGAGACGAGGAAGTGGAGAGCGTTGTGGGAGAGCTCGGGGACGTTAGCGTGAGCAGAGATGATGGTCGTCCAGGAGACTACATTTCTCTGAGGCATTTCGTCGAACAGGGAACGGGCCTGAGGCAAGAGACGGAGTTTGACATATATGCTGAGCAACATGTTGAGAAGGAAGGTATGAGGAGAGTGGGGAGAAGATAAGATGTGGGATTGGAGGCGGATGGCCAGAGGTGCGGCGCGGCGGGAGAGGCAAGCGTTGAGGAGGTCGGAATAGACGGCCGGGTCAGCCCGGAGTCCATGGGTTTCCAAATCGTCCAGAGCTTTCATCGCTCTGGGTAAGTCTTGCTGATGGCATAACTTGGTGAACTCCGATAGCAAAGAAGAGGATGAGACGTTGGCCGGCGGCTGAGGAGGGGAACACGGCACCGAGACGGGCGGTAAAGGCCGGGGCTTTAGCCTGGCGGCGATCCGTTTCATAGTGTTTTACACTTTCACTCCTCGCAATAGCTCCGTCATGGCGTATTTAGTAGTGTTAAACTCACAGCAGAGGACAGTTCAATATCTTTGTATTGACAAATTTGGTTGTCTTGGCTAGGAGCCTAGGACATGTATAAAACAAAGACGAAGGCTGAGATTGTTCGAAATCTCTCATCTCAATGACTTTTATCAAATTTTCAACAAACAAATGTTGGTCTGATCAGAATTTATTAATAAGTTGAAATACAAAACATTAAGTACCAATGAAACCAATAACATTCACAATGTGTCACATAACAAAGGAATGATGTACACAATAAGATCACATCCCAGCTCCACTTATTCTTCAACATATGATCATATCACAACGAAAAGAACAAATATAAGCGAGCTCAGTCAAACATAGAAAGGAAGAAAGCCAAGGTGGATGAACCAAATAATAACGTGGCATCCAGGGAGTAGCTGATTCCAACTGCAGAGGAAGAACCACCAGGCTGGCCAACCATTTCGGAGATGGGGCTGGTGAGTGCATATGGTCTCCTGGACCATCGTGTGCTGATGCATATATCGCTAGCAATGCTACCACCGCGAAAGAAGTGGCCATCTTGAACAACTGGCCATGGCTGCTGGAAGATGATGATGTGCTTGCCATTGTGAAGAAAGGAAGAAGCTTCCTGGTTCTTTTGGCAATTAGAGGTGGTGGGTTCTTATACAAGAAGAATTTTACTAATTGCCCAGTTGATGAATGATGTCATGGCTATGTGCTGTGTGGAGCAGGTGGGTTTTGGCCTTTTGGGGTTGTTCTTCAATTTTTTTCTGCTGAAAAAGTCAGATCTTGGAAGCATTAATTAACTTGAGGGTTGAGAAATGCTGCATCATTGCAATGTTTTAGACATTTATTAGAGTCTAAGTGCAGAAAACCAGCATATATGTTTGTAAATGGAAACTAATAATTGGAAACTTTCTATACTTAAAAGAACTTCAAAAATGGAAATGAACATTAGAATTCTGAGACCTAGTAAAATGTACTTCTCTGTACAGGGGAGACTTGGTAGTCTGTACTGATAGAGTTGACTTCATAAGTTGTCCAAAAATTGCAGTACAAGTATTGCCTGCCTCACATGCCAAGCTGGGAAAGAAACCTTGTAACAGAAGCAAGAGACTGGCCAGTTAAAGACACAGATGAACCATGCTTGTTCATGCCCTATATTGCTTGCTTATCCTTTGCCATTGGAACCAGTTTGAAATTATCCTGAATCAGTACATTTTGGCCTTTTGGGAGAGATCCAATAACGAATCATATATCATTTCCTTACGCGTCCCTCAAATGGAAGTCAACCCTTGAACTTGAATTTGCACAGAAGACCTATCATACATATACTAATCAAGCGTTAACTTTGAGGTTTAGAGATTCAGACACATGTTGAGAGAGATACCAATTACGAATCATATATCATTTACTTACATGTCCCGCAAATGAGACTCAACTAGTGGACTTGAATTTGTACAGAAGACCTATCATTTACTAACCAGTGGACTTAAGCTCAAATTCGTCATCCCAAAATTATCAAATATGAGTTTATAGTTGTTACTGTTTTCGAGGAGGCTAAGACGTCATTTTAGCTTTAAACCTCATCTTTTACTCCCGGGTTGCGGTTAGCCTTACGAAAATCATATAAACATTCACATTAAAATAGGACATATTTGTTAAAACATAAACTTAATATTTCATGAACTAAACACATATCTAAACACATTGTTATTGGCAGTTTCACCAAATGCGGAATTTACACTTTCTTTTCGCATGTTCATAGTCCTAATAAATCTCCAAGAAACTAACCAATCAATGAATTAAACCACATAGGACAAAAGAATCACATGTATTACGAATAGTGAAAAAGTAATATGAAACCATAATTGAGAAAAGAGCAAATTCATAGGATTGACCACTTCAATGACATTTAAATAAGCAATTTCTCTCTCGTCACATGATAACCAACAGTTCAACAATTACATTACAGTTTCACCTTTTGTAGGCATAATTGTAGACCTAACAACTTTCCTCGATTTTAACTCCACCATACAACTTTTTAAAGTTGCAAACTCGAATCTCGTTTAGAAATAAAAAGTTCATCCAAAACCACAAAAAGTTCGATAATAATTGAAAACAAAAAGGATCCCAAAAATAAAGTTGATAGAATATGAACATACAAGATGATCAACGACCATGGGCTGATGTATGTCCAGATCTCTTGAATTCCATCTACAACAGACTCTCGTCCCATGTTGACGGTACTCACTTTAGCGGCGTATGCAATAACTGGCACCGGGTTCACTCTCACATCGCTCTTTACAATCCCCGACCATTTTTTATTAAAAATGGACAGTTTTCCAGCTCGGACGTCTTCCAAGTGCGGGAGGGTAATCAACTAGTCCTCCAACGACGCCGTGAATCTCAAATCCCGTATTGCCTTGCAAATGTAGACATAAGAATCCTAGGGATGGCTGGTGCGTGGTTGCTTGTAAAAGTGCGTGACGTTGGTTTGGGCTGGTACAATCCTCTACTTCGAAGTCCAGCAAACTACATTGGTCTTCCCATCCCGAGTTGGCATTTTTCTACCTACGACTACCCTTACGGACCAGACACAGTGCTCAAATTTGCTTTCTCAGCGCTACCCACTGCTCAGGACTCAACGATCCTCGTGGTGTATGGTGACCGCTATCTATGCATGTTCCGTCGTGAAAACAATGGTAAATTTGAGCAAAAAACATATGATTTCTCCTTGGGTGGGAAAAAAGGACAAACATGCCTTGGCGTGGGCTACAAAGATGGTAGATTCTTCTGTTTATTTGAAATGGGAGATATGTTGATTTTCAGCATCGACGAGAATGAGGCCAGGATGTTGTTGGCAGCGACTAAGCCCCTACTCCCAGAACAAATCCAACAATGGGACTATTTGTGTGTTGTGGCAGTGGTGGTGGCGAAAAAGGCCACGACGGCAAATGATCGATACCATGAGGTAGAAGAGATGATAGGGTTTAGGCTAGTCACTCATTGGGAGCGAGATCGTGAAGGGAGTTTCATGCTAGTCACATTGGAGGAAGAGAATAACGATGGTAATGACATGGAGGCCAACAATGAAACAACAGGAGTGATTTTAGTGAAGGATCGGTTGCCATTGAAGAGGAATTTTGACATATATTATATGAAAATACTGTGTGCTCTTTTTTGCATGCTTTTAACTTCTTTTATTGTTGGGATTGTCTTGTTCTTCCGAACTTAGAGTAATGAAGTGTTGAATAAAATTAGTGTTGATGATAGGTGTATTGGCATTGTTTTAACTTTTAGGGCTAATTCTTCCAATGGAACACCGGAACGAACTATGACTAAAAGGCCACTTGTTAATATTTTACCCAGCCATTTTTTTCCTAGTGGCGGAGATCTCTTATTCCCCAGAAGCAGAGCCACATTCAAAAGCTCTCTTGTGTAAGTCAATTCTCCGTGCATGGCAAGTGTTGCTAACTTGCTGATAGTTGTCCATCGTTTGTCAAATTTGATCAGTATCTTACAATTTAATTAATACTTAAAAGTTTGATGAATTGAGATGATTTCAGATTTGGGGTCATGAAAAGCATTCCCATGATGTTAAGAGAAAAGGAATTAGGTGCTACTATTTGTACGAAGTAGTTTAACTAGCTTGTTGTCCGACCCGTTGGTCGGAATGTCATTTGAGTACAATGTATTTTTATGTGTATTTAAAATTTTATATTATTTTAAATGTTGAATTTCGTATGATATTAAGGTGACATCGAAATTATTTTTCCAATTTCAAAATTCTTATAACTTTTTATCAATGATAAACATTGGAATCTTAATGGTTATAATCAAAGTTGTGAAACCGGTTTAAGACGTTGAGTCGATCAAGCAAGTAGTTTGACTGAGATCCAACATGTTTGAGCTGTTTTACACCTTATCTATATATATATATATATATATATATATATATATATATATATGGATATATATATATATAAAAGAGATAGAAATTTAGTGACTGAAATGGAAAATTCTAACTTGTATCTATTCAAAACTCAAATTTCATAAAAAAATACCTATCTCAAGAGTCAAGATCCACCTACCATCTCTTTGCCTCTCTATTCTTGTCCCTCTATAACAATAAGACCTTTGGTTTGTAGAGCCCGTTTTGGAGCACGACTTTGGTCGGACCTAGTACAACTAGCGGTCCGGTAGAGGTGTAAAAATCTTGATTATAACACTCGTGAATAATCACCCATAACTTGTTTGTTTAATGATGTAGTCACTTAGTTGCCTATGGTGGAAAAGAAAATTGACATAACAATAAAAGAGTTTGTCTGAAAAAGCGTAGCATAAATAGGAAACTCATGATCATAACCTTTAGTCAATATTTATTTCTTTTGTTTGAAAAACAATATATAAATAGCAATATCTAAACCTTAAAGTATTTTACACAATACAATAACAAAATTAGTAAGAAAATAACATTTTCCATCCATACTCTATGCAATGAAAAAAATATTTATCAACCAACATACTTTAAATTTAGTTGAAGGCCAAATTTATTCACTCAACAAAAAAATTAAACCTATCTTGTGGTACCGACCTTCTTAATGCACATAATCACATCAATGCGTCCATGAAAACTCCAGCCCGACTTTCAGGTTTGTCTTACACCCCGGTTATTTCATATTAAACTAAGTAACTATGAATGATGCATATAGTCAATTACCCTATAAGATAAAAGATTGAAATCATATAGAAAAATTGGTATTTAAGAAATTATGTTCTTTTAAACTCACCCGTTTGTTCAATCATGCCATATTATCAGATTTAGAATTTAACGGTTAATCAAACTAAAATTTTAAAAGAACTAGCCACTTACAGTTTGAATAACAATCGTTGTTTTTATAGTTCTAAAAATTAATACCAAGTTAAGAATAATACATCATTTCTACACATTCAATACTGCAATTCAATGTGCAATATTCGTATCAATGATATTTTTGTTGCAATTTTAAAAATTATCCTCCATTTATAAGATAGACATAAATTAAATTTATTATTAAACTCAAATTAAAATAATCAAATATGAAAATTCAAATATCAAATAATAAAGAAAATACTTACGAGAGAGTTAGTGGGCTAGCTAACAACAGTGAAAAAGTCATATGGTTTTTAGATTTTAGTATTTAAAAAGGGGTTAATTGCATGGTTAATCACTCAGATTGCAAAAAAAAAAAACGTTCAAATTTGGTCACTCGAAATAGTTAAATCTTTTGGTGGTACTTCAGTTTACTGAAACCGTTCACGCTTGATCACTGTCCGTCTAACTCCGTTAGCTTTTTCTTACGTGGCTGTCAACTCTAAAAGTTTACCGTCAAATTTGTGACGTGGCAATTTAAAAGTAATAAAATTAATTTTTCAAAATTGTCATATCATTTCCACCTCATTATCACTTTTATTTAAAATAAATAAAAAAACCCTAATTTCTTCTAATCCCCAATACCAATACCCCACCCTTTGGCCACCGCCTGATTGATGAACAACCTCGCGTAGGAGTGGATCCGGATCGTGTCGTGAAATCATCAGGGCCGGTCTATAATATTTGGAGGCCCTGTTCGAAAATTAAAAATGTGGCCTTAAATTTTAAATTTCCAATCGAACGCCATGCAAAAATGAAAAAAAAATTAAAAATTTGATTAAGGAAGTCTCCAAGTCCAATTCCTGTCTCTATAAAAAAAGTCCAATTCCTATCACGTTGAGAAAAAAAAAAAAAAGCAAAAGCCAAAAGGTTATTTGGCCCATTCCAAATCACGACCTCATTTCAATTGAAGGCCCCATTCCAATTCGCCCTGTAGCCTACAAGTCTTCTGTCTTCACAGCTCCACTTGACAATCTCCGAATAACGGCCTCATTTTACATGTATATATATATTATGTGTATGGGCTTGAGGCCCCATAATTTTGGAGGCCCTGTGCTGTGGGTCTGGCCAGCACAGGGCCTGGGCCGGGCCTGGAAATCATCATTGTACATGTATTATATTATATGGATCGTGTCATTTCAGAGGCAACTCTGGCATTGCTGGATGGAATCACTTTCCGAAGGCAGCAGTGGCGGATCCAGGGGGTGGCCACCCCTGGCCCCGGCCCCGGCCCAGCCCTCCTTTAGATCCATAGTTAGTATAGTACTTATGAATTTTTCGATTTTAGGCATTCGGCTTAGTGTGATTTTATAATAAAATTGGGTATAACTAGAAAAATGATTCAGATGACCATATTCTAATCACTACTCTAAATTTAGCCTTTAAATTTTAGCCCCAAAGATTATGCATATAAAAAAAACAATGAAAACTAAAATTCTAAAAGTTTGAAACGTAAAACACTAAAAGAAATATGAGGTTTGTTCCCTTGAAAACTTACTAGAGCAGTTGGTGGATGCAGGGATTGACACACAATGCCAATTGATTAGTCGATTGATTTGTCTAGTGTTAATGCTGCTCGTTTCAATAGCTACTACGAAAAGAACATTTTCAACAATGAAATATGTGAGAACTGATTTGCTCAACAAAATGAGCGATGGATTTCTTGCCGATTGCTCAAGTATTTTATTTGAAACAGTGTATACTATTGGTATTGATGTAGGCTCCATTATTGAGGCATCACTAAATTAAAATACCGTCGTGTACAATTAACATTGGAAAAAATTATAATCATTATGTTTTTTTACTATTCAATTTTCTAATGAAACTCGGCCCAGTACTCTTCTGTGTTCTGGATCCGCCGCTGGAAGGCAGGAGGATATCACAGAGATTGTTTTGGGAGGAAGGCTGGTTCCTGGTTGTTCTTCGAATTTCGACAGCTAATGGGATGTACTGGTCGGATGTTGTCGTCAGAGTTGATAGAGATGCTATTATCAAGCAGAAAGCAGCGCTGAAGCAGTCACTTGTTCGTGTAATAGAAGCAAAGCTTCCTAATTATCCTCCTCCTACGCGAGCCGGATCCACTCTGACGATAGGGAGCCAAGCCCCCCGAGTGGACGATTCGAAGCGGGAGCTCTTCAAGAAAGTGATCTCGTACATGACGATAGGGATCGACGTCTCGTCCCTCTTCGGCGAGATGGTGATGTGCTCCACAACTCCGTGACGCCGGATATCGTGCTGAAGAAAATGTGGTACCTCTACGTTGGCAATTACCTCCTCCTCCACCACGATCCCGATCCAGGGAAGTCGGTGAAGCTCGTGACGAGCCGGATCCACTCCTACACGAGGCTGTTCATCAATCAGGTGGTGGCTAAACAGTGGGATATTAGTATTGGGAATTAGAAGAAATTACGATTTTTTTTATTTATTTTAAATAAAAGTGATAATGAGGTGGAAACGATATGACAATTTTGAAAAAATTAATTTTATTATTTTTAAATTGTCACGTCACACATTTAACGGTCAAGTTTTAGAGTTGATCGCCACGTAAGCAAAAGCTAACGGAGTTGGACGGCAGAGTGACCAAACATGAATGATTTCAGTAAACTGAAGTACCACCAATGGATTTAAATATTTCGAGTGACCAAACTTGAACATTTTTTGTAATCTCAGTGAACAACCATGCAATTAACCCCTTTAAAAATATACCAAATATTTCTTTAGTACAATTGGTAATGAATGTTATCTTTGTTTGGAAAGACCATGATTCAAATCCCGATATTGATGTATTTTATTTCTATGAATAAAAAATAATATTTCGTAAAGAGCGTGATATTGGTTGGTCTGGGCATGCACATAAATAAGAGCATCCCAATCCATGGGTGGTTTTAATTTGTTGCTAGAGCTACGTACTGTACTGGTACTGTCTGAGAATTTAATTTCTGTTGCTTGGTTGGTTTTAGGTTTTAGGCAATGTATTGTGGTGCAATTTCCATAAACAGGTATGTATTTTACCCTGTGCCAATGACCCACCCTAGATACGATAGGATACGATACGATACGAGGAGGCAAGGATGCTTTGCTTTGTAGTGAGCTGGTACATGTTTTTTACAAAAACATTGTAAATTCATTAATACGGACTGTGAGGGTGAACAGATTTTGGGCCCAAACTCCAAGAAAGAAAACAAGAAATACGGAAGGGCTCAAAATCAACAACAATCAAAAAGAACCAAGGCCCAACCGTTGGCCTGATAAACATAACCAAAGAGAACCATGGCCCAACAAATAGCCTGAAACCCTAGCACCCCAACTGAAGTAATTAATTAATAATATAATAAGCCAGAAAGCCACCCTCCTCCAAATGATTGGCAAAAACAACTTACTTACATAATTGATTTCGATTCAACCAACGTTACTCATTCACTCGGTAAGTCCCAAACGTGTTTAGCAGCAAATTGAAAAGAAAGCAACAGACAGAAAGGAAAATCCGATAGCATAGTTAGTTCCCCCACTCCTAGCAAAGCAAGCCCAGGCCCAGGCCCAGGAAAAGTAGTAAGCCCAGACAAGACAGATTGCAGGGAAAATTGGAATGGGGGACGAAAAGCTAGCTAATTAAGTGTGTGTTTGTTCATGAAAGACTATAATAACGTAACTAAGTAGCGATGGATAAATACAATAAAGCTGTGGGTTGGGACTTGGGAAGCTTAGTAAGTAAATCCAATTCACCCTTCCTTTTGCCACCTCAAGCGGTGGAACGTCGCTGCGGCTCCTCATCCTCCGGCCCGGACTTTGGAGTCAAGAAAGGCTCTTTTTCCTTTTCCAAGTCCACACTGCTCGCTCATAGAAGAAGAAGACGACAATTAAGAAATTGGAAGGTTAGCATTAGAATCCAGACTACTTGGGAGATCGAGGGGAAAGCATTGAAATTAAAACAAAATGGAAAAAGGGACTCACTCCTCAAAGTCAATGAATTGAGAAGAAGAAGCTTCATCCTCCAACCCCGCCGTCACATGGCCACCCACACGAGTCGAAGCATTTTGGGCGTTCCACCCTGCTTGCAGTGCCTCCAACCCCACCGTCACATGGCCACCCATACGAGTAGTTGCCGGACGATCACCACCGCCTTGGGGATTCTCAGGAGCAGGAGCAGGAACTTGGGGATTCTCAGGAGCAGGAGCAGGAACTTGGGGATTCTCAGGAGCAGGAGCAGGACCTTGGCGAGCAGGAGGAGGTGGCGGCGGGGGGGTGAAGGGAGGTGCATTAGGTGGTATCGCCCTAGGCCCAGCCCGGGCCGTCATCCCCGCCTCGTAAATCTCCTTGGTGGGAGGATGGTAATCATCCAGGTACTTGCCAAGAAACATCAACCCCACCAGAACCGCCGATATTCCCACCAACCAACCCCAGTTGCCCCTGTGACCTTTGCCAAGCTCTAGCCCCAAAAGTCCGCTGCCAGTGGTGCTGTCCAGTCCAAGTTCCAGTCAACATGCAGCATGTACACAAATCAATCAATTAATTAAAAAGCCCCAATCGGCAAAACCCTAATTTTTTTATATATTAAACAAACAGACCGATCCCACCTAATATAAAATGAATTAGCTAGCTTAGCTAGGAATCAACTTTCTTTCTTTCTTTCTTTCTTTCTTTTAGCCAAGCCAAGCCAGGCCAGGCCTGGCCTTTTTTCACCATAAATAATCAATTACAAACAAATAAAACACCCCGGCCCCTTGCATATACTAAACCAGACCATCTAAAAAGAAAAGACGACTGCATCGACCATCTTGGGATGAACCAGCACACACCCAGCCCAATATAATTAAAAGCCGGCCGGCCGGCCGGCCACAGAAGAGAATAACCCAATAACCTAGCTACCACCGTACCTACGTATATAGCTAAGCTAAATCATGAAAGAAAAACAAAGGAAGGAGGAGCTCAGAGTCAGAGGACATACCAAATCCATGCCATAGTAAAATCAAATCTCATCGGAAACTTCATATACCTTGAGATGCTAAAAGCATAACAAGTGTATATGAGAGTCAGCCACGGCTTGAATTTAGCGTCGGAGGCCATCGCACCAATTGCCACCGCATAGGCGATCCCAATACACTGCAGCGTCGCTCCGCCGTTCCAACGGACCACCCACCCTATACCCATATCTTGGGTTAACCACCAGCGCCCGCCGACCCCAACCGTACCCCACACCACCAAAAAGTGACACATAACCGCCATAGAGAGCCAACCAACAACCGTTTGCGACCCACCCATAACCAAGCTCATAACAATGACCAGCACCCCAAACGCTGCAGCCACACACAACCAAAATTGGTAGTTGATATACGCCCATTCCCTCGCCCACTCACAGCCACTCCGGAAACGCTCTCCAAAAAGAGTAGCTACACCCGACCTCACAGACGCGCAACCACTCCGGAAACGATCGCCAATCCCTGCCATGTTACGTCGTTGGTGAAGAAAAGAAAATGGAGCCGACGGGAAGGAAGGAAGGAAGGAAGGAAGGAACGGAACGGAGAAGGGGAGATCAAATGGATGGCGATAAACTTTTCTGTGCAGAGAAAGAGAACATATATCAGCCAGCCAGCCTGCCTGCCTGAGGTACGTACACTCTCCGCGTAGTTGCCAGCTTTCATCTGTATTTTTTCCAACAGGCAAAAAGCCAAAAACTGGGCAGCCAGAAGCCAGGAGCAGAATGAAAAGAAGAAGAAAAGTAAAAAAGGGAAAGGGAAATTAAGCACCAAAATAGTAACAAGAGTGCCTGCGAAATGGAAATGCAACGTAAACAGCAACCAAAATCTGCCCCTGGCTACGTGGCTGCCTAGTTTTGTCTCTTTGTATTTTACTAGCAATCAAATCAAATCAAATTTTTTTTTAAATGCCACATTTTAGTCATTGTAATTACTAAATCGTGTCATGTATAGTCACTATAAAAATTTAATATCAATTTTGGTCACTCGAATTACTGAAACATGTCATATTTAGTCAATTTTCCGTTAGCCTCCATCCAATTCCGATCACTCGAATTACTGAAACAAGTCACATTGTCACTCTCTCATTAGTTTCCGTTCAACTCTATTAAGTAATTTGAGTGACACAATTTAGTAATCTCAGTAACCAAATTAGGTATTTATCCTTGTTGGAAAGTTTCTACTTCACACCAACAAAACAAAAACAAAAAGGCCAGAATATGTATGACATTGACACTAAAGAGAAGGGGAAAAGACCGACACGTGGAGAGTCATGGTATCGATTATGATTTGATTTGATTTTATATGAATGAAAAGTGGCACGTGATGCACTTCTTCTATACTCTATATACCTCTAGATTTTCACAATATTAATCAATAGGACATTCAATTTTTATGATGCATGTATATACCTTGAAAACGTCAAATTAATCAAATTAAGTGTAACATTATCAAATTAATCAAACTTGGTATGAATTACAAGTCATTAGGATATAAAGTGTTATCATACTCTTAATTATATAAATAAGCAACAAGTTTGTATTATATATATTCCAAGTGTACGTTATCATACCATGCACAACTTGGATTGTAAATAAGCAAACCGATTAGCTAGCTAGCTAGCTTCAAATAAGTCTGCCAACTACCTCTTTAGTATATATGGCTGTGATGAAGGCTCGATAGTTTTGATGATTTCAGTCTTTTGTGTATAACATGCATGCATGGCTATCCACTTGTATTTGTGAAATTTTGGCCACACCCAAAATTCCTTTCCTCTGAAGCGAACAATATATTTTATAGATACAAGGATGGGCGGGGGCAAAGTCATGTTATCAATGTTATATATGTTGGTCATCATTTAAATTCAGAGTAACTGCGAGAGAGTTGAATTATATTGGTAACTACAAAAATCGAACAGATACCTATACATACAAAACTATGTTTGTTTCTTTCCAGATTAGGTCATAGGCCACACCCAAATTTTCTACCAAGTGTTCAAGTAGGGACATATTTGTCAAAGCATAATAGTCGAGGGACTAAAGACGTACGTGACCTAGCTAGAGGATAAAAATTATACTAGCTAATTTCTATCTGCATGCATGCCCAACAAATCTCATTCCTTGTTGTGGTATTAATAAGATCTTGATGTTTGAATCATATACATAGCAGAAAATAAGAAAAAGTCGACCAAAATTGGCAAGGAGAAGATGCATACTCGTTGTGATGTTGTTTGTTGGGTGAGGTAAAGTTGAAATTGACGATGGGTTTCCCCTCTGATTGAGAAATTGATGATGTATAATAGGAAGGAAGCATAGTTATAGTTACGTATTGTGTTGAACATAAGATTATGTGGAATCTTTTAACCTTAATTTGTATTTTCTCTCTTACTGTTGTTGTTTCGGCAGAGGCTAGCTAGGCCTAGCTAGGCGCGGCGTGAGTGGTGGACTGGTGGTGATGGCCGGCATGCAGCGTGCGGTCAGCGGTGGCAGCTACAGTACGAAAGCCTCCCTCCCTCCCTCGGCTCTCTCTCTCTCTCTCTCTCTCTCATCTCATCAGCCCGTTGTTTTGTCGTCTGTCCTCTCTCGGATTATTCTCACTAAAAGACAGCTTAACTTAAATGCATTTCCGGCAAAACAATTACAGAGGGTGGACTGGTTTCTTTCTTTGCAGTGATGATGGATTATAACAATTACTATTAGCTACTCATATTTCATATTGCCCTATTCTAATTATACTTACCAACCATTATGTCCATAATTCCGGCCAGATTCCCAACTAGTGAACAAGTTTTATATATATATGCATGCGTAACCCTTGGCTCATGTGAACTCATGTTACGTGGATTTATCTCACACGTAACAAGTATGTGAATGAACTCAAACGATAATAAATAAATAAATAAATAAATAATAGACTTAATCAGAACGAAGAGGAAGAGAAATAGACTTTAGGACGAAAATTAGAATTTTAGACAAAGAACAAACCAAGACACATGAGTTGGATTTCAGTGTTTTATTTTTAGAGTTCCACAACCAAATCTCTTTCCTTCTCACACTAGGCTTCAATCTCTCTCCTTTTTCCTTTCCCGGCTAGAATTATCTTTCTTCCCTTACAAGAACATTAATTAATTAATTCATTACTAAAACATAAAAGGTACGCAAACTCAAAAAATACCCTAATTATTACGATAACTTAATTCTTGTGACATAAACCCTAACTTAATGCATCTCACTTGTTCACTCGCCCAATTATACCGGAATAATAATCAAACCCTAAAACCCACGAATATTAATTGACCGCTTGTACATACAGACCCAATATAGATTGAGGAGGGGCTGGAACTTAGGCTTCAAAATGGTGGTCGAGGGATATGATTGAGCGAAAAGACTATATGTAGAATAACCGAGAAACAATATGCATTTTATTTCCTTAGCACTAAAATTTCGACACACACAATTTTGGTATTCTCATCACTATATGTCAGCATTACTTCCAGACTAGCTAACTCTCACCGTAATGTCATAAAAACTAACATAATATTATATATCAAGACATAATCGTTTGACAATCAAATACCAAACTTTGTCTCAAAACGCTCTGATAATACCATACCATATCATTGCAAGCTGGCGTATGCAAAGTTGTTATTAGTTTTATATTATTGCAATTAAATAAATAAATAATTACGAACAAGGGATTGGTCTAGTGGTAATACTACTAGCCTTGAACCTGGAGGTCCCAGGTTCGAATCCCTTCAGTAGTACCTAATTACAAAAAAATAACCTATATCACTCTTATCTAAAAAATAAATAAATAATTTCATCTCAGAAGTGGAAAGTTGATTGGGAACCTACGGATTGAATACGATTATCTCGTAAGTCGTAATAATTATTTTGAACACATTGTTACATAAAATTTTAGTTTATAACATATGTTCATGTTTATATCTTTTCATTATCTTAATTAATGTTTGTATGCATATGATAAATGAATGATTTATTATTATACTATGCAAAAACGTCTAGTCTCTGATCTCTTAGTCCTGGCTCCACTCCTGCTCTAATTGGACCATGCCACTTACTAAACCAATCTAATAGGATTAACAATATACTACTACTTCTTAGTCGTTCACTCGTTCTCTCCGTAACTTGTCTCAAAGAGTTTGATATCGTATTATTACAAAAGTTTACGCATGAAGATTTGGTAGTAATGTTTTTTGGACTCACCAGATACATTTATGGCAAAGTTTGACGTGGTTTTCATCAAATTCAAATTTATTCATCATAAAGCAAATTGAACAACCCTTTATTTCCTTGTTACAAGAACTGAATCGGACAAATGACTCGATCAATAGAACTGTCAAAAAAGTTTTAAATAGCGGTTTGTTTGTTTGAATGGTTAGAGATGAGTCCAACTATATTCTTAACGATCATAAATGAAAACAGATCACTACCACAATTTGACCGGTTCACTGTGTTGACTACAAAAAATTTAAAAATAAAGAATACAACATAAACAAATACTATCCAACCTTGATTATCATTTTTGCTTCCTCTTATTCTTTTCTCAGCCTCATTGTCGACTTTACGTGGTCTACTACCGAATCAGATGCCCATTATATTCCATTATTTGGTTATGTTTGATGTTCTTTGTTCCGTAGTAGGGGTGTTCAAATGGTGTGGTTATCATGGAAACCGTTTTAACCAGTAGTATTTGGCTAATTTGGTTAGGTTAATTTGGATAATGGTTTGGTTTGGTTAAATATTTTAGCTTATTTGATTTAGGTGGTTTGGTTTGATTTCAGACACTCTTAACCAATGAAACCAAGTTAACCAGTTAATTAATTAGCCATATATATAATATAAATTATATATGCATATTAAATACTTTGCATAACCATCAAGAGTCAAACTTTCATCCCTTTTATACTCATAAAAATAAAGGTCAATATTGTTCTTCTATAGTATATTTGCATTTGTAGAATGTAGATCACAACGACGTCTAATTTAGATAAAACTTATAGATTATGTTGGATGAAAACTTAGAAGTAATGTCTTTTTCAGCCTATAATAGTTGCTAAGAGACTAAGTCAATTCACACAAACACAACAATTCGTTAACCTCATAACATTGCATATATTTTTGTTAGGTGAATACTTCTATTGATTGTTAGATAATTCTATTAGTTGCATGTATTTGATGTCAAGGGTTAACAATAACTATGTATTAATCCAAAAAAATTATCACTTTATGATAATATAATATTGGTTAATCTGGTTAATCCAAGTTCAAGGGTCGGTTACCGGTATATCGAATACCGCCGGTTATCGGTTCGGTAAACGGTTAACCCGATAACCGAATCATCGATTACCACCCCTACCCTTGTAATGGCAACTAATAGAAGCAGATACCATTAAATTTCAAGTTTTAATATACTTAGTTACATATTATTAATTATGAGTAGCAATTAAATATATACGAAAAAATGTTCTCTTTTCCTAATATTATTTATAGCAATAGGAGATGTTATGTCCAATCTACAATTATATACAAGAATTACTATATACAAAAAAAAAAAAATGGAATCACTACCCTAGGTGGTGGTATCTGACTATCTGTTGCAGAAGGCTAGCAGCTTATTGCTGAATAATACTCCGCTAATCGTCCAACCCATGTGGATATCTGAGTTCAGTGCTCAATACCCATACAATAGCTTATACCCACACAATAAGATTGATCCAAGGACAAAGGCACTCGATAATTCGAGATATGTCATATTATTACAAAACCTATAATATTATTAATGTTATTGAAACTTATTAGCTATATTATTGTTATACTTTTATTTATACGGTAGAATATATATCTCTCATAACAATTTTGGTTTTCTGAATTTTAATTATCAACATATCTCAGGGCTGACAGCTAGAAGCTGCAGGCGCGCTCTCTCCCCCATAAGTTTAGCATTTACCAGCCCATGCCCATCCACAGTAAAAAAAAAAAAAAATACAACAACATTGGATCGCCAAAAGACAAAAATGTACATATTAGAATAAATAAATGTTTGATCAGAGAAGCCACGTCAGCATTCATCGTAGCCAAGTTTGTCCGTTTGTCGTCGGTTTCGTGCATATGCCGTTTATTGCTGCGCTCCTTCACCTCCCAAAGCTTTCTCATGAGATGAATCTCTAGCAGGTTGGTTATGCCCTTGCTGTTTGTCATTTACCCCATCACACTCGGGTTCTATTCGTTTCAATTTACTTGACTTATTGGACGAGTCTTCATATATGAAAGTTATATTCTTATCTTTAATTTTTATACATTTCTCTCAACACAAAAGTCAACCTAAATGCTTAATCAAGTATTAATGTTGTCAGCTATTTAAACTCGAATGCATGACCAATAGAACATCACAGTCTCTATCTGATGCAAAATGTTGAGAACAAGTTCGTTTTTGATAACTTGGAAAAAAAGTTATAGGTGGTCAATGAGCTTGAAAATTGCAAAGAGCAATCCAAAACTTGCTTTCGTGAACTAGAAATTTGGCATGTTCCATGGATTTTCAGAGATTGCTGCTATCGTGCCTTTTGTGCTTGCCTTGTATGTTAAATATGTTAATAATATCGAATCTTATGAAGTAGAGGAATTTTTTCAAAAATATTCAAAAAAAAAAAAACATTGAATTATGTTGATCTGATCAACGAATAGCTACTACATTTATACAGTATAATTATATATCTACTCATTTTGCCTTTCTGTTTCTGATCTCTCTATATCGTAAGTTTGGCATTTACCAATTATCGCAGTCCCATTCACAGTAAAAAGTAAAAACAACATTGGATCGATGCAAATGATTTTTTTTTAAAGAATAAATAAATGTTAATCTTGTTGACCAGAAGCAACGTCAGCATTCAATTCATGATGGCCAATCTTGTCGTTGGTTTCTTGCTCCTCCAACCCCAACCCCAACCCCAACCCCAGGATTTCGTTCCCTTTACCCGTTCTCGTTTCTTCCTGGAACAAATCCTGGAGAAACGTTTCGTCGCTCTGAAAGTGAAACTGCGCCCCCTGTCTTCTCTTGCCCTATCTCCCATTCTTTTCCGTCGATCCTTCCAATCGCCTGCCAGCCTGCCACGCATCCCTTCTAGTTTATTCGTTTTAAGAAATCAGATGTATATTTATATTTCTGAATCGCTATTCGTCGTCCTAAAATTTAGATTTTGTCGCTCTAAAATGTATCAAATTGACATTATTACCCTAGTCCCAATTTCAACCTAAATCTTACACGAAAAATTTATTTTGCCCTGCCCAGCCGTCGCCAAGCTCATCCGTCCTCTAACCGCTGCTGCCGTTGTCGGATTCTTATCAACGGCTCGTCTTCCTTTTTCCAATCCGAATCACCCCCGCTTCCAACAGCACACCTAGGTCCTCCACCGTATGTACGAGCGAGTGGATAAGCATGGAGTACCCAGCAAGAATTGGGGATTCTGCTCAACCCCCTTCCCCCCTTCCCCTGCCTTTGGCCCCTCTCCAGAAACAGAGCCTGCCACCTTGCAACCAAGAAATGACATGCCGCCATCTAGCTCCGTCCGAGCCCCACCGCTCTCTGCGAGACCAGCAGCTGCCATGTCGCCCCGACACACGACCAGGCGGGTGGCGCGCCACTCCTGCTGGTGAGACGGGTCCCGTCCCAACCTCGCCGACGACGGGAACCGAGGGTAAAACCCAGTAATGCGACTTTCTTCTCCTCCCCTCTTCTTCCTCTTCTTGACGGATGTGGGCGACGACGGAGGTGCACTCCCGATTCCATCTTCCGACGATGACCGAGTGCTTTATCAATTAAATTGAGGGAAATAATTGGCTTTAATGGGCTAGAGTCAATTATCAATTGCTGATGACCGGGGGCTTTACCAATTATTAAGGGAAAGAATTGCCTTTAATTAACGAGGACGAATTATCAATTATTGGCAGCGGCGATGGGTGCATAATCCGGTCTTGGGATGGCTGGCAACATACTTCAATTCACGTAGGTTAGAAATGGGGTGAGGGCAAATTTGTCTATATAAAAATTTAGGGCGATAAAATTTAAAATTATAGGGCGACGAATAGCAATGCCCTTATATTTTGGCTAAATTACACGTTTGGTCACTCAAATTACATGAATCTTTCACATTTGTCACTCGAATAACTTTTTTTTCTTATTGACCACTAACTTTACGAATCCTTTCACCAGTAGTCACTGGCCGTCAGTCTCCGTCAGACTCTGTTAACTCCGTTAAATTTTTGATGACGTAGCAAACGAAATTACTTTTCTTTCTTACCTTCAGCAATTCCGTTTGCCACATCATCAAAAAACTAACGGAGTTAACAGAGTCTGGCGGAGACTGATGGCCAATGACTACTGGTGAAAGGATTCGTAAAGTTAGTGGTCAATAAGAAAAAAAAAGTAATTTGAGTGACAAACGTGAAAGATTCATGCAATTTGGTGAGCAAACGTGTAATTTAGCCGAGTTGACTTCATAAGTTGTCCAAAAATTGCAGTATTACAAGTATTGGCTGTATTGCCTTTCTCTCATTCCAAACTGGGAAAGAAACGTTGTAACAGAATGAAGGGACTGGTCAGTTCAAGACACAGATGAACAACCATGCTTGTCATGCCCTATATGGCTTGCTTGTGCTTTGCCATTGGAACCAATTTGAAATTGTCTTGAATCAGTTCACTTTTGTCTTTTGGGAGAGATCCCAATAACGGATTATATATTATTTTCCTACACGTGCCTCGAATGGAAGTCAACCCTTGAATTTGAATTTTGACAGAAGACCTAGCAATAGCATACATGTACTAATCAAGCGTTAATTTTGAGGTCATAGAGAGATTCAGGCACTTGACATATCCTCATGTTGAGAAGCAACTCACTCTTATAGTTCGAGTTGTTGAAAAAAACTTTAATATGTATCTTGTATCATTTCGTCACAGATAACTCAGTTCAAAATCGAAAAAGATATGATTTGGGACTAATTCAATTATTCTTTGCATTATCAGCTCTAAACGGCTTTGCCAAAACATGAAAAGGGCCTCATAAAGATGCTTGGCCTCGCTGATTTCAACTGCATCATGCCTTGCATGTTTACCAAATCAACAAACTGTGGTGTTACAGATATAAATCCTGCTTGATCAGGCAACAAACCTCATTCAATCAAAGTATGTGGTTCACAGTCAAATCTTGTCAGAAATCATGAAAAAGATACTCTATAGAAAAAGAAAAATCATGAGAAAGATACTCCCAAAGAAACCCTTATATCCTCCTAAGGAAAAACTATATTCTACATCTCATAAACTTAAAACAGTCTTTTACATATACTGTCCTCCCCTGGATCGAACGTTGACAGCTCTAGACGCCATTGCTCTCAAGTTTGCTCTAGCCGATTGCAGACCGCTTCTTCCTCCTTGCCTTCCTTCATCAGGTTCCCTAAATGCCTCCATGAACTCTTGCCTCTGAAGCCTAAAGGCTAAAGCAGCATCTCCATCTTGGCTTGGTACAACACTAGTAACTTCTCTTGTTGTTCTTCTTCTCCCTCTACTTTCTGCCTCTCTTCTCAACAACCTTGCAAGCTCTTCTCCTCTTTCAACCCTTCTAGACAATGCTGATTCCCCTCCTTCATTCTGTCCTCCCCTTCGCCTCCCAACTCCATCATCATCATCACCATCCCGGCTTGATAACCACATGAACTCTCCTCTTTGCAACCTTTGAGAGGTTCCAGAATTCTGAATCTGGTTATGACCCAATGGCCTTCCTTGCCTGCTAGGATTGAGACCTCTACTAAGCCTTCTCGTCTCATTGTTAACAACTGCTCTTTCTCGGGGAATTTCGCGATTAGTGGCTTCTCGGCTGTTCAATACCATGGCTGACTTCCTTGCTTCCACATCTTGTGGGAATAGAAGCTGAATTGTGTTCCATAGAACTGTGTTCACTGTGCAAGATCTCCCATTGCTGCAATTTCCATTTCCACCCAACACAGAAAAAGAAAATTGTTCAAGATTGGAAGTCATGAAAGAACAGTCAAAGTAAATAGCAGTAAGAAGCTTGTTGTTCACCTTATTAGCTGTCTACACTTGGGACATTTCTTCCCACATTTATCAGCAGCAGATCTCAAACACTTCTTACAGAAACTAGAACATCAGATCAGAACAAAGAACACCCCACTCTTAGACTGTGCACAAAATGATGCGATCCTTAACAACAAAGCAGAAGAAGCTGAAGTTGGGAGTTTTACCTGTGTCCACAAGATGTGGTACTAGGTTCATAGCAAATCTCTAAGCAAATCTGCCAAATACCAAACAACAACTTTAGCACATAGCCTTCCAAGTCTTATTTTCAAAGCAGACAACATTGATACAATATCTGTTGAGCATCTTACTGCACAGGAAAGTTCAGCTCGAAGCTTATCCAAGCAAGGAAAAACAGCATTAGAGCATGAAGCCTCTGAATTTTCTTTATTCCCTTCTTCATCCTTCTTCTCAGATTTCTTCTTTTCTTCTTCCTTCACTGCAACTTGGGACTCACTCTTCTTGTTATCATTCACTGCCATTGATTCCAGACCAACAACGAAATAACAACCATAAGAACTCAACTTCCCCCATTTCCAATAGCTCACACAATAAGCAAAGAAAATAATCAAAGTTACCTTCTTTTTTCGAGGGTTCGTCTTCATCAAGATTAAGAACAGTCGCAGGCATCGGACTCCTCCTCTGAACCCTACGCTTCCTGAAATACATCACTCACACCAAACCCAAATCAAATTGGCTCTCAATTTCATTCAAAAACGATAAAAGAGAGAATCTTTATGGATTTGTTTCTCTATATACCTCCTGGAACTGTTGGAAGGCGGTGTCTTGAAAAGGGGGTCGGATCTTTTCCTCTGCTTGAAATCCCGATCGGGCGTGTCTTCAACAATAAGGCTAGCAAGTAAAATGGACTCTTCATCCCACCCAGCCATCGCCGCCGCTGACTTGAACCTAGGGCTGAACAGAGACTCCAAGCTCTGGCCGGCGGCAGCCGTCCCGACTGGGTTCGGTTCCTTCTGAATCGGGTCCTTCCCCGCCATTTCCCGATCTCGATCCGCGCTCGTGTCCCAACAGTGGAGATGGAAAGAAAAGCAAAGAGAGAGTGAAGGAGCGTAGAGAAATCGGAAAAGTATCGCTTGAGATCGAAGAGCCGACGAGGGTTTCTGAGAAGTGAAACGCAACGGTCGAAATTTATTTCGAAGTTAGAATGCCTTATCGTGTTCTGTACTCCTTGTCGTGTCCCGCTAAGAATCAGGTGCTTGTGAGAGCAGTGGCATTGGGTGCACCCTCACAATCTCTTACCGTCCATCTTTCCTTTGTCACACCTGCAGTGTAATCCAATCGACACTAGAGCATCTAGAATTTTTATCAGAACCCGATCAACAACACATTTGATATAATTTCCCCCTCTGAATAAACCAATGAAATCGACGTAGAATAAAATCTTGAATGTAGTAATCAAAACTCAATAAAATTAACCAATTCAATCAGAGGTAAAATCTAATCGTCGATTGTGCATTCCTGAAAATTGGTTCAACCAAAGCCACCACTAATTCAGGATCATAATCAAATACCTCTGTTCTAAATTAACCCACTGTACACGAGCCAAATCACCTGATTTCCCTCTCTCCCCCTGGTTGTTACATGTATACACAGTATGCACCCTTCTATATCTACAAATAGAATGAACCAAACAAAGCTACAAACATCACTAAAACTCGCCATCCATCTTCACAACCCCTGCCGCATAGTCTCGGCTTCATCCTCCCACGGCAGAGTACCCGTCAACGGGTCCGAAAATCGACTGACCACCTCATCCCTCAGCCCGGTATCATTCACCTCGCAAAACCGGCTCGACCAATCATCCGGCTCGACCGCTCTGGTCCCCAACCCGGGTGTCCGATCCTTCGACCCGACGTTCAGCTCGTCCTGCCAATCCGCCACGTACGTCGCCACCCGCCTGTAGAACTTCTCCTTGAACACTTCCCAAACCTGGTACTTGTAGTGGTTGATCACCATCGTGGCTCGATCCGCGTCCACGAATCCAAACCCTTCCCGGAGATGGAAATGGTGGATGACATTCACCAGCGACGAGTTCAATGCCTCGGGCCTCACTATGCTCTTGTGCCTCTCGGGCGCGAATAACCGACAGGTGTAGCCCGCAATCACGCCCTTGGTTGGGGGTTGGATTAGACCGGATGGACCGAAGCTATGGCAGGCCACCCGAACTTCCCCAACCTGGAAAGGGAGTAGGAGTCCGCCCGTTCCTTCGGTCAGGTTGGTGAGGAATTCAGGCAGCGGTTGGCCCGAGGGGAGGTGGAGGAACTCGTCTACATCGATGAACCCGACCCACTCGCATGACGGGCGGGCTCTTATCGCGCAGTGGGCGAACCCAGCTTCTTGTGTCTTCACCCACGGCCAGACATGACGAGAAATGTTGTAACCGGAACCGGTCAACAACGTGATCGCTGATTCGATCTCGTCTTCACTGTTGTTGTCGTAGATGAACCATCGAGAGATGCCAATCTCGTCGTGATACATCACCCATTCTTTGATGAACTTGGCTTGATTCCGGAGCATCGTGCAGATGCACAATTGGTGCGGTTTTGGCCCGGGTTCTGGGTCGGGGTTGGGTCGGGGCTGAGCGACGGAATTGAGGGTTACCCTGCCTTTGACCCGGACGGTGACTTTGATTGAGCTATTGAAGGGATTGGTTAGGAGGCTGAGGGGCGTTCTGCACCGTGCGATCTCTTGAGCGATCGAGATGACTTCTGACCGCAGGATGAACTTGGGCCTGGTGAAATCCCAGCCGTACACGCACTCGAATCGCGACACGTTGTAGAGCTTATCCGGCCGTAGATTGAGCCCCTTCACGAAGACCACCGTGGTGTTGTCGCGGTCGATCAGCGCCTCGTACGCCAGGGCATGCCACGCGCGAGCTGGGCGCGCGTTTAGAAGAACTTCTCCGCCGGCGTATGTGTCGGCCGATTTGACCGAGAGGGAAACGGCGGCGGAGCGGTCGAGCAGGGGGCACCGAACGATCTCGCCGTCGACTCGGTTGGGCGGCCGCGAGGAGTTCTTTTGCCTCGCCGTCGGGGAGGAGGAGAAGTTGTAGACGCAATCGAGATCGTCGCGAGTTAATAAACGTGGTGACGTGACGGCGGAGGAGGGAGGGTAGTTTAGGAAGAGCAGAACCTGGTCAGGAAGGATAACCGTCTCCCGAATCCACACCTTCTTCTCCTTCCCGTCCAACTTCCGGGGAGAGTCGTGTCCGTGGCCGGCGGCGGTAGCCACGGCGTCCATCCGCCATCTCGGTACTATCTCCGGCTGCAGTCTCTCTGTCAACGGCGAGCAAACATCAATAATATAAACAATCAACCGAATTCGAAAAGAGGAAATGAAAAGGGATCATTAATCATTTCAATTCGAATAAGGGAAATTTCGAATCTTTTTCACTTACCAGGAGGAGGGAAGAAGAGGAAACGGAAGGAGGAGAAGTTGAAGCCAGTGAAGAGAACGCAAGAGATGACGATGAAGATCGTGCACCAGAAGAACCTGCTCCATACGACGTCGTCACGATTCCGCCGGTGATCCTTCTTCATGGCAGCAGCGGGGCGGCGAGCAGCCGCCTGCGCATCTGCCGCGGGAAGGAAGGGAAGAAAAAAAAAACAGAGACAGAAGAAAATTATTAGACGGGAAGGAACTGCTGCCGGAGCTGCCGTTTGGTTTTCCTCCTCCTCATTAATTATTCCCCCCGTAATCCGGTTTACTATGAAGGAAATATATATTAATTATTTTAAGGGGTATGAATTAATAGCAAATTTCCTTCTCTTCTTTCCCACAGGGGGATGGAAGAAAGCTCCAGGGGTTGTTTGGTCTCCGAGAAAATTAAAAGGAAAAGGGAAAGTAGACAGAGTGGCGGGGGAAGAGAAAAAGACGGCTTGTATTTTCTCTCTTTATAAAGAGATCCGGTGCATTATCTATCGACCTTTCATGTCGGTATTAGCGGTGGTGGCTTCTGGCCAGTGGTGGTGGCGGCCGGGGTTTGGGATCTGGTGTAAGCAAGTTAGTTGTATTCACCAACGGTGGCCTGCCTGCCACTCCATTGATGAACCCACGTCACCCGACATTGGCTAAAGATGGATAAGACCAGGGATGGTACCATCCAAGGTTGTCAACGCACGGTGACCCGCGGGTCGACCCAATTTAACTCTGACCCAGTGAGAAAACGAGTCGCACGCACCCGCTGATTTGATTTATATAAGGTACTGGGTTGGAGGTCAAATTGTGTCATTTTTTTCTTTGGTTTGCGAAATGCGTCTATTTTCCGATTTTTCTTATCGCATAACTCAATCTTTGGAATCCTAAGTTGAACATTTGAATATTGATGTTATATAAGTGTGTGCGAATTCCACTACATGTTGGATTTAAGTACGATATGTTATTTTGGTGTAATATTATATGTTATAACTCATATATTAGATAAGATTTGATATAATTTATCGGGATAAATATAATATAATAACTCTTTTCATATTTCCGGGCCAAGCGAGCTAAAACGGTTGACCCTTTAACACTTAACTCACTAGCTCAACCGGGTTCGGGTCAGCCCGCGGGTTGACAACCTTGGTACCATCTCAGAAGCAAAATTGGGCAAAGAGTCTTATGAGATGGTACCGTATGAAACTTATGAGCCCTAACTTCAACTATGGGACCAGGAGGTAGGTTTTACAGATCTCTGGCAAGCATCGTAGAGAGTCCTATATGTGTCGAAAGAGGCCCTATGACGCCACGCGAGATTTATTTGACTAAGAAAAAGTTGAAATGCATTGCATGTAAATGTGTCAGGGTTTGGTTTGTCTAGCAGATCCTCTCTATCAACAGTGTCACCTCTTTTTTATATGAACATGTGTTTATGCACGCACGTGCCTACTAAGTTAATTGATTCGTCTTTTAGTATGTTTCCTTGGCCACGGCAAAATCCCTAACATATGAAATATAAAAAGCTATCATTAAAAGCACATCTACAGATAAATGTATTAGATCCGACGTTTAATACGCTTTTAACGAAAATCCCTAAAACCCACGCATATGTAGATGAGCTTGCCTCGAAAGAGAGGTCCTACGAGGTCTGCATGGAGCATGCCCTAGGATCATTCCCTAACATCCATCTCAAACACTGAGGTATTTCAACACATATAGACTACTTAATTACTTGTGGTTAATTATGTGGAGATCTTTATCCGACATTCCCAACTATTCCATTTCCATTGCCTTTGTACAATAATCAAAAGCACATTATAAAAGTGTGACTAGAATAGTAGTAGTAACTTGCATGTGTTTACATACACAATGAAGCTGCCAAAGACCCTCAAAGGGCTTTTTTTTAATTACAATGAACGACAGTCAGAGAATTGAGACCAGTAGGTCGCTTTCGACTGTCCTGGACTATGTATCGATCAATTCGGTTACAATTCTAAAACCCATTTGAAGTTAAAGATGTTCAAGATCGTACTTTTACGGATGTAAATGTATTTTTTTGAGTTAAAAGTACATCTCAAATCATATTAAAACTCTCTAACGCCAATGAAAGTCTTATTCTATATATAGTGTGTTAAAAAAATTACTAAAAGCAAGATAGTCTCGTCTTATTATAAGTGATAGATATATTAATCACTTTATCGTTATTATTTAATTTAGGTGCAAAATATAATGGGCATGTATAATTTCAATTTGAAATATACAATTGAAGAATGTATGAGGTTAAATCATCATGAACACTTGTGGAATATCGCAAAATTATGTTTTGTACATTACATTCTTCACTAACATGTTCATCTACCTACTCCACTAAAAGTAGACATATATTTTGGACTAGGTTATGGGTGGATTTAGTCTTCCACATATTCAATTAAACACATGACCTCTTAGGTGCACTTAAAAATGGTAGGTACAACAGTTTGCTATGAATCCATAACCATACCCATAGGTTCGTATCCATTAATTAGGTTTTGTGTAATGACTGCAGTTTATATTCTTTAGAGACACTGGACGAGCGTGTCTAGCATGTCAGAGTTTGCTATGACTCCATAACCATACCCATAGGTTCATATCCATTAATTAGGTTTTGTGTAATAACTTTAGTTTATATTCTGTAGAGACACTGGACGAGCGTCTAGCATGTCAGAGGATAAACGCGTTAGTATAGTTTGAGAATGACATAGGGCTCGTTTGGAGAATTGGAGTCTAAATCTCTATATTCTAGACAATCCAAAGATTTTAACTCTCTGAATTGTTGAAAAAAGATTTGAAAATGTTCATTGTTTGGTAACTATGATTGTTAACATCCAATGAAAAAGAAATTCTATTTTTTTTTATCACATAACATGTTTATCCTTAACCAAAATAATTAGATTGGCTCGAAAAATATTGAGAATTTATTGGTAAGGGTATTTAGTGAGATAAATGAAAAAAAAACAAGAGATATAATAGGAGGGAGAAAATCCCCAAAATCAAGATGTAGAATCTCTCTAATTATGAGAGATTTGATATCTCTAGATTTTATAGATTTACAATCTCTGAAGTTACAATCCACGATACAAAAAGTCCAAAAAAACATAACATTTTACTAAATCTATGGATCCAATAAATCCATGATCCAAATCTTGTTTTCCAAACGACCCCATAATGTAAACAATGCAATCAAAATCGCGTTTTAAAGCGTAAAAACATACGTTTTTACATATATATCTAGGTCACTAAAACGATTTAGTTTCCACTTAAAATCGTTTTGTACTCAAAATCGTTCAAAATCGTAAGTGGAAGCGTTAAAATCGGTAAAAACCATCAAAAACGCGTTTCCATAACATATTTTTTTTTGCGATTCCACTTCATAACCAGAAAAGTGACAATTTCATCAAAGTGACAACGTTTTAGCATTATAAAATAAATAAATAAATTTCAAAAGGGGGTGATAACGAGCGCTCCATCAGTCGAAGGCTCTCAATTCTCAAACCTAATAACCAAATTGCAAATCCCTAATTCTTCATTCGAACGCTCGAAGTAGTCGCAAGTCGCAACCATTGGAGAAGTTGACAAGACTCCACCGTCACCAGCAGACTCGCGGCCTCCACCTTCGCCAGCAGACTGATGGCCTTCATCGTCGCCAACTCCAAGCAACCTTCCAGCTCCTGCCGCTACCAGGTGAAGATTTTGATTTGCTTCCGCATGATTATGTTGGTCTTCGAGGAATGGTCTTGAAATTGTTCGAAAATTGGCGCTCTGGCCTGTATATATTGTGAGAATGACTTGGTCTTTTTGATTAAAGGGATTTGTCTTTTGTTTATATGAATCTCTTCTTTTGGTCGTCTTTCAAGGAATCTCTTTGATTTGACATTTTTTGTCTATTTTATTAGAGATGTTGATTGAATGTGCTAACAACATTGTAACTGTGGAAAAGGATTTTTCTTCTTGCTTTGGGATCAAATTCGGTGCTAACGTTGTCGTTTAGTGATTTGGATTTGGATTCTCTAACTCGTTTCTGAGTTATGGTATAGGTTGTCAACTTTTGTTAAGATGTTATGAGTTTGTTCTATTTTAGAATCGACATAAATTAGTTCATCAATGAAAAATTACATTTCAAACATGAATTATATGTATTTGTTTTCAACCGATTTTTAACTATTTTACAGGATGCAATAAAAACTTATGTTTTTACGTTTTGATTCTACATTTTACGATTTTACTCCTTTTCCGTTTCTAGGTAGAATCACGATTTTGAGTGCATTATGAAATATTTTAGTTAAAAACATATGTTTACATTACTATTTATCAAAATGCCAGCATATACACCCAACAGTACAGAGCTTCTTGTCTTGTCTTTGTCACAACTCACAAATGAGCCAATTGCCCGAATCTAATACCTTTCGTGGCCAATCAGTTAGGTCATTGGAGGAAACATCTTTCTTTCCCCAAACAAAGATGAGCTTGATTAATGCTTACTGATTGTACTCTGGGTTGGGCCTTTCTGCAGAAGCATGATCCACCGTCGGGCCCATTTCCGCAGTTCCGTTTTCTCCTCTGCCCTCCACATCGTAGCGTTGGGGCTACGATGGGAAGGTGAAATCCATAATGGTGTTGGTGTGTGTAGAGTTAGCTGCAGAATTGGGAGTGTGATGTTTTGCTTATTATCTAGCTTCAAGGTTAACCAAAGATCTGAGCTCGCACAGAATGTTCAGTCTTCTTAACTTAAAAAGTGTAACTAACTAGTTGGATGGGAGGATCCAGACAGGCAAAGGCGAAATGAGCAAAGGGTTAGCATGCAGAGAGGAGGTAGAATACAAGGGCTTCACGGCACGAGTGGTGAGGCTGTAAACGCCCATATCATGACCTCCTAGCTTGTGCCTTTGGTGCCAGTCGATAAAGTCATCAGTGAAATAAATGGAATTTGGAATCAGTCCCGAATGGTCTCTGGTGGAAACGGAGAAGGCAGAGTTGAACCCAACGAAGATGGCGAAATCCCCGATGCTTGCAACCTCATCCCATCCCTTCCTATCCTCATCATCCAGCTTGTAAACCTTGAACTTCACCGTCCGGTAACCTCTTGGCGCAGCAGCTACTAATTCCATGTATCTGGTCACCATCATCAGTCGATCACCACCTTCATCTGGGCTCGGGATCAAGTATGGATGTTCGGAGTCGACGAAATCCCTAGGGGCCAAGTTAAGATGGAATGAGAGCTTGGGGCGGTGCGGGAGGGAAAGATCAGCCACCACAACCCTGCCGCAGCAGTCGACTGCATAGAATTTACCCTTCCAGAACACCACATCCATGAACGGGATCTTCTCTTCTTCTTCTGGATTAGGAACCAAGTTCCATTCGTCGCTCCCGGGCCTGCAGAAAGCCAGGCGATAGTTGTTATTGAACCGAATGGCCATCACAACGCAATCCTCTGCAGTGGGCTCCGCGGAGACAGCAGTCTTCCAGAAGAAGTGCTCTTGGAAGAAGGTCCTGCCCTGTACAGCGAGCCTCTGGTCACCATCCAATCGGTGAACGAACTCAAAGTTTCGTCTTTGGGGGTTGTAGTCCAACACATCGGGGAATGACGTGATGGGCGGGAGGGGGATTTGAGATCCGGTGAGAGGGTTGAGTAGGAAGATGGAAGGGATTTGGTGGACCATGAACAACCATCCAAACGCAGACCCCCGGCATACAACAACACTAGGGTTGCCGCCGCCGCCGCCGCCGTGGATGTGGTGAAATCGGCGATTTGCCACATCGTAAAAGCAACAATACCTATCACTACCACTCTCGCAATTACCACTAATCATTCTTGTGCTGCTGCAATGCGGCAACATGAGCAACGGCGTCGATTCCCCAAGCCTTCCCTGCTGCTCCAATTCCGGATCAGCAGCACCCATGTCGCTACCTGCTGGTGAATGTCTCTTTTGGCTGATAGGATGGAATGGAAAGGCTGGCTAGTAGCTTGTAGCCGTATTTATAGAATCAGAGATTCAGATTCCAACTCGGACTCGGAATAGATGACCAAGAAGAAGAGGGTCGATCGAGCGAGACTGATGCAATTCCGTCTCCGCGGTGGTAAGGGAAGGGTTAGGGGAGTCTCTTCTCTTCTTTGCCTTGGTTTTGGTCTTTTGGATCTGTCGCCTTCTCTCATTTTTTTTGGTCAAACGTCTTCGTCGACTGAAACGCAGAGTTGTTAATTAGCCCAGCCCAAGTGTAGGTTGGGCCCAGGAGCTTTTCAATTGGGCCTCTGATGCTTTGAAGAGCTTTTCCTTATCCTGGATCTTAGCCTTCACATTGTGTAAAGACCCAAAAATTTGATCTTATACGATTCTGATATGTATCAAATGAATTCAATGAGCTCTGGAAAGCCGGCCGTGATGATGCATGCATACTTATTTAGTTTGTTTGTAGGTATAATTTAGGGGTGGCTGCATACAAAACCTTGAAATTTTGTAGCTCACCTCCCAGACAAAAGCTTCCAAATAAATTTAGTGCAAAATCTGCACCAAATCGGGGGGAATATTCGCTTCCCTAATTGCAATTTATAAATGGCTACACAAGAAGTTCAAAGAACAACAACATAATTATTATCAGGAGACCTTCTCATTTTCTCAATCCATTAGATAATTGGTCATCTGAATTAAGAATATGACTTGATTAAAGATGTTGGAGGCCAGCTGACTTTGTTCTCCAACAAAGTTCAATTAATGCTCTCTGGAAGCTAGCTCCAAGTTCATTCATATGTAGACATACATTTTGATTGATTCTAATTAAGAAATTGAACCCAAAAAGTTTGGCACCAAACTAATCAACACACTGCACCCTCACTTTCCGTCCTTCTAAATGGGTTCTTTTTAATTTTGTTGGATGTGTTCTTTAGAATATAATTTGGTGAACTAATCAATAATCTAGTTAGTCGATCATTATACGCGAGTAAGCATGAGAAGAAAATGGAAATTTTGATACCTACACATATATGTGTTTTATATGTGAACAAAACGTTGATTTGACGTTGGAAATAAGTACGTAGAGCGTATATTTTATTTCAATATACATCTTACACTGTTAGAATGGTTCAAAAGAAGTATAAAAGTAAAAATTGTATATCATTTCTTTATCCACCACTTAAACACAAAACCTTAACCACAAGGTATATTGCAGGGTAGAGATCTGCTGATTAAAGGTCTTCGTTGGCAAGTAGGATCAGGATCTAGGATAAACACCTTACTAGACCCCTGGCTACCATCAGACCCTCCATCTAGACCTGTGTTGTTAATGGGCGCCTCTTTAGATCACCCAATGGTCTCATTCCTTCTGGACTCTAATGCTATGGAGTGGAACCTTGACTTGCTTAAAACCTTATTTCCCCCTGCCACGATTGATAAAATCTTATCCATCCCTCTCCCATCTTCCGCTCAAGAAGATAAATTGATTTGGCACTATGACAAGTCTGGTCATTATACAGTTAAATCGGGGTACCACCTTCTTTCGGATAGTTTAACTTCATCCAGGGTCTCCCTGCCAGAATTTTTGAACATCAAGTTCTGGAAATTCCTGTGGAATATTCCAATTCCTTCTAAACTCAAATTCTTTCTTTGGAGATTGGTGCGTGGATTTTTACCAGTTAAAGGAACCCTCCTCTACAAGAAAATTATTTCATTAAGTACATGTCCTGTTTGCTGCGAAGTAAATGAGGACTTCAAGCACTGGTTTTTCGACTGTAGAATCACTAGAGAACTGTGGACATTATCTGACCTTGACCATATAAGAGATATGATGCGGGCAATCCCCATGGATCTTGCGTGGAGAAACCTCTTCTTCACGCCCCATATTTCCAAGAACGATGTAGCTTTCATTGTCTTCTTATTTTGGAGAATATGGAAAGGTCGATGCAAGGCTACTTATGGACATGTTTTATACAAGTCACATTTTCTATACAGGCAACTATTAGCGCAGGTGGAGGAATGGAGGATGGCAGAGGCACAGAAGATTCAGAGATCCGAAGAAGTCCGAAGGTCAATGCCCTACTCTTCCACAGGCCAAGGTCCCCATTCAAGGAGAACAGATGTTTCCCTCCCTAGTGAAGGTATCCTGGTTCGCTTTGACGGGGCAAAAAAAATCACTCAAGGATGTGCAACTGGCTTTGTAGGCTTTTCAGGTGATGGAAATATCGCATTTGCAGTTGGTAAATTCTATCAGGGCATCTCAGATGCCTATATATCAGAATTACTTGCTATTCGTGATGCTATGAAATGGTGTCTCACCCACAATTTCTTAACTGTTGTTTTTGGTGGGGACTCTCAATTGGTCATCAAGGATGTGACATCAAAGAAGGCTTCACATTCAAGAGTGGGAGCAATTTTAGAGGGAGTTCACTCTCTCCTTACCTCCTTCCTATCTGTCTCGTGTCTTTTTGCTCCTCGGAGCTTCAACAGAGCTGCCCACCTCGTGGCAAAACAGGCTCTTTTATCGGGAGTCCGGTTGCATACGGACTACCGTTCTCTTTTAGTGTCTTTCTTGTAATTGTGTTGACTGGCCATGCCCGGGGGCTTATCTTGGATAAAAAAAAAAACTAGACCAATATATGTCGTAAATTTGTAAGACAAGCATGTATAACCAGAAAATACATATATGTGGTGAACTATAATGTTGTTAAAGGTCAAAATAACTATTCTTGTAAATTGGGTAAAATTATTACTAATTTATAGGATTGGCTATTTGGTCCGGACTTTTTGGTTTTACCCGAGATCGGATCGGGACCGGATAGCAAACAATCCAATCCCATATTTGGGTTTAAATTTGAGGTAAAAAAATCATTTGGGACCGGACCGAAACCGGATAAAAGAGCCCAACACCAAAACTTAACCAACTCCTCACCCTTTCAGGCCTCAGGCCATTAAAATCTCCACAAGCTCAATCTAAAATCAAGACCGAATTGGGACCGGACCGGGTCAAGACCAGACCGGATCGAGACCGAACTATATCCAATCCAATCTTTGGTCCTTATATTCCTGAAAAGACCGGATTGGGACATGATCAATTCAGGCCAATTTAACCGGACCGTATAGCCACCCCTAATAATTTACTATTTGTATGAATTGCATATGTGAGATAGAGCACAATTGATACAACGATAATCCCCGTGTGAAGGGATTGATTGTGATGTTTTGTTTACATAAGCTTTATTATTAACACTAATTAACGATACCAATCCCCAAGTTGGTCTTTGTTTAGTGTTTATAGTGACACGGTTTTAACGAATTAGAGGTAGAAGGGAAAGAGGACAGAGGAGAATTTGTTAAGAGTTCAACTCCAACGACAAAAAAACTGGCCAGCTTTGAAGGGGCCAAGGAATCTTACCAGACATAATAATTTCTTATCTTTTCCAATATTTTCATGTTGTATTTTTTGTATTATTTATCCTCGAAGAACAAAGACTTTTATGAGGTACCCCTAATAATTTGTCAACGAAGATGACCCACGTCGGTTTTTCCACAATTAAAAAAAAAATCGTCTCTTTTCATTCTATGCAATAAGTATAAAAATGGTGGCCATTTCGTTTTAAAAGTATCAAGTAGATTACTAAATTAAATAAGAGTGGTTTAACTATATGAATGTAAATTATTGTACATGGTAGATTAGAGAAGCTCTATAACAACATAAACTTAAATAATCTGTCAGAGTTGCAAAGAGTTCTAAACAATCAATTAATCTAAAGCATAAAATCAAAGCTAGATATACAATACAAATATAAGGAAAGATTGTTCTTCACATATATATATATATATTTAGTGGTAATCTACACTTACTGCATTCGTTCTAAATGTGTGAGAGTTTGATGTACTAATATCTGCAAATAATTTATCAAAGTTGTTGATTATCACTCTGATCCATTCTATATGAAATAGCTAAACCGTGCATTAGAAATCTAACTACAAATGGACTCATCAATAACACCTCTCAACTCAATTAGGTCATAACTTGAAGTTTTCTTATGAACAAGCATTGTAAATTTTAACTCAAAATTTGAACAATCTATGTAAATAGAACAATCATCATTCATTCAACTCAACCAAACCAGTTGTAATTACTAAATGATCAATACAATTTGAGTCCAATTCTCCTTCAATCATGACAAACTACCTTAACCCTTTTACTTATACCCACGAAATAATCAAGATCGAGTGCTTTCATTAAATTATTCCAATAATTAACATCATCTTGACAACTAAGACGAATAGAAAAGAGGAAACACATTGATGATGGTGATGATGAGCAATTGAGCATAGCTCAATGCCTATTGGTTATGCACACCTTTTCCTTTCCTTCCCCCAAACCCAATTGTTTTAATGTAGTTCCCAATCATTTGTCTTCCCCTCCCAGAACAGCAATATCCTTCCATTATATCAGTTTATTTTGTCTTTGGGGATAATGAACATGAACTGGCACCAAGCAAGCATCTTTGCTTGGATTATAAGTACCCTTCCCAGCTATAAAGCATCCCTTCTCCTTCTACTTTTGATTCTCCATTTCTCTCTCTCTCAGTTCTTGAACTAGTCATCCTCTTGGGGGCAAAAGGAAGAAACAAAAACAACATGGGAAGGCAGCCTTGTTGTGACAAAGTTGGATTGAAAAGAGGGCCATGGACCATCGAGGAAGACCACAAGCTCATGAACTTCATCATCAACAATGGCATCCATTGCTGGAGAATGGTCCCTAAGCTTGCAGGTTTCAGCTCTCTCTCTCTCACTCAGACTTCATCATCAATCGCTATCACACTTCAACATGAAACAGGTTTTTGCGACCAAAGAATGGTGGCTAAAAGAAACACAATGGTTGCTTTTGTTGGTGTCTTCTTTGGTCGCAAAAGGCTCGTTTTCTTGTAGGGTTCATTATATTCCCTTAATGAAACACTACTACTGTAATTGAGTTCTCAGCCCTCTTCTTTAAACAAATGTGTACAGGTTTGCTTAGGTGTGGGAAGAGTTGTAGGTTGAGATGGATCAATTACCTTAGGCCTGATCTTAAGAGAGGCGCTTTCACTGAGGCAGAGGAAAATCAGCTCATCCAACTTCATTCGCGGCTTGGGAACAGGTAAATGCTTGATTAACTAAATTGCTTAGCATTTCGTTGTAAATTGTGAGAGTACTAATGAATGGTTAATAATCATGAAATTGGATATATATATATTTTCATGTATAGGTGGTCAAAAATTGCCTCACATTTTCCTGGGAGGACAGACAACGAGATAAAAAACCATTGGAACACGAGGATCAAGAAGAAGCTCAAGATGGCTGGAGTAGACCCTGCCACCCACCAACAAATTGATCTTGATCAAGAAAATGGAGTTCATAAGGATGGTGATAACAAGATTGGCACAATCTTAATGGAGGAACATGAGAACCAACAAGTGGAAGAGAATGAGCACGAGTTTCCGACAAAATTAAATGAAACGACTACAATTGACGATCACAATCTTTTGAAGAACTATGAAGTGTTGATGACTGGAGGAGGAAACTTGGAGTTGGAAGGAGCATGGAGCACTAGTAATAATCAAAGCAACACAACTAGTACTAACTCTGATCAAGGCACCTCATCATCGTCGATCGAGGAATCGAATGGTAGTTACCACTACAACCACATGAATCCTTCCAGGAATTATGACTTGAATGATCATCATCAATCAGCAGGTTCAAAGGCTCAATTAGGTGAGGATGGTGATGATTATGGGTCATTGAAGCAATGGGTTGATAGTGTGGACTCAATGTTCTCATGGGATGGTTTCATGAACACCACCACTACTACTTCTACTACTCTAGATGACGAGTTCTTCTTCCAGCTGGAAAATGGACTCTACTATAATAAAAACGCCAAATGATGATGATGATGATTTCACTTGGATCAGTTATTAAATTTCTTCATGATCAAATCCCCACAATTTTTTTTTATAATTCGAGAGATAAGCACATCATTAATTATATATATAAGTGTGATTATTCAGTTATCTGAGGCTATTTTTATGTACACTACTACTTCTTGTTTGTGTTCGACTTCCTTTCTTGTAATGTTTTGTTCTTAATTTCACCATCATCTGCTAGCTAGGCTTGACCATAATAGTGTACATGTCAATTTTCAGGGTCACTAATTAAATAGTGAATTTATGTGTTATTATTTCTTAACTGTGAGTGTCATTGCTTTCATGCTTTCATCACCATAAATCAACCTTACTTTGTTGTCCTGAAAATGATTCAGAATCTTTCTTTAAGGTTTTTTCTTTTTGGTCGAAGAGACTAAATATGATCAAATTCAACTAGTGTTACTACTTTTGTTTATGTCAACTAGGTGCAACAGTGTTACTGTTAATTACAACATAAGAGTAGTATTTCATTTAGTCAATCACTCATCTTCTCTATGTATAATTTATGATATTTAGAGAGAAAGATTAAAGGAGGGTAATGAGGCAGGATAGACCTACGAGAACATATATAGTAATAGGAGTTGGGCAAGAATTGAGAGAATTAGAGGGCTTCTATAGAGGATTCTAACGAGACTTAGAATTCTTGTCATTTGATAATCTTCGCAAATAATTACCAAAATACGATATAAACTTCAACATAAATATTCCTCAATCGATGCAACATATATAGGGAAAATATCAGTTGATAAGGTGCCAAATTTTTACTAAGTGGAAAGTTAATGTTACAATATTCCCATCATTAGACTAGTCACATACTCATATATGATTTCAATTAAGATTATGTGTCTATCATGTAGTTAAACACCATACAAACTATTTTTCCAGTTTAATCAACTCGAGGTATTGCAGGAACGTAACTCTAGAAATCGTCATCAGCTGAAAGGTTAACAATATGTGTATTATATAAAAGGTTAACAATAATTAATAACTCAAGATGTTATGTAGAAAAGTTCAAACGGAACGGGTGTCAATTGAGCTGGAGGGGATAGAAGTCGTTCACCGGACAAAGTCTAGCTAGATTGCTGGAGGAATCCAGCTTATTTAATTAGTACGTAGTGGTAAACCTCTCATATTCCCATGAACATTGTCTCGAGCCTGCAGGCAAAGAGTAATTAGTGCTCGGTCGTAGCTAGGTTAATTACTTTGATTAATTCTTCTCCTCTTTGTGCTTTTTGGATCGACAAATTTGATTAAGTGAACAAAGCACATTTATTAAACAGTAGTTATAATTAGTACGTCGTGCAATCCACAGCAGTATATATATGCATAGGGCTGATCCGTACTGGCACATGCATGCATCTATATCTCTATATAGGGCGCCGTTTAATTACTAGTCAAGGGAATCCAACACGTAGCCCCTCTAAATCATCAGGTTGTATACATGGCTAAATCGTTTCTTAATCATGATCATATCATCCTCAACATTTTGTTGATTGTTCTGCGAGTTATTCGCTACATTAGAAATATTGAATGATAATCCCGAATTTTATCGAAGAGGATCTCGACGTGAAGTGAAGGCTGTTCGTATATGTGAATATCTAGCACATTCTAAGTAAAATTACAGGTTGATTATATTCTTTTCATTTAGGTCAGTATGCATCAAATAGCTTCTTTTCATTTGGTTGTGTCTTTGTATGTTTTGTTTGTGATCGGTTACTTCTGTTGAGTAACAAACTTTTTTTCATAGATATTTGATAGCTATTTAGTTGGACCGTGAACTGAATTTTAGATGGTTTTAAGTGTTTGTCGCCAAATTCCAATATTTCTCAAATCAAAACCAATCCGACAATCCATTTAATGATGCATACTATATTTAGCATTGATAATATGACCAACGTCGTTGCACCTATAGCAGTTAAAATCGGGATTCAACGCAAATTCGAAAAGGGGGTAAAATCGGAATCGTAAAATCATAGGATTTTAAGGTCCATATAAAAATGAAGACGAAACAATATTAATAAGGAAACTTATGAATAGCACAATAACACATAACAATTACAATGATAATTTCTCAAGGTTAATGTTCCAATTTATCAAGGATAATTTTGGAAAGTGGTGAATTAATGATGATCAATACGTTGATGTGAATTGATGATGGTCAATGGTGGTTAGTGTGCTAGAACTAGATGATGTTGGTTGAGGAGAAGGAAAATAGGCATATTTTTCCAAATTATGGGGAAAAAGGTAAAATTGGCCCTAAGATTTGAATCGTAAAATCTTAAAATTTTAAGGATTTAAATCGTAAATAGTGTAGAATTTTAAGATCCATAATTTTTATAGTGAAATCAAAATCGAAACAGATAAATAAAATCGTAAGATCTTAGGATTTTAGAATTTAAATAGGGATTTTGACGGTTTTGGTCGCACCAACACAACATATTTATATCAAGAGAAAATGAACTAACACATAAATTTTAGCAACCTTTCTCTGTCCATCACTAAAAGATCATAAATTCATTCCTAGAATCCTAGCGTTTTTTTTAATTTGACAGAAAATTCATTTATAGTGGAATTGTTTTTTTATTTTTATGAATGGGTAAAATCTTATTTCATCAAATACGATCTTTACACAGTTGCACGAGGTACAAACTCACAACATCCGCTTCACACCAGACAGAAAAACGAGGAAAAGAAAACTCAAAAACTCAAAACTAGCACAACTATAAACTACAAAGAACATGCCTCAGGACTGTTCCTTATACCACAAAAATCTAACCATAGCCAACTCAGCAAAGCTAGGGTCTCCTAATTCCTTTGCTTCCATTACTCCCTGCAATTTCCTAACCAGGTCTCCCACTCTAATTAAAATTTCAACCCTACCCAAAAGTGTTATGATTGTTAATCGCTGACAGATTCTCGATTTATTCGATCTTAATATTATTTTAATAATCATGACTTCTTATTTACATCACTTATTATACTTTATTAAAATAAGAGGAACCGTATAATTATATATTTGATGGGTTGCTACTTTCAATTAAATTAATTTAATACCAGACTACAATGATTAGAGGAAGACTTGATTGGTAATGTCAAGTACGTAAATATGACACTTTTAATTAACAGGGTGTTCGCACTGTTTGATTGAGGGGAGCCAGTTAATGGAAGGCTAATTTCCAATGTTTCATCGAAGTCAAGTCAACTGATAATAATACATACATAGAATTCATTTTCAGATTATAGTCCAGAGAAATTTTACAATGTTATATAGTATTGGTGCTATAAGTTTTTTCCTTTATGGTACAACTTAAAATTGTACATTTATCGTTATGGTACAACTTCAGATTGTACCTATACCTTTTGTACAAATTCTTTTATGGTACAACTTGAACTTGTAATTTTATGTTATGGTACAACTTTACAACTTGAAGTTGTACCATAACATAAGTGTACAAATTGCTTTATGGTACAACCTAAATTTATACATTTAATGTTATGGTACAACTTTAAATTGTACATTAAAGCACCAATACTATATAGCATATAGCATAGTAGAAGTGCTCTATAGTCCATGGTGAGTTTACCAAGGAAAATATCTAGGGATGGTAATGACCACACAGTTATCTTAATAGTTAATATTCATATTATTCTTGTATATATTCTATTTTCGAGTGTTGTATATAGCTTTGACATAAGTTAGGTTGGATAAATTGGTATGAACCGTAAATGGTAATAGGTTGATTCATTTTAATATGTGGGGATGCAAAACTTCGAGTCTTAAGAAAAAACACCATCAAATTTTAAACTGACAAGGAGGATGGCTAGACTAAAACGACTCAAATCCTAAGAATCATTATGTCAAAATTAAAATAATTTAGTTAAGACATACAATCTCCATTGTGAAGATAAAAAAACATACTAGAGACTGTGATGAAACAAGCTGGAAAAAAAATACTAATATTTCATCTCAAATAACTCTCGATTGAAATAATACGTATCGTAAAAATAAGTCGTGACAAAGATAAATCAGATACCCTTCATTAGTCTCGTGAAAAAGGAAAACCTCAATTTTACAATCATAAAGGAAACAACCAGAAGTCCCCACCAGGCCACCACCCCACCCAATAGGCAATAAGTATAATCACTTGCTAGCCAAAGTCATCAAGCTAGACTGCTAGAATACGATTATATTTAATATGCTATTATATATTTGTTGAAGTTTCATATAATAAGTGGCAAAGTTTGCCTGCCTCGTTGGAATTTGGAAGGACAAATATTAAAGCTCAAATAATTCTCCCCAAATTTTTTTTCTTCTAAATGGTTGGTATAACTAATATGAAAGAAAAGCTTGATCACCTAGCTAGCTAGCTAGCTGTATATTTGATACTAGGTTGATTGTCTTATCTAAGGCAGGAGAAGAATATCCTCAGCCCCAAACCACAATGGAAGAAAACAAGGATACAATAGGTTTTAGAAGTTTAGTGTGCTAATTAATGGTCATATATATTAAATATAATTGGAAAGGGACAGCTTGGGATTGTTAATTAATTAGTTAATTGGCGCATGATTAAGGAAGCTCAAGTTGTTATTAAGATTGCCAAATCAAACATCAAGTAGGTGAAGGGAAATATGGGTGCTTATACTTAAACTTAATTGCTCCCTAATGAGATTGATCTAATTGGTGGATAAGCATGTGGGCTTTTGTCATCAATCTAACATCTCATTATCGTCACCATCAACATCATCAATTGGCTATTAAAGAGGGTTTTTGTTGGGAGGGAGATTCAATCTAATTCGACAATGAAAGTTTCAAGTCGAAAGCTAATAATGATACAGTTAGATCAAATCGTCGTTCATCAATCAGAATAAACTAAGGTAAATGGATTATTTCTGTTATATCAATGGTCATATATTTTGTATCAATGCTGACAAGTGTTCTCTCCCCCTCCATCATATTAACTTATTTACTTAAATTTGTTTTATTTTTTATTATGTCATATTGTAAAGGTAGTAACCCAACCAAAGCATATTTGTTGAAAGAACAATATCACAGACACGATGATGATTAGGGTGATTTAATATGCTTTTTTTAATAATGTAAACAACTTTGTATGTACAATTAATTGATTGATCTATCTTTTATTATAAAAAGAGGATAATGTGACAAAAGTTGGCCTAGATTCAATGCTTAGTTCACAAAGCCAAAGATGCTCCATTGTCTAATCCTACCTTAACCTCCTGCTTCTGCACAATGTAAGGGCATCACAAATCATAACTTTTTTTTTTTGCGATAATTTTGATTTGATATAGTTTTTTTTAATAAAATCGACTTGCTTAAAAGAGTACAAGTTGAATATATACACAATGACAATGTGAGTATAATGTACAATTTTTTCTTGCACGAACTAGTATGGTATTTAATCTGTTTTCCTCACATTTCTACCACAAAATAAAAGTCAATTCCCACTTTCACTAATTTGAGTGTATTTGTCACTATCATTTTCCTTTCTTTATGCAAAACTTGAGTTGTTTTGTGTTTTTATTTATTTATTTTCGAACTATGAATCTATATATAAATATATAATCAGATCATATTTACATTGTTTATACCATACGAGGTAATATTGAGGTGTCCGTTTCTGTATTTTTAGTGTATTATTACTCATTACTCATTAGAAGTGTGGCAGCAAGTAATTGGGCCATTAATCTTCTTTGTAAAAAAAAGTATTTGGGCCACACTTAGCCCAAATGTATCGGTCGGCACGAGGCCATGAAAGCCCAATCAAAGACCTTCCCTAGTTCCCTTCGAAGAGTATGAGGAGTGAGGATCCTGAATTCCTGATCTGGTCTCTGGGTCTCTAACTCGGTGACCGTCCTCCCCCTGACTCGCCGGAGCTTCCACAGTCTTGCCGGAAGTGATGCTGACTATACAGAGAACAATCAGGGAGATCCACACAAACGTCGTCGCCCCAAGGCTTACGAGATTCACTCTTCGAGCGCCCAAGAGGGTAAGCTCGCAATCCTTTTTTATGCTCATCGGGCCCGGTTTCGGTTCAATTCAACCCAACATCGACAATGTCGACATTTTGTGTTCGATTTGAAATTCAGTGATGAAGCTAGGATCTTTCGATCCAGATAAGTGTCCAGATGGCTTTATTCGCTTGAAATCCTCCTGGGTTCTTTGAAGTTCCCTGAATTCTGTTTCTTTTTCTGGTTGGGATCATGAGAACGGTCGATTGGCTGATTGCTGGATGGAACATTCACCGTAGCTGGAAATGTAGCTAATGCCTAACTTAGAGATGAAATTACCGTTCGCCTGAGTTTAAACCCGATTCCAGGTAGAGGTGGAGTATGGCAATGGTGACAAGTTCAGCCTGTCAGCTGAGTTCCTAAGAATACACAGCCCAGCTGTGGACGGGAAACTTAGGTCCATTGGTGGTGAGAAGGTAATAAGACTAATGATCAAAATTTATTGGCCATCTCCATTTCCATTGATTAAGTACTCTTCTGATGGTTGTTTGTCATTTCAACAGGTGATTTCAGGCCGGCGTCACGTAGGGATCATGTCTGCAGAACCTGTGGGAAACTATGGGGTAAGGTACTCCTGCAAACTGAGACTAAACAAATCCTCACATGACTGTGATTTTCCCCTTCCAGTAGGCACTTTAACTGATGCTTTGGAACACTATGATTCTCAGAATAGTGTTTGATGATCTGCACAAGACTGGAATCTATACATGGGACTATTTCTTTTACATTGGGAGCAATAAGTTCTCTCTCAGCAAAGACTACATCAGGACACTGAAGAGGCATGGACTCAGTCGCGATCCGGGAAGGAGAAGCTTTGCTGGCTGTTCATCATGAGCACCATCATCCTAAGCTGACTTTTTTATTCTTTTGAATATGGAAGGCAACTCTCTCAAAGCTTGGTCCATGGACTGAAAGTTGTCGACTTTTGAAGGTCTTCTCACTTATCAGCACCAACTTGACATCAGTGCTTGAAACTTTCAAACACACCAATTGGTTCCGTTTCAAATGTTTCTGTAAAGGGCAATTGTATCAGAAGGCAGAATGGCTTATTTCATGGGTTGTTGTCCTCTCAGTTAGTCAAACATGTATGTGGCATGTACAATTTATGATAATACAATCTAATCCAATTGTGATGCATTTTTTCCGATGATACATATAATCTATTATGTAGTGAAAGATATTAGCGTGTAAATTTTTCTCTCTTTCTATGATTCGACCAATGATATTGGTACTCGTATGAAGCTATAAACAAGTACTTGTGCAACAAATTTTATCATTGGAAAGTAAGGCTCAATCCCTAATCACATGATCGATTGACGAGACGGAGCACCATTTCTCCCTGTCCCTGCTCTTTGATGAAATTCAAGCGGGACTCTTGATGGTTCGACCCGTTTTTGGACAAATATGGGCCGTCGAGGGAAGATGCAGCAGCACAGCAGTCGTGAGAGAAGTCTAGAAAGGGCAGGACAGCGAGATAAGTCTAGAAAGGGCCATTTGCCAGGCCAGCCACCCAAGTTCGAGAAATGTCTCGTTGATCCTTACTATTTTCCCTATATATATACAACCATCTCTTTGAGGCCCTGTAGAACAACACCTAGATTTCAACTGAAGACACCACTGCACAATAAAAAGCTTCCATCTTTACACAATGGCTTCACAACTGCACATCTACACACCATTCACCACCTTTTCTCCTGAGAGAATCAACAAACTCTTCTTCCCCAGACTTTCATGGCCAGGCAACAACAATGGCAGAGGAGCTGCTCGCAATGCGGTCAAAGTTATGGCTGAGAAAAGAGACAACCTTGACAGTTTGCAAAGAGTTGGCAATCAACAACAGTCCCAACCAAAGAAAATGCAGCAGGTTGCAGCGCCAACTGGTAAGCTAACTAGCTCACTTGACGGCTTGCATAACTTCAAAAGCACTTAGCCTTTTCCCTAACTCCAGTTTTCAGTATGCTGAACTGAAGTACTTTTCCTGCAGGGATGTGGGATGGGTTTCCAGCAGCAAGGACAATGCAGCAGATGATAGACACAATGAACAGGATCATGGACGATCCCTTTTCCTATAGCAGTGGCTTGTGGCCTACTGCGATTTCTCCAGTTCAGGGAGATGGGTATGGAAGGGGAAGGACGCCTTGGGCGATACAGGAAGGTGAAAACGAGTATGGATTGAGGTTCGACATGCCTGGCATGACGAAGAACGATGTCAAGCTGTGGGTTGAAGACAATATGCTGGTTTTCAAAGGTGAAAAGGAACTGGACAAGGATGGAAATGGTGAAGCTGCTGGGAGTGGTGAAGATTGGCCGAGTAAGAGCTATGGCAAGTACAGTTTCAGAATATCTTTACCAGACAACATCGAGTTCGAGAAAATTAAGGCGGAAGTAAAAGATGGAGTGTTGTATGTCACTATTCCTAAAGCCAGTACCAGCCGCAAAGTCATCGACATTGATATAGAGTGAGAGAGTTCAATGGCTGACAGATCCAAGTTTGTCTTTGTAAAAATTTATAATCAGAACCTCACATGCATGTATGTAGACATCCACTACAGAAGATATAGAGAATGAACATTCTCTATCTTTGAACTATGCCAATGAGTATCACTTTAGAAGGTAAATGAGAAAGCCAGCAATAAAACACCTGCAACAGTTAATCAACTCTGTTTCTTCTGTCCACTTTTGGTAATCCGCTTCAGCCCTTGGCCGCCTCTCTTCATGCCCCTGCACCATCAACAATGGCGCGGTATCAAGCCACTTGCCGACATTGGAATCAAGATCATTAATGGAAGTTGGAAAATGACTATACCTTTCATACAAGTACAAGAAGAGGTAGAAGAGAAATAGCAGAAACAAAACCAGGACTGAAGCAACTATATAGAGCACATTCCTCTTCTTCTGCAAGTTTCGAGAAACGAGATGAACAATCTAGGTGAGCTAAACAAGGAACAAACTATAGTCTATCAGGGAAATGAAAGCTGAAAACTAACTCATGAACCCAATAAGGTAAATTACCTTGCCTCCTCTTGAGAAGGGCTTCCGGCCTCCCTTGCAAGTGTGGGCATCACAAAATTGCCGTAAGAACAGATCTGTCCAGCCATAAAGCATCATAATATAGTACATCATTACCTTTAAGGAATATGATTACATGAAACAGATTCTGAGGGTGCATTGAAATATCACCATTGAGACGACGAGCTGAGGGGCCGTCCTGGACTGGAAAGCAGCGATCAGCCAGACTCTGCACATAATATGATATTGATGAGATGAATGGCTCAACAAGCAGCGAAGTTGTTGTACAAATGGTTACGGTCATGTTACCAACAAAGAAGCCCACCTCACAAGCATGCTTATTCCTTGCTGCAGCTGCTGGATTGCACTTTGTCTTGCGTGGTGAATCCATCACGAGGTCACAATGTAATGCACCACATGAATCTGCCAAGCACCTGCCGGGACTCTGGGTTCAGTACAAGTATGACATCTGTCATTCAGAAGCCATGTTTGAAACGAAAGGTCCGGGCAGATGAATGTTTGATTCACTAAATGAACAAAGACAGACAGATAGGAAGATTTGTTAAAGATTACAGTGAACACTCCCTCCTAGAACAAGCTGTTTATATATGACTCAGGAAAAATTCTTTTCTGCGATATTATGGATTCAGTTGGCAGGACCTAACAGCTATCTCAATCTAAGTGGCCAGGGAAGAACCTCCTCCGGTGACTACTTTTATTATTGACTGGATAAACCAACTCACAAAATCAAAGAAATGAACTTCATGTTAACATACCGTATCTAAGGTGTCAAAGTGCCATTCATCAAGATGCTTGTCGAGATTTTTCTCTTCATAGAATGTCTTTTTGCAGTACCCACATCGCCATAGGTTGATATCTTCACGGGTTTTGCTCTGTTCTTGGAGACGGTAGAGGTCATTCTCAGGGTGAAGTGGGCACTTCTTTGGAATGTGGTGCTTTTCCTTCTCAACAAAGGGGATCAAGTACTGAAAACAAACCAACCATCACAAAGATCAAAACATCTGGTGGAAGTTCATAGAAATAACACAGGCATTCTATCGGATTACCTGCTCGATAATTTTCCGCGCCGCCCTGCTCCGCTCTCTCGAACAATGCACCTCATGAGCATGCGCTTTCTCTTCCTCAAGGGTTCTGAGCATCAATTAACTTTGTGTAAGAACACATTGCCAAAAGAACTAAAGGTACAAGCTTTCATGGTCATTCCAGCTAACAGAGTGGTCTTGGATACCAAAGAAGATTGTTCATCCAATACCAAAATGAAGGCGAATTCCAGCAATCTACGTAAACTTTACCTTACAACAGCAGATTCTTCATGACCCTGGGGGAAATCAGCAAATTACCAAACAATTCAGGACAAGTTTTGGGGCAACGATCAAGAGCAAGAAACGCAGAAAAAATGACAACATTTCGATTCCTCAGCACCTGAAGCGGGGCAGTGGAAGAACAGGTGCTTCTGGATTGCGAAGAGATTGAGATGAAGAAGAAGAAGAGTACAATGGCGGATCTTAGCGAGAAATTCGTCATATCTCTATCTGGGCATGTTTTGACTCCTGGAGGGAAGAACCCACCGCTTTCAAATATTTAAAGATCGAAACTTTATCACTCACTGATGGGATAATCGATTGGCTTCGGACTTCGGGAGGAAGAACGAAAGAAAGAAGAAGAAAGGACTAGACTTCTGTTCTTGCCTAGCCGGCGAATCAAAGCTCTATAATAATTATTGAATTGATCACTAGAGTTTTGGCAGCAAACAAATTGGTACTCAAAAGTTAGTTTAGTGATTAAATCATGTAAACTAGTAAGCTTAACTTGCTTAAGGGTCAAAAGTTAGGTAATCAGAGAAAATCAGGGTGGTAAAAGTAATAATTGCAATTAGACTTTGATGGTCCAATGTTAGAGCAAATCATACTCATATATTATATAGCTTAGCTCATTGGTAAATGATAAGCATGATGAATCATCACTAAGATGCCCGACTACATTGTTGCTATTGACTTTTAAGCAAGTGACAAACGTCGCCGTTTCTGGTTCACCCTCCATGCTCTGCTGCCTTCCACTACAGTCTACAGGTGCTGGTGTTTCTCTTTCAGACAGGCAGCTAACTAACTAAGGGAAGAGAACAAAAAATTCTCAGATTCGGTTCTGAATATTTATATCGCTTCTTAAATCTCCAACAAGTCTAAACCCCAAATCCTTTCGAAAACTCAACAGCTCGAAGGAAAGTAATCATTGCTGGTGAAAGCACCCGAGGGAGGAAGAGATTATTTTTATGCCACTTCCTCGCCACTGTCCAACCATTTCCCTTTTCCACTACCGCCTGCTCTCAAAAATAACAATTCTCAAATGTTTCTCTTTGACTTACTCCAACCTTTCTCCCTATAGTCAATGAAATTTAGATCACATCCACTTCGATTAAGGGCTTGAATTCGAGCTTCAATGGCTAAAGTCGCCGCCTTGATCACGTTTGCCCTGATGGGTTTGTTGTTCGTTGTCGCCGTCGTCGAAGGCGGGTCGCCGGTGGGGAAACCGGGGTACAGGATCCACACTTTGTTCTCCGTCGAGTGCCAGAACTATTTTGATTGGCAGACGGTGGGGCTAATGCACAGTTTCAGAAAGGCCCGGCAACCGGGACCCATAACGCGACTCCTGAGCTGCACTGACGAGGAGAAGAAGAGTTACAGAGGGATGCATTTGGCGCCCACTTTCCAAGTCCCTTCTATGAGTCGACACCCCAAAACTGGTGACTGGTGAGCGAAAAAGTTCACACTTAGTGAAGAATCTGTCCTTAGTGAATCAATTTGCTTGCCATAAAGATGTAAACTTTTACTGGGAATCAGTAATGTGAAGTTTGCCTTGCTAGGAAATTAGTAATGATTAGTTTTTGTGTCATTTGTTTGTACTTGTGGTATATAGGTACCCAGCAATTAACAAACCTGCTGGAGTTGTACATTGGCTTAACCACAGCGAGGAAGCTAAGCATGTGGATTGGGTGGTGATTTTAGATGCAGACATGATCATTCGAGGGCCGATTATACCCACAGAGCTCGGTGCTGAGAGAGGAAGGCCAGTGTCTGCATATTATGGGTACTTTCACACTTAACCTTGAACAAGTTTAAGAAGATTTTGGTTTAGGAAGTACTAGTTTGGGTACTGCTTGATGATGATGATGATGATGATGATGATGAGTGCAATCTATCTGGCTGCAATGGAACACTTCATTGACTTGAAAGGCTTGCTTGATCGATAATTTTCGTGTATGGATGGTAACGTGGTAATAGTAATGGCGAAACAAGAATGGTGTTCTTCTGTCTTCAGCATATGCATTATGTTCTTTTGTTCAAGTTCAGAGTTATATGGTCTGAGGCACTACCTTTGCCAGCAATTCTAGTTGCAAGATCAATCAGGTCTTTCCTTTATCATCCTTTTGGCATCAGGTTGAATAGAGGTCTTACAATAAACTTTACTATTCCAGATACTTGGTTGGATGTGACAATATACTGGCCAAAATCCACACAAAGCATCCAGAACTCTGCGACAAGGTTGGTGGGCTTTTAGCTATGCACATAGATGATCTTCGTGCATTAGCACCAAAGTGGCTTGCTAAGACAGAAGAAGTGCGTGAAGATAAGGCTCACTGGAGCACGAATATTACCGGTGACATCTATGGGAAAGGATGGATAAGTGAGATGTATGGCTACTCATTTGGTGCTGCTGAAGTAAGTTGGATGAGTTGCTGTCTTATTTTCCTTTTGCATCGGGCCTTCAATTCTTATGTCGTATCATTTTGTTTTTCCCCCCTGCGTTTATAGGTTGGACTTCGGCATAAGATCAATGATGACTTGATGATCTATCCTGGATATATTCCACGCCCCGGTGTCGAGCCAATCCTGTTTCACTATGGCTTGCCATTTACTGTGGGGAATTGGTCATTTAGTAAACTGCAGCATCATGAAGATGATATCGTTTATAGATGCGGCGAGCTCTTTCCTGAACCTCCATATCCCAGAGAGGTACCTGAACAGAGTAATGACAAGGTTTTGAACTATTTGGCCTTGTTCTACATATAGGCTTCCTGCTGAACCCTGTATGATCTTGGCATTTCACAGGTCTATACTATGGAATCTGAGCCGAATAAGCGACGGGCATTGCTTCTGAGCGTAGAGTGCATGAACACTTTGAATGAAGGGCTTGTATTAAAGCATGCTGCAGATGGATGCCCGAAGCCAAAATGGTCAAAGTACTTGAGCTTCTTAAAGAGTAAAACTTTTGCTAATCTTAGTCGTCCCAAAATTTTCACTCCTGGTGTACAGCAAACTATGGAAGCCGGTGAAGATCAGCAGCCACTCTTTGGTGAAACTATGAAACCACATCCAAAGATCCACACAGTTTTTTCGACAGAATGTTCACCCTACTTTGACTGGCAAACTGTAGGTCTTATTCACAGTTTCCATCTTAGTGGCCAGCCTGGAAACATAACACAACTTCTCAGCTGTACTGATGAAGACCTTAAGCAATATAAAGGTCATGATTTGGCTCCTACTCACTATGTTCCTTCCATGAGCCGGCATCCACTAACCGGTGACTGGTAAGCTAAATATTGTGGCTGCACCTTTCAAAAGATAGCAGTTTGCTGTTTGGTTCCCTTGTGTAATGATAATGCAGAAAACCAGCAGAAGAAGCTCTCAAGTGCTAACTGCTGATGATTTTGTGTTGCATGACAGGTATCCCGCAATCAACAAACCTGCTGGTGTCCTTCATTGGCTTAATCACGTGGGTGACATTGATGCTGAGTACATAGTTATTCTTGATGCTGACATGATTTTGAGAGGTCCAATCACACCGTGGGAATTCAATGCATCTCGTGGCCACCCAGTTTCAACTCCTTATGAGTAAGACTCAGACTCATGGCTCATTGCCACCATACCACTTCTGAAAGAACTTTTGACACGTTCTTAACATATACTTGGAAACTTGTTCTTCAAGGTACTTGATTGGCTGCGACAATGAGCTTGCGGAAATGCATACGAGCCATCCTGAATACTGTGACAAGGTTGGGGGTGTAATCATCATGCATATTGATGACCTCAGGAAGTTCGCTATGTACTGGCTACTTAAGACGGAGGAGGTTCGTTTCGATAAAGAGCATTATGCCACAAATCTTACTGGAGATATATACTCATCTGGCTGGATCAGTGAGATGTATGGCTACTCCTTTGGTGCAGCAGAGGTAATTGATTACTTTCCACGAAGTTCTTTGTCCATATGATATGATGAATCTCATCTTGCATATATTCACCATATGTTGAGAACCAGTCTCTGAACTAGATTCGCTCTTTGTATGTGCAGCTAAAACTACGCCATGTAGTGAGCCGGGAGATACTGATATACCCAGGATATGTCCCCGAGCAAGGTGTGAAGTACAGAGTGTTCCATTACGGTCTAGAATTCAGTGTCGGAAACTGGAGCTTCGACAAGGCCAACTGGAGAGACAAAGACATCGTGAACACTTGCTGGGCCCAGTTTCCAGACCCACCCGATCCATCGACTCTTGATCGAACCGACGAGAACATTTTACAGAAAAACTTACTCAGCATAGAATGTGGGAAGAAGTTGAACGAAGCCTTGATGCTGCATCATAGGAAGAGAAACTGCCCTGATCCCAGCAGTCCCATCTTAACTTCGCCCAAGCTTGAAACCAGAACTTCAAAGAAATTTGGCAAGATCGAGGAAAAACCGAAAACCAGCACGGTTCCAGCAAGGCACACCCAGGAGTTGTCTCAAGCCGATCAGAACGATGGCCATTTCCGGTCTTTGAAGGTCTGGGTGGTTGCTCTATGGGCATTTTCTGGTTTGGGATTTGTGGTAGTCATGACCATGGTGTTTTCAGGTCGTAAAAGTAAGGGAACGAAAGGTAAAAGCAGTAGAAGTAGGAAGAGACATTCGAGTCAAGATAGTTGGACATGAGTTAGCAGAGTTCAAAGAGGGTTTTTTTCCCTTTCACTACTACTATACATATTTCGACGAGAGAGAGCATGACACTGAATGTGGAGGATATTCTGGCAAAATGCACAAAGGTTTTGGTCATTTATACCACACTGATGAGGATGATGACAGGGAAGAAACAGCATACAGCTTAGCTTATGTACAATTCGTACTTGCATTTGTTGTATTGCCTGTCCGAAAGTTCGGAGCTTTGTGCAGAAGAGTTCTGATGGAACCTCTGTACTGCTCTTATAAAAACTGGAGGGATGACAAGAGAACTTGGAAGGAAGAAACTGAAGAAAAGATTGCGCTGATGGGGGATTCTGTTCGTCTTCACTATTTCTCCAACATTTAACCAACAAGTTGTGAATTCTGGTCTTCTTTACCATATTTTGTATTGATTGATCCATTATTAGTAATGCATATGCCCGAATTTTTGTACTACTAGTTGAATTTCAAACAACTACCAATGATTGATTTTGGAGAGAATTAATGTAAATAAGCTTTAGTGTTCTTAGGCCACTTAAAAAGAGTTAATTTCTAGGCAAAATTGTTTAGTGCACAAAATCAGAAGAATAGTTCAAACTTCTAACTTCACCAAAATTGTGCCTTGTAGGCTTCCAAAGTGACCAAACAACACACTACTTGACCAAAAAGCAAAAGGTCGGTCACTTTGAACTTTTTTTTTTTTAGGAAATGTCAAACATAGACATTACTTTTCGTCCAGCAACCACCCTCTCCAAATTCCAATCCCAGCTATCTCTCGTCTTCTTCCTTCCTCAAGCGGACTTCCAACTCCAATTCAGTAGGAAGACGCGATGCCGAACTGGGAACTGCAGAACTGCTGTCAGAAGGACCAGGTCACCTTCTTGGTCACCATCGGCGTCTTTTCCCTTGTTATCCTCGCGGTAATGCTTCTTCCTAATCTTAATTCATAAGTTTCAAGTCAGATTAAGTCAACTTCGTTCATGATTCCCGCCACTGCCATTTAGTCTGTTCGCTAAGAAAATGTGTTTATCAGAGTTTGTTTCCGCTGGATTTCCAACCGATCCACTCTTTCTATCACTGAGTTTGAGAGTTTTGTGGGAATTTGATTTGTCACAGCTATGGCGGACAGTACTGCTAACGCCTTTCAAGCTCATAACCGTGTTTATGCACGAAGCTAGTCATGCCATTGCTTGCATCCTCACTTGTGGGAAGGTTAGAAATTCTTTCCCATCCCGTCCTCCGGTGTATCCCTTTTTGTCATGATGATGATGTTCATCAAGCTGGCGAGTAGTTTATAAGTTTCTTGGATCAAGCATTTGGACTGCCTCTCTGTTTATCGATTACGCATTGCTCCAAAGACGTAATCTTTCAAGGCAGTTTAACAGAACTAGACTATTTTCGTGTTAGATATCGTCCCGGTTAAGAATCCACCATGATAATGATTTTGAAATTTACTTATGTCGTACATTTATGCTGATCTAATCTTATGTTCATGGGCTCCAAAGCTAGAACAGCGAAATTTGTCTCTAAGAACACCCAAGCTGTTTGTATCACTTGATCATTTCTTTGTTTACTGGCTAGACCATTGTTGAGCAAAGGGATTCAACTGCTTATTGATCTCCAGGTGGAAGGTATTCAGGTTCACGCCAATGAAGGAGGCGTGACTCAAACACGTGGTGGCATATATTGGCTGATCTTACCTGCAGGATGTAATTCACTTTTCCTTTAAATCATTGTTATTTTACTATTGCTAGACATGGTTGACAAGGAAGATGTATTGAAAATGCCATGCTTAATTTACGCTAATGTAACAAAAGCGGCAACTAATGCATTCGTCACTTTAGGGCGCAGTATTCACATCTATGCAAGTATGCATACATGTGTTTCTTAGAAAAGCTCAGTGAAGGTAGAGAGATGGGAACGAGGAAGGAGGGCGTGAAGTTCTGGAAATAGAGATGAGCTAAGAGCAGATAGCAGTTCACACCCTGGATATTAGATAAAACTAGGTGATACATACTAAAATAAATATCTTTTGATATGTGACCATTAGATACAGAAGGGAAGTTAGACTTCTCTCAAGTTCTATATTCATTTAGGTTGAGGAGATAAAACTTAGTAACTTACATGAGCAGATCATGAAGAATAATGTATAATGTGGATGTGCCATGGGTCATTGCTTGCACATGGAATAATTGGATCACAAGTCAGCACATTTGGCTAAAGGTTGGTGTTTTGCTAACTGAAGGGAAGAATTGAGTTTGAGGTGATTTGATGGACATGTTTGCTGGATAGCAATTTCTGCTTCTCTAAAGAAGGTAACACAAGAAGCACTTCCGTTTCAGCTGGCAAAAGGGCCCTATTCCACAATAGTAGAAACTTCCAATAGGACTTTGAGTTCAATGAGTAAAGGATGCAAAAGCTGCTCCTAGATCCTGGTACTATTTGTTCTTTGCTTCTTGTTATTCTATTCGTTCTCCTCTTTCCTCTTATGAAACTAAATGGTGATGCTTGAGCAGCAAGCTGTAGGACACATTGCTGAGGATCAGCTCAAGCTTCTCTACTTCAGTGCAATATTTTCTCAAGTCTGTGGTTCATTAGAGCAAGGTGTAGGTGTTAGTGCCCCAAGTTTTCGGGTATTAAGATTCCTATGGTGCATGCATGGTCACAAGTATTTTGTTGCATGATAATTTCTTGATATAGTTTACCGAGAAGCCAGACTTGTCCGTATTTGGAAAAGAGGACAGGATGGTATTCCTAATGTTGATTATTATTATTTTTCGGTACTTTGCCCGCAGATCTTGGATCTTCATTTTGGGGGATGCTTTTGATACTTGCATCCACCAATCTTCTTACTGCAAGAATTGCTGCTGGTTGTTTGGGTCTTGCCCTACTCATAGTGCTGTTTATTGCCAAGAATGTAAGTGAACAAATCTATCATCATTCCACTTAGCCCCTTGCCCTTTGGTGGCTTTAAAGTTTGTAAATATTTAATTGCCAAGTTCGTTTGTAAATATTTAATTGATAGATCGTATCCTTTAAAGTTTCGCATTCTCACTTTTCTGCATAATTTTCCATACAGTGGACGCTTCGAGGACTTTGCATTGGTGAGGGCTCTATCAGTTTTTGTACAAAATATCCTATCTGCACGAGTTATGAACATTCTTTGCTTTTCTGAGATGTTTACTCTAACAAGTTTAAATGTTCAGGATTCATTACGTTTCTTGCTATCATTTGGGTATTACAAGAATACACCAAAGTACGGATCCTTCGATATGTTATTCTCTTCATTGGTATAAGCATCCATATCAAGTTTTCCTTTTCCCCCTCTTTTTCAATTAAGTAGCTTCTACTTGGCCCTTCCATCATCAAAGTTAGTTAGCTGATTCTACCCTCTTATTCCCCCTGCAGGTGTCATGAACAGTTTGTTTTCAGTTTATGGTACGCATCCCATGGTTCTTGTATTACCCTTTTTCCATGACTTATTGAGCATTCATTAAGGTTTTCTAGTCCTCAACGCAAAAATTGGTTGGTCTGCAGACATATATGACGACCTAATATCTAGAAGAGTCAACTCTAGCGATGCTGAGAAGTTTGCAGAACTCTGTCCTTGCCCATGCACAGGTGTTGGATGGGGAATGATCTGGTGAGTCCTGTCTCTTTGACGAACTAAAGTAAACCATTAGTGTTACTGCATCCTAAGTCGGCAAGAATTCTTATGATTCCTTAGTTGCCTGTATGATGAATCATTGACTGCTTCACCTTCCTGACTACTTGTAGGGGAATGATATCATTCTTGTTTCTCTGTGCATCTATATACCTAGGGCTCGTCATCTTATCTTAAGGTACAGTTTTTCGTCACCATAATGATTTCTGAAAGGTGGCAGCTGCTCAACTAAGCATTTCTTCCCTTTTCTCTATCAGGTTCAAATCAAGGATAACTGGCTTACTTCGGCATTTGTTCACTGTGGAGAGCATTCTGTAGAGTTGTATTGTGTCCATGCCCAGGGCTTCATTCTTTCGACCCTTTGTGTTTCTGGGGGGTCGACATTTGAATACTCTGATATGATTGGTGTGTATAGGGTGGTGTCCAATGCGCTGAACTTTTTCCTGGTTGACCTCAACAGATTCTAGGCTACTCACTTCACGGTCAGCACAGGAATCATACTCATTCTTAGGCTTGTCTAATGGACTTGAGCACTTCTTCATCTTCTTGGTCACTGACCCTTTTTCGCTTCAAATGGTATTTGCTTACGTTGTGAACATGATTAGCTAGGCAAACCATCTTACTTATTTTCATTCAGACAGACGATACTGCACAAGTATCTCTTCATTCTTGAGTTCCCCCACAAGCAATCCCGGCTACACCTTAGCCAAATTGTCAAAGGAATTGTTATGACAACTTTCAAGCATGAGTGGGGTTATGATTCAAATTTGATCAGGTGCAATATGAGTCTAACATCCCAACTGGATAGAGTATTGTTGAGAGGGTAATACGAGGAATAGGGTTGTGTTTTGGGGTTCGAGAAGCATGATTAATACAAAAGAGAATCTTCAAACGCTTTGGGACTAATATACCTAGAGCCGTGAGCATAGATTTGTCTCCCTAGATTTAAACGAAAACTTAACAATCCGGACGTTGAAAGGATTCCTTATGTCTTCTTTGGCCGTGAGCATAGATTTGTCTCCCTAGATTTAAACACAAACTTAATAGTCCGGATGTTGAAAGGATTCCTTGTGTCTTCTTTGATGTCTTTCCCATTCTTATGTCAACAATGGTGGGCTACATGTGGTGGCTAAGCTTTAGTAAAAATGAGTAATTAATCATCAAGGTTACCCACATAAAGTTTCGTCAATTAATATAGTATAGTCATCAGATTCGACGTAAGTGTTTTAGAGATCGTAGAATGAACGAATTGAGTTAAAGGGTTTGCTTTACCCTTTAATTTTTAAAGATAAGATTGATTATATGTTGTATACTCGTGCTATGAAAAGATCATTCAACACAACAATCATAACTACATATAAACAGATATTTCATCAATTAATTAATTAATAGCGCAAGTAAACTACAAGCTAAAACACTGTTCATTACGACAAAATAGCTAAAACCCATTTTTACAGGAAAAAGCCAACCTTGCGTGAGAGATCAATTAATTGCAACCCCACTTTTATCGGACAAGCAACTATGTATGCGAGAAATTAACTTTGTTTTATGAGAATTTTTTGGGGTTTGCTACTGTTCATTACAGATTTATACCATGTGGGTGGGTTTAGGGTGTACCCAATTGACTCTATTGATAGGCTATCCGAGGGATTCATTATTCTGTTTTATGATAATTATTAACCCATCTGGGAGTTTTATATATTACAAATACATGAAATTTTAATGTAATAGTTGAATTAATATGATACGTTCCATAACCCGATTTTATTATCAGACCACACATTATAGAATATTTATGTAACAATGTTCTATAATAGTTATTTATCTCCTACATCTAATTTTTCCATAAAATCTTGATTAGTTAACTTTGACATAATAGTTTAATCATATGTTACTTTCTAAGATTTTATTTTATTATTAAACTACACATTTTAAAATATTTTTCCATAAAATCTTGATTAGTTAACTTTGACATAATAGTTTAATCATATGTTACTTTCTAAGATTTTATTTTATTATTAAACTACACATTTAAAAATATTTATGTAACAACATTCCATAAAAGTTATATAAATTTTATTAGATCACACATTATTAAAATTTATTTAATAAAATTTTATAACTGTTACATGAGTTTTTCTTAATGATTAAGACACTACGTAAAGTTTATTGATAAATAATTATTTTATATGTATCAATTAAAAATAATAATATGGAATTTTTCCATAATGATTAAACAATTCGTAAACCTCATGTAGAAATAGTTATTTTACTATGTATCACTTAACAAACGGATGACGTATGTTATTCGCAATGATTAAGGCATTAAGTGATATATATATATTATCTGAATAATTTTGTGCATTATTTAATTTAAATCATTAATTTTTATCGCGGCGGAGCGCGAGCCAAAAAACTAGTGAGATTTAAAAGAAAAAACATTATATTGCCTTTAAGTGTTTAGTGCAAAACTCGTGAACAATAACTCAAATTATATTGCCTTTAAGTAATCAAAATTAAAGGTACTAATCAACAGCAAAGTGGACCCTTGTTTGAATAAAAAGAAAACTGAAAAAGCTTTGCTTCCATCATGGTTGTCACGCCGGCCGGCATGCCACTAGTTCAACGTGTACCGTGTCATAAAACCGACATGACACCACCGGTATGACCGACATGATCGATATACGAATCTCCAAATAAAATAATCTTATCTTAGTGAATTTAATTGATAAAAAGTAATTTATTATTTATTTTATATGTTAAAAAGTTAAATGTTGATGTTATTTGTTGGATTCAAGTACAAATATTTAGGTATTGTCGTTAAATGTCATGTTTAAATATGAGTATTTGTAAATTATTTATAATATTAATCGGCACAAACCGATATGTACCACCAGTTAAACCATTCCACTTGCTAAACAGACACACTGACATAAACCGGTTTGACAACCTTACTTCCATATCATCATCACATCCACCAGGCTAAGGCTCATGCTCCTTTCCTATCTTGTGTGGTGCCCTTTTTCTTATTAACAACAGCAAAATGGACCCCTCACTTCTCTTGTTGCCCCAACCCAATGCAACCTTTTTCTGCACTTCCCCTCGTTTTGAAATTCAAAATTTTTAAACGGCTAACCACCATTCCCTTGAGAACATCTCATCGTACCACAAAAACGACACAATAAAAAACCATTAATGAGTTTCAAGTCCAACATTGGGCAACTTTGAGGTTTCCCAAATTTACTCATCACCCACAAAGCTCCAAACCCCACAGCTCTCATGGGGGAAACAGTTACCTGTCTCATGCAGCAGCAGCCATTCTCTTACACTGCAGGCATCTCCAATGAAGCCAAAGAGGTATGTTTCCTGACACACTTCACTTCTTCCTCGTCGCCTTCTTCTTCTTCTTCTTCCATTTCTGACTGCTAGTGCTAGGTTCCTCATGGAATCAATCTTGGTAAGGGAAAAAGAAATTATAAGGCTTTGACCTTTTATAATGCAGGGGAACTTGATCAGCTCACTGGGGCAATCTGTCTCCTTTGGGAGGTTCACTTCAGAGTCTTTGTCATGGGAGAAATGGTCGACTTTCTCTAGCAACAAGTATGTCGAAGAAGCTGAGAAATTCTCCCGCCCTGGCTCGGTGGCTGAGAAGAAAGCCTTCTTCGAGGCTCATTACCGCAATCTCGCTGCTCGGAAGGCCGCCGCAGAAGCTGCCGCTGCTGCAGAAGCAGCTGCAGCGTTGCTTGAGCAGGGGAATGGTGGGGAAATGGAGGAATCAGAACCAAATGAGGTTAATGAGCCAAACCCTAGTTTTGGGGTAAAGGTTGAAGCTTTGGTTGATGTTGAATCTGTTGAGAGCAAGGAGGAAGGTAATAGAGATGGTGGTCCTGATGGTGCAGAGCAAATGGAGAAGCCGTTGTTGAAGGTCACGAGAACAAAGTCAAAAGGTTCTGCACGGAAGTCCAATGAATCTGAACCAGTTAAGGCCGATGAAGGTAGAGAGCAGATGGAGAGGCCATTGTTGAAGGCAATGAGAACAAAGTCAAAAGGTTCCGCACGGAAGTCGAATGAATCTGAACCAGTTAAGGGCAGTGATGGTAGAAAGCAAATGGAGGAGCCATTGTTGAAGGTAACGAGAACAAAGTCAAAAGGTTCTGCACGGAGCTCCAGTAAATGTGAACCAAACAAGGCCAATGAACCCAACCCACCACCCGAAAACGAAGCTGTCGAGAGTTCTTGCACAAAGATAGAAGCTTTGACTGAAGTTGAAGCTATTGAGAGCGAAGGGGAAAGTACAAACCAAATGGAGAAGCCATTGTTGAAGGTAAGTAGAACAAAGATAGAACAGTTTGTACTTTTAGCTCAAGTGGGGATCTTTAGCTTGAGCTTATGTCCAATTTTTTTAGCAGGATGTCATCTCTAATGCAAGTGATTCTGACTCGTTCACCAAGAAGAAGCCTGCAGTTTCTTTCTCAAGCAACTTGGTTGTAAGAAGAAAAGTTCCAGCAGCCAGAAATGAAAGCTTGACTGCTACTACTACTCCAGTCAACAAGAGATCGTCGACACCAAAATCAAGTCAGAATAAGGCCATCAACTTCACTCCTGTGAGAGAGATCAATAGAATAACTTCCACCATCATCAGGAAGATTGATTGTTCTAGAGCCGGATCGAGTAAGCCTACGATGGCTAAAGATTATAGCTCATTAGTTTCAACTCCATTCAGAACTCCATCTAGAGAAGAATCTAAGAATCACCCAGAAACAACCCCACAGTCAGAATTCTGGGCAAGAACACCTCTTCATCCATCAGCAGCAGCATCAGCCTCTGGAAGCAAGGCAGTTAAGCCAAGATGGCATTTCCTACCTACAGAGTAATAGTCATCCAGCTAGAATGAAGCCCCATTTTTATTGAATGAATAATCAAAGATTTACAAATGAAATATGTTTCTTTTATGGCAGTTGCTCGAAGTTTATGAGTGGCAGCAGAAACAAATCCCAGCAGTCACCATGCTTTCCTACGCCTTTCAGCTTGAGAACAGAAGAAAGAGCTGCAAGACGAAAAGGGGTGAGCTTTAAAGCAAGTTCAGTATGAAAGATTTGAGTTTCCAGGTCGCTTTGATTGAAATTTTCCATCTATTTGTACCCTTTTGGATGCTTTGTTACAGAAGCTGGAAGAGAAGTTCAATGCTAATCAAGCTCAAAAGGTTCAGTCACAAGCAACAGTCAAGGTATGGCTATACCGCCTTCTATAGTCTTCAATATTTCGCTATAGGTCTACTTTCATTCAACGGTTGTGCAATTGTAGGAGAAGGCAGAAACAGAAATGAAAAAGCTGAGGAAGAGCCTTTGCTTCAAGGCCAGGCCATTGCCAGGGTTCTATAAGCAAAGAGTAACACCAAAGAACCAGATGGACAAGGTTATAACCGAAAGTTTCCATCTTTCTGCTTAGTAGCTTCACATTTCCCGTTCTGGGGCTAATCTGATTCTGCATGCAGGCTCCACTGACACATCCTTCTCCATCACAAGAACCAGAGACTTCAACTGCAAAAATGGTGAAGAATACTAGTACTATTCCACAGATTGTTCAGAGAAGTTCAAGCAAGAACAGTGGCAGAAATGTGAAGAAGAACGACGACAGCTGCAACAATCCGCGGTGCCTACGTGCGAGACTGAGAGCAACTGCTGCGGAGAATAGTTGTCCAAATATCCAGCAACAAGCAACCTGAAGATTGCTAGATGCAAGTTCTTTCGTGGGGGGTGAGATCTTGTGAAGCAGGCTTCACAGTATAGAACAGTACCACTGTCCACAGAGAGGGCCAAGCTGACCTTGTTCTGTCATTAACCATTGACCCATTTTCTTTGATCTTCCTTTCTTTTCTTCATAGAATGAGCTGATTAGTTCTTGTATGTTTTGAACCATGTCATGGTTGAGCTTCTGAAATCTGAATGACTAATGTTTGATCCATTGGAATGAGCTCGAGTGTTCAGTTGCTTCAACTTCCTCATTATAACATACCAATCCATAGCATAGCTGTTAGCTACCTTAATAACCAAATGAGAAAGTACAATACATGGGTCTGGTTGCAACAAGCTTGTGAAAAGATCAAACAACAATCTTTGCCACATTTTCATTGCAATATCATCATCCACAAAAAAATTCCTTGGTGGGTTACAACAATGAAGATATTGGCTTTGGTTAGGTGCTTCTTAGTACGAATAATATCAGAGTAACCAAGTTCGATCTAAGGGTTCTCACAATCATGATCATTATCCTGACAACCGTCATCATCACGATCTGCATCAATGGCCAACTTCTCTAACAACCCGGCAACCGAAACCCCACCGTAACAATAGCCGGAGTGGAACCGGCTGCCTTCCTCTGCCCAACGAGCTGCTACGCCGTGATTGGACACTGCGTCATGCCACCTCAACTTATGGCTCCCCTTGATGTTGTTCTTTGACTTACCGTTGTGACGCGTCCCGCATCTTCCGATGTACTTGGAGTGGTTGGTGGTGGGCTTGGGCGGGACCGGAGTGAATGTTCCGACGATCAGAGGGGAGCTCGAGCTCTTGATGAGCCGGGCCAAATTTGGTTGGTTTGGGCAGACCGGGTAGGTTCTAGCAATTCCATGTTGCCTCCCTTCCCTCTTCATAATTTTTGGATGGAGTTTTGGCCTTGTAAATAGAAGCAACCAACAGCTACTGCTTTAACAAAAGAAAAGGATGGTAAAGATAAACAGAGGAGGAGGATAAACAGGGAGTCTGTGAGGACTCGACCCTGATAATATAAGAGTTAGGTGGGTTAGATTATAGTCTATATACTCTACAGGACTATGAGCCCTTTGGTAATGGTGGATGATTTTGCAGAAATGGATCTATGGCTTTGGTATTTATAATAGCAAGAAAGGGAAAGAGAGAGGAAAGGAGAGACCTTGGGGAGCAAGGATTGCCTTACTAAGGTGTGCAGTGTTTGAAATGAATGGTCTAAAACATAACTTGGTTCCCAAGGTCGACTTCTTTGCAACCCATGTAGAATGTAGACCACCACACCCACCAAAGTTGGCTTAGATGCTTTCCTATCTGTTTCCCCATTTTTTTCTCTCTTTTTTTTAGCAGTTAATTCACATTATTCACGATAATTTAAATTATTGAATTTTAAAAGCAATTATAAGAGTACCTATTTTGAAATAATCCGATCATTTCTTCTACTAATAAGTCATTGTATGTTTTTAATAGTTTTGGCAATCTTTAAATTTATGACATTTTAAAAATTCTTTGTAGGATAAAGGTGGAGTCAAGTTTTAGAGTGGCTTGTGTTAGTTACAATGACATAATCGACACACAAATGCTAGTCAGATCAAGATTTGATGAGTATAGCGATTTTATAACATGAGATTGTGCTATATGTAAACTTCAATTAAAATTTGGGAGGTTATCAGCCAACCACCTTCACGAAAACCACTAAAACCAAAGCTGAAACAAGTTGGATTTCATATTATTTCCCAATGCATTACTTACAAGAATCGACACCCCTTCACTTAAGAACTTAGATGTCCAAGACTCAAACATTTGAAGCTTGTGGCTGATGATCATGAGAAGAATCGATAAGTGGATCGTTGTTCCCTTTGTCCGTCGCCTTCCCATTGATACCACTCGTTTTCTTCGGTCGATAAAGAATGTAATGTTGGACCATAAACAAAATGTCGAAGAAAATTGAAACCTGCAATGAAAAATTCAAGCAAAAATGACACCTTAAGAGGAAAGCCTTCAACATGATTAACTTCAAAGATATGTTGTGTAATCTACCCAAAAAAAAAGAAGAAGATATGTTGTGTAAGTTTACATACCAAAGAGAGCAATGTCTTCCCTATGTTGCCATAAAAGTTCACCCAAGAATCTGGAACAAGCAAAGGAAGGTGGTTCAATCAGCTCAACCTCAGTAAGCCTAAATTGCGAAACGGTTGGTTTATATTATGATGGAGGAAGGAATGAACAACATACTTTGGTCGATCGATTGTGTAGCCATTTGTCCGTAATTGGCAACACCACCGGTGAAATCAAGCAGAATGTTGCCGATGCTGAACCCCTCAGTGCTTTTCCTCATGAAGTTCATTACTGCCTGTGGGATATACTTGATCACCGTCATGGAGACTTGAATGAAGCTGACAGCCAAATGACAGTGAAACTAAGCATTAATGGCCATAGGCTATGAAGATGCTATGACATGAAAGAGGTTAAGGAGCAAACTTACTTAAAGATGGAGATGAGCCATAGCCAAGAATGGCTAGGTAAAGCAACGAAGACACAGACTGCAGCGAATAGCCATACTACACTGACTATTCCTATCGAGATCTTGGAGATTGTCTGAGTTCCTCGCTGTTCCGAGCAGAAAGAAACAAGCTTGGATTAGGCCTGGCCAAAGAAATAGAAGTTTCTAAACAATCTACTGAATAAGAGAATTCAGCATCACCTACTTCGTAGATGAAGACTTGGAACAGCGTGATCGCTGTCAATACAACAGCGTGTATAGAGAAAGCAACATCATTCGCGGCAACTGGTATCATCTGCAAAACAATAAGCTTTATATTAATCACAGATTTGGGGAGAAATGTAAGCGCTAGTAAGCAACAGCATCCAAAAAATTTATCTTAAAATATTCTATTGAAGAATTCCACAATTCAGTCTCCCTAATCATTACAATGGAGCAACACAAATGGTACTGAATCTCAGTCAACATAAATTCAATCTTTATATACTCTTACTCTGCAATCTTTCATTCCAAAACATAACCCTAAACCCAGACGAAGTTTCTGCTAAAAACTGCACTTTTCAGCAATCAAATGGCAAACCCAGTAGCGGAAAATGCTAATTGATGATCAAAGTGAAATCAAGCCCAGATGAGAAGTAATGGAAAGAAAGAGTGTGACCTGTTCATAGCCATACTTCTCGAAGTACTGCTGCTGAGCAGCAGGGCTAAAGTAGAGCACGGCGTTGTATATCAAATAGGAAGAGTGCTTGGTCAAATTCAACAGCAGGAAATCCAAGCTCAGTCCCACCACACTACCGGATAAAAAGAAACCACCAAATCAAATCTCCCATTGAGAGAGAGAAATGAAAGATTAGAGAGAAAAATAAGCTTTGGTAACTGCTCTGCTTTCTTACCTCTTGCGACGGAAATTCAAGATGACCTGAGGGTAGAAACTGATGGACCATGAGACGAAGGCGAGCCAGCCCAGTGTTTGATAAGTGATTTCCAGGGGAAATGAATTCCACGACGCCATTGATTAGATCTTATCCTCTGAGATGCAAAAAACATTACAAACATGTGGACAAAAATAACAAACATTACAAACATTACAAAATAACAAACATTACAAACATTGCAAACAAACATTACAAACAAACATTACAAACAGTACAAAGCATACTACACGTACAGAATATCACTACTTACAATACAGATTGGTAAACTTGTATTACAAACAAATGAATACAAAGTATACAAATCATAACATAAAAGTATACAAACTTGAATAACAAAAGTTACAAATACAAATCAATGAATAGAAAGTGTATAAATCATAACATAAAGTATACAAACTAGACAAACAAACATTACAAACATTACAAACATTACAATGTATACAAAATAGTAATATAAACATTACAAACATCACGAACTCAATACTGTTGCCGGAAAATCATCCACCACCGTCTCTGGTCGCCGGGAAACTGCTCCGCCGTCGCCGAAAAAGTTCTCTCTCTCTCTCTCTCTCTCTCTCTCTCTCTCTCTCTCTCTCTCTCTCTCTCTCTCTCTCTCTCTCTCTCTCTCTCTCTCTCTCTCTCTCTCTCTCTCTCTCTCTGACGTGAGATATTGAATTCTCAAGGGGGGAATCTCTCTCTGTATGTTATCGTGGGCCATTTAATTCTCAAGGGGGAATTATTGCGACCGTCAAAATGGGGCGCCGGCGAACTACACGCGGCCGGCCGCCGGCGGGATCGGAAGTCGCTGGGGAATAAAAAAAACGCAGGTCGCGCGGAGAAGGAAAAGGATTGGGGCTGATTTTTTATTTATTTTAATTAGTAAATGAAAATTAAATAATTAAATTACTACATTGCCCTACATTAAATTGGATTAATCAGGACCATTGGATTTTAATGAGGTGGAAGGGCTAAGATTCACTTAGTCACATGACTAAGGGACCCCCCCTTAGTCACCAGATCTTAGCCCCTTATGCCTCTCGCTGTTTCTCAGTTACTCTATGTTCCTGGATTAGCGGAGAAAGGGTTTATATATAGCTGAAAAAGCAGAGATCTTAAGTGTCGGAGTGGCGTGAGGAGTGAGGAGCTCTCTCTGTTTGTCGTTCTGTCAGTGTTTCTTATTTCCTTCTAGAGCTGCCCGCCGGTGACCAGAAAGCATGTGGACGGTTATACGGACGTATTCAACTAAGACTCGAGACGCTTAGACGGGGGACTAGCTCGGCAGTTGGTTTGAGGGCCAGTTATAGAAACCGCCACTGAACTTTGGGATTAATTGACGAATTGGTTACTGAACTTGGATTTTCAACGAATTTTCATTTATTGTCACACTGCAAGTGTTAGTCTAAATTGTAAGGATTTGTTGATCAACTCATAGAAATTATTGACAAAACTGGAAATAGGAATGATTATTGGATGATAGATTCAGAGTTCCATATTATTATTTTTTTTATGGGAAAATTATTTAATGAATACTAAAGAAAGTGATATTGTCATCCAATTCCATAAAATGGATCCAACAAGTAAATGTTGGATGATGGGGCAAGTAAGTAACTACGATATATTAAGTACCCTAAGTTTGAAGCCCACCTAACTTTAAAATAGTTTAAATTTCAAATGAATAAATATGCAATAGATGTGACACATGAGCAATATAAAGACTTGAGCTACCGATAATAGACGTTACACATTAGCAATGTTAAAGCTTGAGCATTCGACTAAAGAGCAATTGATGTATTAACATGAGTCTGAGCTTTTGTAAACTGGATTCCTATTTGCAGCCCTAAGTTTTTAAAATTTCAGCCCTAAATAAACTGAACAGACAAAATTACCCCTCCAACCATTTTCAATCGAAGCCCTAATCCCCTAATCTGTCTAGCCGCCGTCGTTCGCCATTTATGACCGTCGCCGCCGCCGTTCGCCCTCCCGTCGCAGGAAGCCCCCTCCCTCCACAAGCAGGGCCTTGGAAAGGCGGATCGGTGCTGCAAATCATCCACAAGCTCGGGTCCTTGTTGTCGTCGTACTTGTGGCATATGCAGCACGAGCACCTCTTGCAGAACGTATCGCCCTGTTTCATTGTGGCTTTACAGGCAGAGTTCTTGCAGTAGACCGTATTCGCCTGATTGGGGGCGTCTCCTCCGCCGCCGCTGGTTGGAGTGACGGGGAGCAGTCGAGACGGTGGTACATCCACCTTAAACCCAAACTCATCATTTAATTTCATTTGTCCTGTTTTGCTTTCCCCCTGTTTTTTTCCCCAAATTTCTCCGACTCTTTCTCCCCAGCCACCGCCATGGCCATCAATCACTCTTCCACCTATACCTCTGTCATCGTTTGGGCGACGACACTATTTAGGGACGAGCCCCCTTCCGGGGTCTGCAAGTCGGTGCAGAAAATCTTGCTAACAAAAACAAAAAAGAATGGTTCGAATTGACGAGCCATCCATTTCGGATGCTCTAGAAGCAGAGGAAGAAGAAGAGCTGGTAGACGCGGCGGAATCAGGGGAAGCTGCGGCGGCGGAGGCAGAGGAAGAGGAGGAACCGATTGGATACGATGAGCTGAAGAGGCGGATGTGGAAGGATCGATTACGGCTCCAGAAGTTCGAAGAGAATCGAGGGACTGCTGCTGCTACGACAAAAGAGTTGGCGCTGAAGGATCGATTACGTCAGCCGCCGGTCAATTAAATGAGCAGGATTTTAGGGATTAGGGCGGCGCCGGTCATCGCAAAATTAGGGATGTGATGGTTTGAAATTAGGGCGGCGAATGGCTAATAGGGGTAATATTGTCTGTTTGGTTAAATTAGGGCGTAAAATTTAAAAAGTTTAGGGCTTTAATTAGTACCTCCCTTTGTAAACTATGGGTGAAACATAGGGCAATTGGAACCACAAGCCTAACAAAAGCAACTAACTATCCTCACATGTGACAAGCAAAAGCTCCAATCTTTCTCGTTTCTACTGCCAAGGAGGCGGTTGCAAGCTAAAGCCAACTTCACAAAACAACATAGGCATCCCCAGTTAAACCTGTATTATTCTGAAGAGATGAGGGACAGAAGTCTCAATCATAACACTTAAATACAAAGAGGATCGATTGAGCGAAATACAATTGTTTGTACAAATTATTTAAAACTACCACAAAGAAAGTTTATATCTGAAAGAATAAACTGGTCAATGCAAATCCTCAATGCTTCTCCTCCAAATCTAGTATTAATCAAGCTCAAGCAGCAGGACCGCTCATTTGAAGACCCTTGATATTCTGGATCTGCTTCCCAGGGTTCAACCCCTTTGGGCAAGCACGAGCGCAATTCAAGATAGTATGGCACCTGTAGAGCTTGAACTCGTCGTTCACGGCGTCCAGTCGCTCCTTGGTGTACTCATCTCGGCTGTCGCTGATCCATCTGCAGTTGTTTCAGAAGAGTTTCAAATATGGTCAAGTTCATGACAAATTAAACAAGTATTAAGATTATAATCAATGCTGGTTTACCATAGAACACAAGTCACAGTCATAAAAGAATCAAGATAACAGGCTAACTACTCTTGCACCAAGTGCTGCAATATTATACCATGACCTGTTCCCCATCTCCTTTACTCTATAACAACCTATAGAGGTACACAATGGATAACCCACAACAGCAGAACACATCTTGATCATGGTTACAGACCCTCTAGATTAGTGCGTTAAACTTGAACCAAGCAGATCAATATGAACCTTAACAGGGGTTAGAACATGAGTGTATATGACCAAATGAAGAGGACCATTGCTTCCAGATACCAAAGTAATTATAAAACAAAACTACCTGCACGTAATCAATACCAAGGCACAATCAAATGAGCACCTAGAGCAACTTGTTCATACCAATGCACACCATTCAGTGATAGTCTCACAAGCCATTTGCAGAGGAAGAACAAACATTGCATTTCATTCAAGAAAATCAACAGCATAGTACCAAAACCATCCTAGCAATGAAGAGCTGCAAAGATATGCCCAATCCTAGACACGAACTTACTCTTAAATCTCCCAAAAGTAACAATTAAGAATGAAAAGCATAAGCACAACACTATTCATATGATCCCAAATGTTCAATATCATATCCAAGACATAGAAACGTGAAAATTAAGCTTCTTTCCAGGAGACGAATATCTATCACCAGCATAGCTAATTTGCTAAGCCAGTGCATTTGTCTGAGTAACTTCTCTAGACACTTAATAAGAGCGAACCAGTCCTAGGTCCCATATCTCCAACACCATGGAATTCGCTAAGCATATGCATTTGCCTACTAAGTTCTCTACAAAAATCTAATCATTGAGCAATACCAATCCAAATTCAGGCATATCTAATCCACTTCCTCCATATCCAACAACTAGAGCCATCTAACAGTCACTATAACCAAAAGAATCAAAATTTTACCTGTTAGCATGAAGGAGAGCCGCAGGTCCCAAGTACGACTCAGGGTTCCACCAATAGCTAGGGCACGAAGTGCTACAGCAAGCACACAATATGCACTCATACATCCCATCCAGCTTCGCCCTATCCTTCTTACTCTGCAGAATCTCCTTCCCTGGATTCTCCGGCGGGCTCTTCCTCTTCAGCCACGGCTCAATACTCTTGTACTGATTGTAAAAATTCGTCATATCCACCACAAGATCCTTAATCACGAACATGTGCGGCAGCGGCGTGATCATCGTCGGCCCAGCGGACGATTCAGGAATCTTGGTCAAGCAAGCCAACCCATTGCACCCGTCGATGTTCATCGCGCAGGATCCACAGATCCCTTCCCGGCAGGAACGTCGGAAGGTCAGGGACGGATCCATCTCGTTCTTGATCTTGATAAGGGCGTCGAGCACCATGGGCCCGCACTCCTTGAGGTCGATTTGGAAGTCCTGAAGCTGCGGCTTCGACGGGTTGTCCGGATTCCATCGGTAGATTTGGAAGGTCTTGACGTCGGTGGTTGGGCGGGCCTTCGGCTCCACCTTCTGTGCCTCCGCCTCGGAGGCGTGAGGGCGGGCCGCCACCAGCCTCGCCGCTGTCGATGGTGACGCCGCCGCCGTTCTGGCCAGAGATACGCCGCGTCTCAGTAAGCTGGACGCCATTTTGGGATGGTTCGTTCTTTTTGATGGATTTCGCCTTTGGGGGATTGGACTCAGAGAGAAAGGAAGGATGAAAGGGAAGAAGACGACGAAGCGATGCGGGGAGAATGAAAGCAGAGGGGTAATAAGGTAAAATGAGGCGGTGGGTTTTGTGGCGTGTAGTGTGGTTACGTAAGGTCGAATTGAATTGGTGCCGTGGATTGGTCGGACTTTTCGGGCGTGGCTGACGTGGCAGGATTTGGATCGTTGGTTTTGTGGCCGAATTGGGAGGGTATTTCTGGTGGGTGGGTCCTACTGTGTGGATGGCGCTGAACTTTTGCCGGTAATTGGATTGGGAAGAGTGAAGAGAGCGTGTGGCGGCCAGACTGCCGCGTTAGGCCCAATCATAAGATAAGCTTGGTATCTTCGGGCCCAACTGATTCTTCTTGCTGAAAGCCCACTGACGCAACCCAGAAGGAATAAGAACATTACACACCAAAAGCATACTTGCAAATACTCTAAACACATAATAATTTAACATGATTAGATGATTGTCAGCCAGATGGTAACCTTAACTAATTATCTCTACTTTAATAAATAAATTATCATCATAAAAAATATCATAATAACTAAAGACTTATAGTTCAACGATATCATGACATCGGTACAAGTTAATAACATTGTATTCTTTACTACTTTCATGAAAAATGAAATATATAAATTAACGCATTAAAATTTTCAAAAACTCGAACCAACACCTACAAATTATCAATCATCCAATTGTTCTACTATAACTTTTCAATAGGAATGGCAATGGGGCAGGTCCGGGGCGGGTTTCTTGATACCCAGACCCGCCCCGTGGCAGGTCGGGTAATTGATCACGGGTCGCGGGTCGGGGCAGGTCGACCCAATGGGTATGCAATTTATATTAAAAACATTATAAATATTCGTTATTTTTATTATAAGACTAAGAAAACAAACAATATTATGACAATTGCAGTTAAATTATTGGAGAAATTGAGGTTTTTACTAATTTACAACTTTCTTATAGCTAAAATATGATGCAATAAAAGGAAAATACTAAGTAATTTGACTAAGATTACATGTAAATTAGACAAGAACGGGTCGAGAATGGGGCGGGTCAGGGCAGGTCGGGTCGATGAGACTACCCATGCCCGCCCCGCCGCGCTTACGGGGCGGGTCGGACCCGCCCCGAAACAGGTCAAACAGGTCGGGTAATACGGGTCAGGTCGAAATTGCCATCCCTACTTTTCAAGTAACTTAATTACATTCAAATCTATTATTAAGCCAAATACATGTCTCCAAATTTTATGAAATTTATAAATTCTGATTATTTGTTTCCCTCCTCCACCTAATCCTCTTTTCTCAATGGTGCTAAATTTTTAATGGGGCGATTTCAATTTGCAAGGATTCATGCTCTTCTCCATATTTTTCCTTCCTTCAAAATAACAATACTTCTTGCATCTCTCCATTGCTGGACAAGATTGTTCTAGTCTTTGGCCTTTTCTTTTTTTCGATGAACACTTTGGCCTTTTCTTTGTGAAACTACTTCTTGTTGGAGTTTCATCACATTTCACAATCACCCCCAATTCCCATAATTCTAATCTATCTCTCCCACTGTTGTTTGTTTCCTTCCCCCTCCATTTGATTATTCCATTTTCTGTCCTTTCTTCTTCTCTCAACTCTTCAATTTTGATTCTACATATCTTCACACATTAATTATTAGCCCATTCACCATTTCTCCCATTCCCCTCCTATCTCCATTCACATAGCAAAAAAAAAAAAAAAAACTCCAATTTCTTGAAGCCCTCCTCTAATGGCTCAGGTAATCAACCACACTATCCCTTTCTTCCTCTTTTTCTCCCCCATTTCATGCAAAGATGCAAGAAAATCCACCTCGAAACCTAAGACAATGCACAAATCTATTGAAGCGTGGGTGGAATAGATTGGTTGGCATGTTAAATTGCCTCTCCTAGCTCTCTTGTAATCAAGCTCAAATCTTTTTTTTTTAGATTGTTTCTTTTTCTTTCTTTTTTGTTGTATACAGATGTGTTAATCTTATTCGATAATATGGCAAAATTGCATGTTTTTTTAATAATATAAAAGCAAGATATAATGCAATGAATTTTAAATAATAGTTACAACTTCGTGGTACACTTTGAATTCATCCTTCTAAAAGACTTTTTAATCGATAAAGAAGAGAAATCTGCTAGAACAATTATAAACTAAACATAAAAAAGTTTGAATCTTTAGTGGGAATGTGTTGATGGGTAGAATGGATCTTGTAATGGGTGTAATTGAATCTCAGAAAAGACTTGAACTTTACCAAAGTTCTGAAGTGAATCATCAACAATTTACTATATTTTCCTCTTAACTTTTTCTGGGTTTTGGTGGGAGATCCAAAATTTAGCAGCAAGAGCCAAGACCATTGCCAAAATTTGGGGAGTGGGATGTGAACAACCCAGCATCAGCAGAAGGGTTTACAGTGATATTCAGCAAAGCCAGAGATGAGAAGAAGACTGGAGGCACAACTGGAGCTTCTGGAGCTGCATCGCAAAGGAATAAAACTCCTTCTAAAAAAGATGACCAATATCAAGACTCCCCAACCGTATGAAGAAAAAGAACAACTCTCTGTAACTTTTTCAAGTTTGATGATTATTAATTCTGATCTGTCCTTGGTTTGGTGTGTTTTTGGTGTTTGCTGTTTTGGTTTCTATGCAGAAGAAATGGTTTTGCTGTTTCTAGGAACGGAAAAGGTTTGATTTTGATCTTTAGTGTGCGATAAGTGGATGGAGATGCAAAGATGGGAGAAGATGGAGGATTGAAATTGGATAGCATCTCCTTTTGTTGTACTAGAAAAGAGAAGGTTGCTGCTGTTTTGGAAAGTTTGCAGTGCCTTTCATTAGGGAGATGGAGAAGAAGAGCAATTGTCCAATTTTCAACTCCCACTTGATTTTTTGAGTTCAATGTTCATCCCCACAATGTTTTCTTATATCTCTCTTATTCTGGTTCTTTGATGTGTAATATACCATCACAAGGTTTTCTTTTAGGAGTAACAATTATTGAAGGATTTTGATCACAAATTTGCCTACTCAACCTTCATTTTTCTATGAATGCATGTTGATGGTCTAATATGGTTTGAATTGATGCAAAGTATTAACCTTTAAATTCTTTCTAGGTGTATGCATGATGTTGGGATCCAACACAAAACTATAAAAAAAAAAGAGCGTAGGAAAAAGAATTATATTAAAGCTACATTTCGATCGGATTTGGTTGAACATAATTACTTTTTTTTTTCATTTTCTCAAAGGTATTGATAAAGTGGAAATAAAAATATTCTTATACTCAAGAATAGAAACTAAGGATTACGTACTGCATTGGTTTGATCACATTGAATCTCAATGTGTGTTCCTTTACTGTTATGGCTGCTAATTCTGTGCAGTTTTGAAGCCCGATTAACCAAATAACTAGAAATCAAGCAATTTGGAAAGGGAAATGTATCAGCAGCATACCATAAAATTCAAATGACCATAATAAACAGAAACCTGAAATCCAAAGGGGTTCAATTACAAAGGACAGATTCCCTCTTAGAAAACCCAAACGTGACAATGAGTCCACTAGAGACTCTTGTCCTACAACCTAAAAACAACTCCAAACTAATCAACAGAACAAAACAAAACAAAACAACCAGAACCCCTCTAAAACTAACTAGAACATGGAAGCAGCAGCAAGGCCAGCCAGACCAACTGCCACAATGGATGAAGAAACTCCACCAAGAGGCAGAGTTACAGCAGATGCAGACTTGTGATGACCATCCGCTTCTCCACCACTCGAAGGAGGGGCAGTTCCATTGACATTGCCAGCATCTTGATCAGTAGTGAGCACCTTGATGATCATCCTCTGCCCTTTGCCACAGTGGCCAGAGACACCGCTGATGAAGTAGTAAGGCCCCGAGTGGTCGAGCTCGTACACCGTGTCCCCCGTGTTGGAAAAGTAACTGGGATGGCTCGAGTTGCAGTTCTTGTAGTCCTCCATGCTCACCTCCATCACCGAGTCCTTCTTGTACCTAAACCCTAAAAAAGAAGGAAGAAAAAGAAAAACCAGAAAATGGATCAAAATGGAGAGCATCAATGAACATGGCAGGAGAAACGTGGGGGTGGGGGCAACTACTTACTGACAGTGTCGCCAATGAGGAATCTGTTCTCAGAAGCCCAGTCGTTGTAGATTCTGGTGTCGTTGGAAGGTGGCACCACCCAGCCTTTGGACCCGCCAACTTGGTACTCGAATGATGTGACTGTGGTGGTGATGGTGAGAAAGGTACAGAGAAGGCAAAGCAGCAGGCTCTTCTTTGTGGTGTTCATGGCAATGGTAGCCATTGTTGTTGTTGTTCTTGAGATGACAGGAAATTCTCTCTCTCTCTCTCTCTTTGCTAAAGGTGGAGTCTTTGTTCGTTTTCTGAAATGGGTTTCTGAGATTTGGCGTTGTGGGATTTATAGGGGAAGTGGGTTTTCGTGGTGAAGTAGTGGGGAGGGGGGAGTTGAGATGAAGGGTGGTGGTGACTTTGTTGCTGAATTTGCTGTTGGTTAGTTACTTGGGAGGGAAGAATGGGAAAATGGAAGTAGTGGGAGAGACTACAGAGAGAAGAGAGACGGTTTACAAAAACAGTTTGACTTGGTCAGAAGGATATAATTAGTTAAACCTTAAAAATAAATTTTCATAAAGAAAAGATGAAAATAAAAGATTTTTTTGTCATAGATAAAGAAAATAACAGATTAATGGTAAGTGGTAACTAAAATTAACATTTTTTTTAACTTTAATTTATTTTATAGAATGAGTTCATTTTATTCATAGCTCGATCATTTCCATCAAAGTTAAGAGAATTCATCATAAAGTGTAGGCTCCACGAGCCTAGCCAGCAACTCCAACCATTGACACTCAAAGTAAGCAACTCGTTCATCTCACTAAACCCTTCATTAAACTGGCTTAAGGGTGATTCGAACTTTCTCGATACCGAAGTTATTAATCGAACTAGGGCAACGTCTAAACATAAACTCAGTTAAATTTTATTAAAATAAATACGGGTGTTGGAAAAGCCACCAACTTTGTGGGCAAATTAAGTGAAAGGCAAAGTTCAAGGGTTCATTAGAGAAAGTATTGAGTTCAAGGAGCCAAAATTAGGAATGACAATGGGCAGGTCCGGGGCGGGTATCTCGATACCCATACCCGTCTCATGGCAGGTCGGGTCCAGGTCGGGTAATTTATCACGGGCCGCGGGTCGGGGCAGGTCGATCCAATGGGTATGTAATTTATGTGAAAAACATTAGAAATATTCGTTCTTTTCATTGAAAGACCAAGAAAGAAACCATAATATGATAAAATGTAATTAAATTATTGAAGAAATTGAGGTTTTCACTTATTTACAACTTTATTATAGCTAAAATATAATGTAATAAGAGGAAAATCTTAAGTAATTTGACTAAGATTATATGTAATTTAGGCAAGAACGGGTCGAGAATGGGGCAGGTCAGGACAGGTCGGGTCGATGAGATATACCCATGCCCGCCCCGCCCCGCCTACGGGGCGGGTTTGACCCACCCAAAAGAGGTCAAACAGGTCGGGTAAATCAGGTCAGGTCGAAATTGCCATCCCTAGCCAAAATTAGCATTAATCCCATGAAAAAGCAAAAATGATGAGAAAAGGTGCTAAATCTTAGCATCCAAAGCTGGAACATGGTAATGAAGCTTGCATTGTCTGTCCTCAAATCTGTTTCAAATAGTTTGACTTTTACAACATAGTATTTTGTTACATTCAGAAAACAGTAGAGAGAGAGAGAGAGGGGTAAACTAATCTATCTACAATATCTGCATTTATGTTGCCTCTCCTAATCAAAACACAAGGGTTAGTAGCTTGGCTGGAACCATAATGAAACAAGTCTGAATAAAATTTTCTGAAGCACCCATGAAGAAATATACAGTTAACAGGTTGACTAATTATGTATGGTTATTTATCAGCTAACCCCATCATGGTCATCCATCATACAATCTCTACCTCCTTAGAAGCAGAAGCCTGTTGAGAATCCGAATCAGAACTGTGACTGAAACTTGGCTTCCCATTAACAACAGATCTCTGGCTGAAGATCCTGGCGAATGCACTCTTTGATCGAGCAAACTTCCTTCGACCATTACCATTGCCACTCTTCCTGGCAAGATGCTCTGATAGGTTGTTGACAAGGTTCTGGAAGTTCCTCCTAGCCGTTGGGAACCTTGAGATCGATTTCACAATACCTTGTAGCCTAGGTAATGGAGTCGAAAAATGGAATTCAAGTCAAGATATGAAAAACTAAGAATGTGTTGGAGAAGAGAGGGTTTGTTCACCCACCTTCTAGCCAGTGCATCGAGTTCAGCACGCTTTCTCTCAGTCTCAGGTGGTGGCCCGATATATGAAGTTTTCAACTTGACAGGATCACCATTCAACAGCACTAACTTGCAGAGGTAATCCTCTTCTGACTCGGACAGGTTCTGGGCTTTAAGCTGGTCTTTGATGACCAAGAATGGGTTAAGAAACCAGTCGAAGAAGGCATCTCTCGGCCTGTTTGTGCTTGTTATCTCGGTCACATTATCACCTGCATCAAGGATTGCATTTGAGCTATGCAACTCCAAAGGAAAGCATGAAAGCAACTCTACTTTGATGGAAACTCACTTCACTTACTCAACAAAATGCCTGCACAGTTAGCCTTGGCAGATCTCAACAAAGCTTGCAGAAGGCAGTAAGTTGGCAACCCAGTGCTAATTACTCGACTTCCTTTACCAGACTTGGCATCTTCGACATCTTCCTGAGTTATCAGTCCTTCGGATAAAAATTTCTCCCCATGGACCTGGCAATTCTGAAACCAGCTCTCGAGGAGCTGCCTCACAAAGAGGGTTTTCATTTTAGTACTTTTGCACATGAATATAAACTTGCACATCAAGCCAGTGAAACAGAAGCATGTAATACCTCAAATGGCTTCACATCAACCAGAGGGCCAGTGAATGAAATGGTGCGCGAGAAAGATTTCTTGAACGATGAAGCGGGCCTCGTTAATGAGGCCGAGCGTGAAGTACCTTCGGATTTCTTCCTGTACTGCGGCCTATTAAGATACAAAAAGACACATTATGATGTGAAGGCCCAAGGTGGTTTCTCGTGAGTTCCCTAAATGTTTGAGATCAAAATTCAACCTGGGAAAGCAAGATCCTTCTGGCAAGTCAAGAATGTCATTACTGTACTCATCATAGATGGCTAACGATGCTGCAACGTATCGAAGTCCATAGCAAAAGGACTCCTGCAAACTCCCACGATACAGAGTCAGAGATACAATGTAATTATGATAAGCTCATACATTCAAGAATGAACTCAAAACCAGATCATATGAAAGATGAACATCGACCTGATAAACAATCACAGCAGCATAAGCACCGAGAAAGATGCTCGACACCATGGATCCCAAGACAGCTCCAGCAACAGCCAGTGGCCAGAGCAAGATAGCAAGACCAGCAAATGGGACACATATTGTTTCCAAGAAAGGGCCTTCTCTACCAACAAGGTCATGAAACAGACGATGCCATCCTTTAAACAACATATACGGGCTCTTGCATAAGGCTATGAAAGAGACCATGGGGAAGTCGAGCAAGACACCTAGCACACCAGCAATTAGAGCACCAGGGAGCTGAAGCAGTCTGTAGGAATAGCAAAGGAAGTGAATCTTTCAGCTAATGGGCTCACTCATATTACTACATGCATAAGCAAAGTGAGCCTTGCAAACCATGATGTGTTATTAGAAGGACCGAGCTTGGATTAGAGCACACATAGAAGCGAAAAGGCATTAGCAAACCTGATCTCATAGTACTTTCCATCTTCAGAACCTTTCTTTTGAAGATCATCCATGAGTGAGGAATAAGAATGATAGCACACATCACCAAAGTCTCTTATAATGGTGAAACAACCACTCACGGTGTCTATAGTTCCATCCTGAAAAATGTAAACATCGATTAAGAATACATCAATCCTATGACTAAGAGTGGATAACTTAATCATCAAAATGATTTAGTTTGAGACACATACAACGAAGCAGTGATAGAACTTATCGCTCTTCCCTTCTCCAATAGCATCAAAAGTGGCAAATATTGGTGAGAGTAAGCCATATAATGCTCCACCGACAATGCTTCCAGCAAAGCCCAACACCGGCCATAAAATTAAGACGGTCGGTAAGCAAATGCAAAGAAGAAGCTTCACAAATGGTCCCAGTTGTCTAGATCTGCCAGTAATGCAGACAACCAAGAGGATTAAGAGAGTGTCCAGCATGGGAACAATAACATAAAAGAACAAAAAGGTCCCGGGAAAGCACCTCAAAATGGAATAGTATGTCCAGTAGAAATGAAAGGGCCAGAGGCTCAATATGATACCAAAGTTTCCAATCAACATGAAAATGAGGATCACTGGGCACAAAATGACACCTGGAAAAGCAAACCAAGGGTTCACATTAGATTCTTGACCTCTCCAGAGATAGAAGACTAATAAAATGACTCTCAAGTAGTCCAAAGAAAAGTATGAATTGCAAAGCAGGAACAAGATGCTGCTGTTAATCATTACACACCATTTCAGTCTGCAAACTTCTGCACTTAGAAAACATCATATGGAAATAATTTCAAATCCATTTCCATATAATATCACCAATACGATAATCACAAATGATTGATTAAATGATTAAGAATGTGGAAGAGTAAAGGGGGAGAAACATCAATAACCCATTCCATACGTTTAGAACTGAATGATTGGCAGAAGATGAAAGAAGCAAAAAGGAACCAGTTCATTCCACTTTAGAGCAAGGAACCTGAAACAAAGGGGGCATAAACTTACCCTTGATGATACCCAGAATGAGCAGTCCAATGAAGATAGGGAGAAAGATTATGAATGACCAGAGTGTAGAGAAGAATCCTTTGGGACGCTCCATTATCTATCTTTCCCTGCACCGAACAATCCAAAACACAAATGAACTTCTTTCAGATCTCCACAACTCAACTTTAAGCAAAAACCCAAGTACCAAAACCGCAACCACAAGCAAACCCAAAGAGCAAGAATGTGAAAAGAAACAATTTTGACGGTATAGGAGAAGAAAGGGAAAATTTACCAGAAAGTAGCAATGGTTGGATCTATCTGCCTGCCAGAACCCAAAAAGCTATACTACACTCTACTTTCTGCTTAGGGAACCCAAAAAGGGCAAAGAGAAAAGCGTGAGGCAACCCTTTGCCCCTGGAGATTACTCAAACGTAGCAAAACAAAACCCTCTCTTTTGTCCTTTTGTCTCCTTAGTCCTTACAAACCGCAACCAGATAGTAAGGGCGGCAAACTGTATTAGGCAGTTAATTAACTGCCCAGATGAAAGAAATACCGAGCAGCTCACAGTGCCAAGAAAAGAGCTTTGATTTTTTTTCCTCTGTCTCTCTCTATCTCTAACTCTTACAGTGATTTTTCTCTCTTCTTTTCCCTTGTGAATTTCTTGGTGTTGTATTCCAGGGTTGATTGATAGGAAAATGGCAACAGTATTTTGTGTGCTTGAATTTTAAGCGAAGCAAAAAGGTTTGAGCTTTGGTATTTCATTAGTTACAAGTCTCGGTATTTTCTGCTGAAGATGATGGAACTTTATAAGATTCTGAAAAACTGTCCATGGTTTTCCTTTCATATATTCCCTTTTAAAAAATGGGTAAATTCTCAAAATGGCAACTAAGTCATTGGTCATTCAGATTTTATTCATGTCAAGATTGTCCCTGAAAATTTGAATAAAGCCAATAAGGGAGTTACTTCTTCCTTCATTTTTTTATCTTACTGAATCCACAGACCACAGTGATGGGATCGTTTAGTATGTTAATTATTGGAACATGAACTGTAAATTGTAATGCTTAATTTGTCCTCTTAGGAAGAATGAAGTGACAAGTATAATCATTGGAACCACTTTGTTTCACATTGCTAATTACTAATTAATTAATTAATTTGGTGTTGTTGATAGAGTTACAAGGATAATGGCTTCTTTTTTCTTTTTTGGTGGGACAAGGATAATGGCTTCTGATTACTGTTTGTGTTTTTTACAATTAAAGAGGGTAAATGGAAGCAATATGTGTGGAAGTGGTTAGGGTTAAATGTATAAAACACTAAACTATGGAGTGGTCATTGAACAAAAATAATAAGAAACATATTTACTAAGTGGTTTAGCCATCTATCTACTCATGTCTCAATCTATCTACTCTATCATTAAAATTCAATTGAGCAAGTATGCTCGATTAGCTTGTCAAGTTTTCAAAATCGTATTTAAATATCAGGTATAGAATATTAATTTTCACATTATCTCATCAACCAACACAACATAAGTGATGTGTTCTTTGAGTGGAAGGTACAGACTCCAATCCTCAAACCTCTTATGGGAATTCACATGTGACACACGATCATGAAGTTTCGAAATGTGAGGTAGTAGTAGATACTAAATCGCTCATTGTTGTTATGAGTTGTAGTCATTGCTTGATATTTTTCACCTGTCATATTTTCAAACTAAGACAATTCATCATTATTCTTAGATTTAGTGCACAGTGAGATTAACACATTGCAAATTTGCAATATTCTCTAAGCAACAACAAAGTGACGCAAATGAGTTTATTTCCAAATCAGAGGTGCTGCACAAGCACAATATAATATGACTTTGAATATTTGATGACGGTCTCAATGATTGGCCCCTTTCTATTATTCATCACACAAGACTCCAATATCAATATTAGCTCTTTCCAGCACATTCTTGCATTGGGTTTATTCATGCCTCCTTTCTATTTTTATTCCTAGAATATTTTGTAACTAGGAATAAAGGGACAAAAGACAAATCGAATGCATTGTATATGTTCTTTGATTCCTCTGTTGTTTGTTTGAACAAAACATAATCTAATTAGTTCCTCTCTAAGATACTTGTAATAATTCCATTATAATGATGTGGCTAAAGCCCAAAGAATGGGTGTTAATTGTACTATTTGCCTGCCACTTTCTATTGTCAAACATCTGTCACACTTTCTGCAAAACAATAATACAGCTTATCTCTTATCTTGATATAGAATAATGCTCCATTGCAGATGTTCAAAAGCTTGAAAAGGTGCATGGCAAAGGCACTTCCAGTGAGGACGTTCAAAAGAAAATGCTTTAAAAACTTGGAATCATCTGATCCGATCAAAGGTTATTTTAGCACACCAAATATGAAAATAGATACTTAAGAAACGTTTCTCAAAGCGTCGAATTCGATGCCTTCCTATAAAATGCTTCTGCAAAGGCACTTGAGCAGGTAGGACCAGATGCCTTTATTTACATGCTCTAATCAGTTTGCCGAGTATTCATGGTGCCACAGCTCCAAAAGGTTAAAGCTTTACTTGCATACTGGGATTTTTCTAGTAGCTTAGTGCACCACCTTCAACAGTAAAACTGACAAAGTAGGATAATAAGTTAACCACTTCCGTAGCATCTTACTGAAGGAATAACAGTAAACCAAGATCTGGTCAGTGACAGTTTCTAGTGACAACCCAAATATACAAAATGACACACAAAAGAATACAGCAGTCTTACATATTCATCATGCATTAGCTTTCCCTTCCTTGTCTATAGTAGATTTCCCTCTTGTCAAACGGTTGGGTTCTCCTGGGAACATCAGCAAACCTCGTAAACTCAGTCAGCGTCTTCCTAATCCTCACCCCTCCACCTCCTTTCCTTCTCTCCGGTGGCCGATCTCCCAGCAAGCTCACATCAATGGTAGCACCTGAAGCCCGAGAAGCATCCACAACAGCATCATAGGCCTTAGAAGAAAGAACAATGCCATCATTCTGAGCACGTAAGTACGCCTCGTAGGCAAGCCTCGGCTTCCCATCTCTCACCAGAGCTTCAATCAGCATCTGGTAACTTATCTCATTTGGCTCCACGTCCTGCTGCTTCTCCATGCGATGAAACCACTCGTACGCTGCACTGCTCAACCCACGACGCGCACACCCACTGATGATGGCGTTGTACGTGACAACTGTGGGTGGAATACCGACATCAACCATCTCTTTGATTATGGAGTCGACGAGCCTGAACTTGCCTTGCCCGGTTAGCACAGAGGCCATGATGGTGTATGCATACAAGTTGGGTTGGACTTCCATTTTCAGCATGTGATTCCATACGCGAAAGGCCTCCTCGTAGAGTCCGGCCTTCTCGAGTGCACTGAGGAGTGCACCGTAGGAGATAATTGTTGGTTTCTCGCCTTGCTCGACCATTCTCTTGAATATCTCCACAGCAGCAGAAGTTTCAGCAGCTTTTGAGCAAGCCACGAGAACTGCATTCCACTGCCTGCTCTCGGGTTTAAGTCCTTTATCCTGCATCTTGTTAAGTAATCTAACTCCCCACCTCCAAATCCCTCGTTTGCTAGCAGCGGCCAGTAAGACATTGAAATGAGAGATGATTAGCTCGGACGATAAGTTATTAGGGCTTGGTCCCTTGTCTAGCAAGTCTTCATAAATTTCTAAAGCTGCCCACCATTTCTTCGCCTTTCCCATCAACCAAATCAAGTGGTTGCAGACAGACAAGCTTATTTCAGGATATCTTTCTCTGACTCGAGTGTACAACTCTTTGGCCACACGATAATGATCCTCCCGTGTGCAAGCCCAGATGAGTCGTTCATATTCTGCTCGACTCGTTTGAAGACCTGCATTATCCATACTTGTTAAAAGCTTGAACACTTTTGTGCTCATGTCTTGAAGCCTCGTGAGCCATCTTCTCATCACCTGATAGCAAATCCGGATCGTGAAGTCCTCGAGTTTAGTAAACTCCTTCTCCCAATCCTCACCATCACTATTATCTCTCCCCAGCTCCCCTTTTACATACTTCTCCTTGAACTCTACAAAGAACTTCAACGCTCCATCTCCATCTTCCATCCTTCGATAAGCCATCAAGGCAACCGAATAGGAAGCAGCAGATGGTGTAAATCCCTTCTGGCAAATCTGTTCGAAGATATCGAGAGCCTTGGAGGGTTGTTCCTGTTCAACATGGATCATCATCAAGATGTTGTAAGTCACGACGTTGGGATGGATCCCTTCACGAGCCATGTCATTCACTACTTTCTCGGCTTCTTGATACTGTTCGCAGTCTTTTACAACTGTCAACAGGCTGTTGTAGACAAAGAGGTTTGGACCAATAAAAGCACCACCAGTTTCTACCTTCTTTCTCCTGAGCCAATCCACAACTGCCAATGCTGGCTTCATCTTCTTGTCCCAACCGAAACCCCTGATCAACGAGGAATACACTCGAATTGGGAATATCCCCATGTCTTTAAGAACCTCCTCTACATCATCTGCTGTTTCAACAGCATGTAAGCTCTTGGCCAGCTCTCGAACATCGATCTTCCCTTCCGGATCACTAATCCCATTAGCGGCATCTACCCTATCAAATTCATGAGATTCGCCATCGATGTTCTCGTTCTCTGTGTTGGATTGAGTACTACTACGAACAAGACTCTGCGTCTCTTCTTCATCCAATTCCCATGCTGATGCAACAGATGAACAAGCACAATCTTTCTTTTTCTCAGCAACAATATGAAATCGTAGCTTAGGGTATCTATACGTAAACCCATTACTACTTCTACCATACCTTGAACCAGCAGAAACTAGGAAATGACCATAATAAATTGAATTATGAAACAAAGAAACAGCAAAAATGCCAACTTTCTTCCTTCTACAGCTGTAAAGGCACGAAGCCAAGTCCGATTCGACCTGGGGAAGCGTACATAAGCTAGATTTTGACGGCCAGACACTCAAAGCTTGCATCTTTCCAGCAAATTCAGCAGTTCATAGCAAAACCCACAACCCAAAATTCCAGAACGAGAGCAAAAAGCATGCTAAGGTCTCCTTCCCGCAGCACTTGAAGTAAGAAGCAAGAAGCAAGATTGTCAGGAAGCTGATGGCTTTGGGTACCTGAAGAAATGGCAGAAGGCAGTTTGACTGTTCATCCGGAACGGATAGATTTCTGGTTTTCTGGATTTCTTCAGTTTTGGGGACTTTGGTTGCCGGTGGCACTCTGGCGTCCGCACAAACAAGCTTGGCGAAATGGAAATGACGTAGTTTCAACTTTCAAGCTTTCAGATCGTAGTTGGGCTCACTACCAGGCCTCTAAGGCAAACTGGGTTCTTTGGGCCCAATTGAGAATCCACTGGTCAAGACAGAAATTTCCTTTCCTAATAGTAGCCAATGATGATTTTGAATTAATAAATTAGTACTAGAATAGGATGTTAAGTTTCTTATGCTCTCAACTGACCTAGGCGGAAGCTCGGCTCCGGCGCCGACTCTTCTCCCGTCCGATCGACCACCAGATTTACCTGACTCTTTAGCGACAGCTGATCCCATTTCTTCGTCTTCTCCGGTGGCTACGGTCACCAGTTCCAGTGACATGATTATTGATTCCTCTGTTTTGAATGTGCAGGAGCGGTCGCCCCAAGCCCAGATGGCGGGAGTTCAGGCAGGGTTGGGGGCTGGTCAAGGCTTCTCGTACGCCAATGCGGTTAAGGGTGCTCCGGCGAAGGCGTCTTCCCTGAACCAAGTGCAACGCTGGACTCCGGTAGGCGAAAATGACTTAGTGACCAGTGTTCGGAATGGGGAACCAGCACTTACAATTTCGGCCGAATTCAAAGCTAGATTATGCGCTCCATGGGAAAGAACTCTGGTAGTCCGATTGCTCGGACTAAGGATTGGCTTTGTCACGCTGTGCAACAGGCTGAGGAGCCTGTGGCGGCCGATGGGTTCGATGGAGGTCAAAGACTTGGACCATGATTGCTTCCTGGTTAAACTTGACAACGAACAGGACTATTTCCGAGCCTTAACTGATGGCCCGTGGGTTATATACGATCACTACCTGGTTGTTCAACAGTGGTCACCAAAGTTTAAGGCCTCCGACCCTCTGCCAAAGACAATGATTGTCTGGGTTCAGCTCCCCGCGTTGAAAATTCATTGTCATCATAAGGAGGTGCTCACGATGTTGGGAAATCTTATTGGTCGGACGATTAAGCTGGATTACCATACTCTGAATCAAGAACGAGCGAAGTTTGCTCGGCTGGCGGTTGAAGTTGACATCTCGAAGGCCTTGGTTCCCAGGATTTGGCTCGACGACGAGTGGCAAAAGGTGGAGTATGAGAACTTACCGGAGGTCTGTTTCAGATGCGGTAAGATTGGTCACGAAGTGGGAACATGTCCGCTGAACGACCCGGTTGTAGCGCCAGTGCAATTGATGATCGCCGGTGGGACAATTCCGGCGAGCCCTCTTACGCCGGACGATCAAAATCCGGGATATGGCCCGTGGATGCTGGTGACAAGGAAAACCCGGCGTAATCCTAGGGAAGATCAGAGAAAAGGAAAGTGTGATCAGGAGGCAGGTGCCGGAAATCAGGGGCTGAAATCAACTGCCAAAAATGGGTCTCAGGGTATCACAGTGAAGGAAAGTGATCTTTTGAAGCCGTCGGTGGCTTCTCCCAACGGACACTTACCTATTCAGGGGCAGAACCATGATAGGAAGGGGACCGCCGACAAGAAGAGAGGGGAAGAAGTTAAGAAAGGAAAGGAAAAAGTGCACGGGAATGGTTCTGGGAAGGGAAAAGGGCTGCTTGGGCCAGGGCCCAATAAGGGGGAGGCAAGGGAGTGTGAGTCAGGGCCAGGATCTTCTGGTGGGGAGGCTTCAGCTGCAGGGCCCTCTAGGCCTGCTTCCGTCCAGCCTACTAATATGAAGTCGCCAGGTGCGGGGCTTGGGCCGGGCGCTGTCAACAGGCCCACTAATCCCCTCCCTCCAATCCCCAAGTTTCGGACTGTTACAGGCCCGAATGGAACGGTTATGCAGATCATCGACAGTAATGTGCAGGACAAGGAGAACGCGGATCCAAAAGAGGCCCCTTCACCCTCGATGACGAGCAGAACGAAACGGAACAAAAACAAAAAAGTGCAGCAGAGGAGATAGCCGACGAAGTTGAATTCGATGAAGCCCTTACAGGTTTGGTTCCCGGTGAAAGAAAGGAAACCAAAATCCAAGGGTCGATTGGCGACGCTGACTTTGCAAGAGATTCACGCCTGGACGGAAGCGGCGAAACGGCCAACCATCGGAGATGGAGAGATGGCCGCGGGGCAGGCCGGCAAAGCCGGGGAGGAAGACAGACCGGTCGACGGTGCCTCTGATTAGGCAGGGTGGCTCGTCCTGGTTTGTTGGCGGTTCTTCTTCCTGTCTCCTTCTTCTGTTTTTCATTATCTATGCCGATGGGTTACAGCTTAAGGGTCTTTTCGTGGAACGTCGGAGGAGCTGGTAGCAGGGCCTTTTATCGGGCTCTGAAATTGGCAATCCAAAATCATCGTCCTGACTTTGTGATTTTGTTGGAACCGCAAATGAGCGGCGAGTCGGCTAATGGGGTGTGTGATAAATTGGGATTCCCAAATTCGTGCAGGGTGGAAGCTACAGGGCGAGCAGGAGGAGTCTGGGTTTTTTGGGATGGGGGAATTTTCTCGGTGCAGGCCGTTGCGGCCTGTTCTCAGCACCTAACTCTTCAAATTTCCAGAGGCAATGATCCGCCGTGGATGTTGTCTGCAGTCTATGCTTCCCCGCGGCAACGGGAGCAACGAGTTCTGTGGCAAGGACTGATTTCTGAAAGCAAGTTCATTGAGATTCCCTGGCTGCTCACAGGGGATTTCAATGCCATTAGCAAACCAGAGGAGAAGTCGGGGCTGCCTGCGAGGAACACGCTGAGAAGGTGCCAACTCTTCACGGAGAGAATTAATTCGGCAGAGTTAGTTGATCTTGGTTTCTCGGGGCCAAAGTTTACCTGGTCCAGAGGAGATCATGACCAGACTTTCAAGGCGAGTAGGTTGGACAGAAGTTTATGCAACCTTAGGTGGAACGCGACCTTTCCCAACTCGACGGTGATTCATCTACCGCGCTACCAATCTGATCATAATCCTATTCTCACCAATGTGATTCTGCAGCCGAGTCAGCCCCACACTGCGAAGCAGTTCAGGTTTGAAGCTGCCTGGATGACGAACAATAGCCTCCCGAATCTGATTTCGAGTGCTTGGGATGGGAATGAGGCTCTTCCAACGGCACTTAAGTCGCTGGCAGGGAAGCTTGTTCACTGGAATGATGAGGTGTTCGGTAATGTTAAGCAAAGGAAAAGAAGAATTTTGGCGCGTCTTAAGGGGGTCGAGTTGAGACTGGCAGGTGCCTTCTCGCCTGGTTTGGCCAAGCTTCACTCCAAATTGTCGAGAGAGCTGGACAATGTGCTTGAGCAAGAAGAGCTTATTTGGTTTCAGCGCTCCAAGGACAATTGGGTCAAGTATGGGGAGAGGAACACTGCGTATTTCCATCAACTGGTCAATATCCGGCGGCGGTTCAACAAGATTGAAGCTCTTCTTGATGACAACGACGAATGGGTGACGGATTCCCACTCTCTTGCTCTCCTAGTTTTTAATTTTTTCACTAATATTTATTTGCAGGAGAGTTCCCATTATGAGGATAGGATTCCTAAGGGTGTATTCCCTCGGATGAGCCACACAGAAGCAACAGCTCTCTTCAGACCTTTCAGTATTCAGGATATTCACAAGGCAATCTTTGATATGAAGCCGTTTCAGGCCCCAGGCCCTGATGGTTTTCAGGCCGTGTTCTATCAGCAGTTCTGGCGGGTGGTAGGGAAGTCTCTCTCCGACATGGCTATGTCTTTCTTTATGACAGGTACTTTGCCGGAGGCGGTGACGGAGTCCACGGTAGTTCTCATTCCTAAAGTGGATTCGCCGGAGAGAGTCACTCAGCTTCGCCCCATATCTCTCAACAACGTCTGCCTCAAGAGTATCACGAAGGCCATGACCTCGAGACTAAAGCCCATGATGTGCCAATGGGTCTCCCCGAGACAGAGTAGCTTCATCCCAGGAAGGCAAACAACGGACAACATCATTGTAGTCCAGGAAGTTTTACACTCCTTCAGGAAAAGAAGAGGAAAGAAAGGAGGCATGGTGTTTAAGATTGATTTGGAAAAAGCGTATGACATGCTGCGGTGGGACTTTCTGAGGGACACTTTGAAAGAGGTTGGCTTACCGAGTTGCTGGATTAGATGCATAATGTACTGCGTGGAGCATAATACCATGAGGATTAGATGGAACGGGGAGTTGTCTCAACCGATCACGCCTTCTCGAGGAGTTCGTCAGGGAGACTCTCTTTCTCCCTATCTGTTCGTTCTCTGTATGGAGCGACTTTCTCATAAGATAGATGAGGCCGTAAATGATGGACTGTGGAAGGCTGTGAGGCTTACCAGGTCTGGGCCGCCATTAACTCATCTTTTTTTTGCAGATGATTTGTTGCTTTTTGCAGAAGCGGAAAGGAGACAGATAGGAGTCATCAAAAAGTGCTTGGAAGATTTCTGTCATAGCTCGGGTCAGCGAGTGAACTTCAGCAAATCCATCGTCTATGTCTCTCCGAACATAGCAAGGCATAAAGCGGAAGAGCTGAGTGCGTATGCGGGGATCCCGTTGAAAGCAGGCTTGGGGAGATATCTTGGCATTCAGGCTATACAGGAGAGGGTCACGAAAGGGAGATACCAGTCACTTATCTTGCGCATTCAGAAGAAGATGGCGCCGTGGAAGGCGAAAAGGCTGTCCTTTGCCGCTCGAATTACTGTTGCTAGATCGGTAGCTGCTTCTTTACCCGTCTATACTATGCATACAGAACTAATCCCTAGTGATGTTTGCAGGAGTATTGATAAGATCAGCAGAGATTTTATTTGGGGGGATGAGGAAAATCATCCCAAGTTTCATCTGGTGGCTTGGGAAAGACTGACGAAGCCCAGAGCGCAAGGGGGATTGGGGATTCGGCCGACTCGACAGGCTAATCTAGCCATGCTAGCCAAGGGAGGGTGGCGGCTTCTCCAGGACAAAGAGAGTATTTGGCGGCAGATCCTTATTTCGAAGTATGGGGGTCAGAGAGCTGAGCTTGATGTCCTGAGGAAAGTTCAGGGAAGTTCCTTTACCTGGAGTAGCTTCTCTAAAGCTGCTGACCTGCTTAAACAAGGATGTGCATGGAATATTAGGAATGGGAGAAGAACTAAGTTTTGGTCTGATCCGTGGGTTTTGCAGGTGCCCCTGAAGGTTTTGGTGACTGGAGACATGCCGGAGGATGCAGATGAGGCGATGGTTGCTGATTTCGTTCGAGCAGACGACAGTTGGCGTATTGAGCTTCTCTCAGGGCGCCTCCCACCCGATACTATCAGCAAAATTACGAGCACAGCGGTGGATACTATCTCCCAAGAGGAGGACTCTCTGTTCTGGGCCCCAGCTGCTGATGGTCGTTTCTCCACTAAATCGGCCTATGCACTGCTCACGAAGCAAGACCAGCAGGGCACGGACGGGATTTGGAAGGTGATTTGGCGGTTACCAACGCCTGAGCGGGTAAGATGTTTTTTGTGGCTGGCTTTTCAGGGCAAGCTAGCCACGAATGTACTGCATTTTCAGAGGAAGGTAGCTGAGTCGCCATGCTGCCAGAGGTGTACTGAACAGCCGGAGACGGTGCTCCACATCCTTCGTGATTGCGCCCCCGCGGCTTATTTTTGGTGCCGTCATGTTCCCCAGCAGAAGCAGCATGAGTTCTTCAGTGATAGTCATGAAGTCTGGTTTCGCAAGAACATCACGAGTAAGGAGAGCAGCAGTACAGGGATTGATTGGCCGGGGTTTTTTAGCATGGCCACGTGGCTTCTTTGGAAGAATCGCACCACGGCCTCTTTCAAAGGGTTGAGGGCAGCTCTTTCAGCTTCTTCTCTGACGCAGTCGATCGTGACTAAGACCAAGCTTTGGGATGATTCTTGGCATGCCCCGGAGCTGTTCTTAAATCAAAAGAGGAAGCTGGTGGAACGTGTCGCGGCGGAGATTGGTTGGACACCACCTTTGGAGGGTTGGGTCATGCTTAACACCAATGGAGCGTCGAATGGAAATCCGGGGCCAGCCGGAGCTGGTGGGCTGGTGCGTGACTCGACAGGTAGATGGCTGGGAGGCGTGGTTGCTAACCTTGGATATGCGACGGCTGTTTTAGCAGAGTTATGGGCCATTTGTTATGGTCTGGATTTGGTCTGGAACCTTGGTTCAGAGTAGTAAAGATTGCCACTGATTCCAAGTTGGCGCTTCAGCTGATTCAGGAGAGACATGATCCCATTCACCCTCATGCCACGCTTCTGAGTCTTATTCGAAGAAAGATTGGTCAAGATTGGTTGGTTAGCCTGTCTCATACGTATCGGGAAGGGAATAGAGCTGCGGACTGGCTCTCGAAGCACAGTCTCGTCTACCCTACGGTAAGTATGAGTTGGCTGACCCTCCTACGGGCATGATCCATTTGTTGCAAGATGATGTTAGAGGTATCACTTTTGAGCGCCAAATTGTGGCAAATTCTCCTTCCCTCACCTAATCCCCCCCTGTAATTGTCTCCTTCTTGGCTTTTGCCTCCCTTGTATGCAAAAAAAAAAAAAAAAAAATTAATTTTCCATTTTGGGTTATTATGAGTAAAAAATAAATCAGTGCTAGATTAGAATGACAATGAATTTGTTTTGATTTAAAAGCGAATCGAGATACTATAATAACAAGGCATCGAACAAAGGGGAAAAGATGATGAAATTCGATTTGTCGGATTTTTATGCTTTCAGTTAATGGAACAAATCAAACTAAATAAAATTTAAATTTTGAGATTTGAACTTAATTGAACTATGCATCTATATGGTTTAACACTCTAATTGAAAGAGATTAGAGAATATATATATGTTTCAAATTTAGTATAATTTTTCAATATCCTTCGTCATCGTTAGCACCACATAAAATTATTTTTCCTAGATTAGTTGTTAATACGAATAAGAGAAACTCTAATAGTCATTCTGTACATTCAAAGTACTCTACGGATAGGGGAATACATAAAGTTGAACATAGTAAAATAAGAAATTGAAAGATTTCGTTGAGGAAAGGCTCGAATGGTACGAACCCTCCGTCACCCCATAATGAAAGGGGCGATCTCGTAGTTCTTGGTATGTGAAAATACGTTGTTAGACATTGCCTACAATAATGAATCTCGTACTATTTAACGACACATGCTAATATTAATTTTTGAAAGTCGAAATCCAATTATATTTCAAAACAAAATTGAGACACGAAATTTAAAACTACTGGCACAATCTCAGTTTCTAAAGCTTATCTAGCACATGCATACATTAATATTAGATAATCACAACTTTCAGCAACAACACAAGATCAACAACAATCAAATTTATAAAGATATGTTTAAAGACCCACAAATCACTCACGAATCACGATTACACTGATAAGTGATAATGAACTCATCTCCTCCCCACGCTCAATAAACCAAAAAAAAAAAAAAAAAAAAAACTCAAATTCAGATCCCCATCTTAATCATCATTCATCAATCGTCCAAATCAGTCCATCAAGAAAGGATTACCACCCCAGAACGAATTACCATTGCTGTTATTATAACCACCATTACCCCCACCGCCGCCGCTCGAACTCTCCCCAAAATGCACCCCGCCACCGCCCCCAACCGCCGCCGACGGCGCCATCATCATCAGACCCTCCCCCACGAACCCCATCTGCCGCTCCGCCGCCGTCACCGGGATCGGCCCCGGCGGTGGAGCCGGGTTCATCATCTCCATAAACCACTGCTGCCTCTGCATGCTCTCAATACTCTCCGCATACTCCTCCTTGGGCCCACTGTTCCCAACCACTTCCGGCCCAACGGCCTGAATAGAATCCGGCCCATTCAACCCACCACCGCTTTCACCCCGGCCCATCTGAGCCCCGTTCCCAGGCCCACGGCCCAGATCCGCGATGTGGCGGTCGACATCCTTCAGCTGCCCGTCGATGTACCGGGAGATGACGTCAAGATCAGTCAACGTCAGGCTGTGGAGCGCCATCTTCCCTTCGAGGCACTGGCTGACGGCCTGAGCCACCTCTTTGTCTCGATTCTCGCGCTCCTGCTTCCTGAGCTGCTCCGCCGCCTTCTTGATCCGCTCCCCGAGGAACTTCTCTTGGTCCATCATCTTCTTGCTCTGCTCCATCTGCGGCACCTTCCTGAACCGGGACAGCACGGCGTGGACGCCGGCGGCGGTCGGCGGCCAGGTCTCCGGGTGGGAGTCGTAAGGGGAGTAGATGATGGCGCAGGCCTGGATATCGCAGAGGGTGCTGAGCTCGCTCACCTTCTTCATCAGGCCCTTCTTACGCTTCTTGAACGTGGCCTTGCGGGCCGAGTCGTTGGCGATGTAGGCCAGCTTCACCTTCTTCCTCGTCATGAATCGACGACAGGCGGATCTAGGGCAACGAGCGAACGAGAGCTGAATCGCTTTTTTTTTGAAGGTGGAGGTGATGGTGGTGCGGAAATGTTGTGTGACAAGTGAGGTTTATATAGGATTTTGTTAGAATGTGAATAAGTTAGTGAGCTGTATATTAGGTGTCTTGGGGAGGAAGGGGATGGATGGAAGTAATAGTGAATATACCATAAGAAGAAAATCTTGGGGAATCATGGGGTTTAAAAGTGTTGATTGACATTCTATATATACGATTTGGCGGAATTAGGAAACCGAATTTTTGTTTCCCATGACGATTAAGGATAAGTTTTAGTTTTTAATAAGGATATATTTTTAATGCCATGGAGTGAGATTAATATATATCGGTGATGTTTGATGGTAAGGTTTGTCAAGATGAGAAAGGGCGATCGCAAATGTATTCTTTTTTTAATTTTGATTTGCTTTTTATTATATGATGGTGTTTGTTTTCAGAGAAAGTTTCATTGACCTTCTTAGTGACATCGATCTAGCATAAACGTTTTTGCGTATGACTATATATTAGAGCAATTTTATCATTATTTATGACGATCATTTCGTTTCGGGGTTTGAAGACTCTCATTTCCTTTTTACTTAGACATAAGCCTTAGTGAATATAAGGTATTTCATACAATTATAATCCAAAAATTCGAGTTAAATCTTCTTTTCATTCGTTAGACTCAAAGAATAATATATATAACACGCATATGGTCAGGTCTTTCTAGATGTAAAAACTAGATTTTTTTCAATAATCTTTATTGAACCACATTCGTGTCAGGAAATGAACGTAAAAAACACGACCACCACAAATTAACCCTTACAAGACAAAGATGGTCCAATCGTACGAATGGATGTGCATGAGGTTGTTAATTACTTACTATAATTGATTTAATTAATGATAACCATGCATTAAAGACATAGATTTGGTCTGGGATATGACAGTTAATGTGAAATCACAAAGTTGTTGTAAGAAAAATAGATTCTATGGTGATGAGTTGGACAGGCAGGAGTTGGAGTTCGATTCCAATTTTGTTTTGATATTTAATGCATGGTAGTATTACTTATGGCAATAGATTGTCGCCTCAAGTTCTGCTTAGTAAAATGAAGGGAATGGCTACTGTGCTAATTGTACAATAGTTAGCACCGTTCTAACCAAGGGAAAAGCTACTACTAATTTAAATTAGTAGTGATTTAGCTTAGATGTTGTATTGATTTTATAATAATCCGTAGTGATTTCGTTATTTTTAGTAGCGTTTTTTGCTAGTTATCACGGTGCTAACCCCTATAAGGGTTAGCACCTAATCCCATCCCTAAAATGAAAGCAGATTTTGATTAAAAAAAGGGCTATAGAATGTCACGGAATCTGATATATGATTTTCCATATTAATTGTGTATCTAGCCAGCTTTACATTAATCTGTGGAAATCTTTTCTGAAACGGTGTGATAATAATACTATACATATGCAACTAGTTATGTGGTATATATATTTTTAACAATAATTTTTTGACAAGATTATGTGTTATATATTCATGACCGGGTATTGATATAAATGATTTAACCATATTGGATTATGTAAGATATTCATAATCATTACTCGTCAATTATTTCGATGTTCACAATACGAAAAAAGTGATTATGAGGATTTTTTTTGGAATATGACATACATAAAAGATATCCTAACTACGATAATTATATAAGGTCGATGATAGCAACAAAAACAACGTACATGAATTTTGTAAGGCCTTCATAATTATATTACTAAATAATTAGTTTGATATTCATGATAAGAAACAGAAAATGAGTGAGTATGCAATGTTTTCTTTTAGAATTATGAACCCAGAAAACATTCTAACTCTTACAATTAAAGAGAACTCAATAGCACCCAAAACAAGATAACTAATGTATTGTATGTAAGGACTGTAATAAAGTATTTATGATATCCCAATTTGTTATAGCATGATTGTTCTCAAATTTGTTATAACATGATTGTTCTTCTTCAATTACGAGTGATCTTGTGAAATCTAAATGCTACTTTATTGTTGTGGAAGTAACTATTTCAAATGCATAACTATATAATAGCTCATTATTTTTTATGTATCAAAAGACATGAACGTTGTATGTACCTCTAGCCAGCTATCAACTAGGATTAATTTTTTTTATATCTAGATTTACACAACTTAGTTAAGAAGGGTTGGTATAAATTTCGAATTTTGCTCCTCATTTTTTCTGGTCGTTTGAACTCACTATCTACATATTTTCGTGATCCATTTCAAACCATTGAAACTTATAGTACTTAGGTCATATACCATGGTGTGAATAGAATACAACACTTAGTTCATAAGTTGTTTGCTGAAAAGTGCAAAATTATTGTGGCAACACAGGCTTAGCATTGAACCATGCAAGCACACCATGGTTTTGTTATTATTATTATTCGGTTGAAAGTTGAAACTTAGAGTCCCTACTGTGTAATGTGTAGCACTAGCAGCCTCAAAACCAATTTCTAGGTTAGAATAATGGTAGAGATCAAAGCATCAATCCATTGTCGTCCAGCGGTTAGGATATCTGGCTTTCACCCAGGAGACCCGGGTTCGATTCCCGGCAATGGAATCTTTTTAGTTTTTGCCTTTTTTAGGGCTCTTGGCTGAGTTATATATTTATTTTTTATTTTTTGTCGAATGCTGATTGCTGATTGCTGAATGGTAGTTTAAATGTTGAGAAAGTGTAAATTCATTGGGTGTAATAGATTATCTTGGATTGTAGTTGGATTCCGCTTCAGAAGTCAGGAGTAATAAATTCTTCTACATAATCATATTAATTGAGCAATAATAATATTCATATTCGTGTGTGGATAACTCAGCCAAACATATTATGATGATTTCGCATACCATCTTATGGAGTATATGGTTGGAATATTGCAAAGCGCGGATCATACCATCTTACGGAGTATATAGTTGGAATGTAAAGCGCGGATCTTTCGGAACGAAGTTCATAGCAGCTTTTAGATAAAATCTCGAATGGTTTTCCTTCTCACATAATAGATATCTATCGAGGACCTAAAGGGAAGCGATACGGGAAGGTTTCTCGAACTAATCCATGACAACACTTCTACTTTTCCATTTAGCTAGACGACATAATTAAACTCGAATTATGTTTCTTTTCTATAGTTGAGTATCTTTCCTTTGTTCCTCATGTCACTTTTCTATACTGTAAATTCCGCTTGTATTGGCCCTCAAAAAGGGCATTCAAATCAATGATATACACCCATAGACCCACTTATTAAAAAAAATCATATTAGTGTACATAATTTTGTTTTCACACCTAAAAAAATCATATTAGTGTACATAATTTTGTTTCACACTAATCTAGTATGTCTAAAACAACATTTATAAAAATAGGTATATATATAATTGAGATCCAATTTCATGGTACTGAGGTGTCAAAGATTTTTTGAAAAACCTGTCAAAGAATGATGTGTTATAACCACAACTATATTAATGATTTATTTTATCGATGTTCTGAATATAAGAAAGAAATCAAGATCAATTACCTAAATGTTACTTCATTCTTTTTAAAAATGAAAACTTGTGATTTAATCGGTAAATATATTCTACCGACGGTCTAGGTTGTCAAGCGTACAAGTCAAATTATCAAATGACACAGGTTGACCAATTAGCCCCAATAGTAACAAGGTAACAACATAAAGTTAGGTTCAAGTTCTCACGGCTCCTACATGTCATTTCCTCCCTTTTATTATATATACACGTAATCGTAGAACGCGAGCTATATATAGTTCCTATCTATTGGACGAAAAGCAAGGAGATTCATAAATTATTGAAGTGAAATAATAATCAAGTCATAACTACTCACAACTAGTGTATAAGAATATGCCTCTTCATGATTATTAAGTGTCAAAATCGAGGACCCTTCCTAGGATTAACATTCATTCAATAGCTTAGAGACACTATAATTGAGAATGATTATCGAATCATGATCATCACACACTCCCATCCATACATATAGAGCTCACTTCCTTGGAGAAAGGGCATAAAATCTTCAAGAGTGAATCTTGTCTACTTGGAATACATATGGGCCAATGTGTAAACTAGCAGCATGCATGCAAACTGGCAAAAATCTTCATGGGAGATGGTGATTCTATATATATCAATCTCGTGCTTGCTTCCAAACCCATTCTTAAAAAAAAAAAAAAAATCTGAACATTATATAGTGATATTATATATGATCATTATTATTATATATTAATGAATAATGCATGTATACAGTTAATTATTTAGGTACCCTCTAGTTGTCTTTACATGGGTTTTGTTTTTGTTTTGTTTCTACTACTAGTCGTCATATATAATGAGTTTCTTCTGGACAGCTTCATGTGTGTGTATTGAATTTTTTTTTTTTATAATTGTTCCTTGTACTGTGAATATATATGGTAAGATAGTGGCAATGTTCAATTAATACTTCCATGTTGATATTTTTGGACATTATTTCCTATATTTGTTTTTTTTTTTACAAAATTTAGCCAGCAAGAGATAATATAACATATCTTTGATGATTATAAAAACAAAAATTGTACTTAGAAAAAAAAATATCGTCAAAAGTGACAATACAATAATAAAAAATTTGTTGATGATTACTTTTCGAGATGTCATCGTATATAAACGTTTCTTTACTTCTTTGAGTGTCACAGATCAAAGAAATGTAACTACACATAACCAATCATAACTTTGTTCATTAATATGTGTTATATTATGATGAAAATAATGGAAGATGTGTCGGGGTTGGTCTTATGCTTACAAAGAATCGGACAGTGTGGCACACCTTCTTGTCCACCCTGTTCATATTGATGTTTGTGAAAATGTCTTGTAACGTGAGTTGTATCCCTACTTATATATAGTTGATGTAACAACCATAGAGAGTAGCTAGTTATGATTAAGTATTATGTAACCTTCAGAAGTTATTCCTAAAAAAATATGTATTTCCGTTATAATATTAAGACAAACTAATTGATCATAGGAAATAAAGTAGATCAATGGATCAAACAAATTGTGCATGATGTCCACAATAACTATACATAGAGACTATATAAATCATAAGCCAAATAATCGATGGTTTATGTATTTGCAACACCTGAAGAATATATGTCTCTTCCCAACATGAGAAACTAAACTAAAATAGTTTTTTTAAAGGATTTT